TTGTTTCGCTACTGGCTACATCGTTGGGCTTCACTATTGTAAAGAAAAGCAATGTTAGAATATTAAACAGTTTATAGACAATTAAGTGACTCCATTGAGTTGGACACTATTAAAGTTATCTTTTTAATAAAAAAATCCCATTTTTCGTTAACCTCGACAACATTTGGTTTTAGAGCAGTTATAGTTTGGTTTCAGAGGGAACTAATATATATGAGGCATATCCAATTCTGAATCGAATCTAAATCTTTTAATAAAAAATAACAATGCTATAGAGTGCATGATATCACTTTGAAAATATATCGGAGCCGAGTTCCACAAAATGGAATCGTACGTCCTGAAATTCACTCCATATGGGCTAATATTAGCCATTATTTTGCACAATAAACCTGAAATCGGATTAAGGATATATATGGAAGCTATATCCAAGTTTTAGCCGATCTGTAGTACTGGTTTCTAGGATAAATTCAGTCGTGCACCATAAACCTTATATCAGATAAAGATATATATGGGAGCTATGTATATCTTAATCTTAACCGACTCGATAAAATTTTTCAGAGGTATTTTCGAGCAGTATCTGATGTCCGGTACCAAATATCATTCTTGCGGTGGGCATATCACGCATGTGAGGGACTTAAAACCCCAAAACGTATGAAACATATATATGGGAGCTATAGCTATATCTGAGCCGATTTTCTCCAAATTTGATGTATTTGCTTCTAGACTGAATTCGGTGGGATGTACCAAAATTCAGTTCATTTGACACAGAACAGAAAATAGACTTAAAAGAGCGAAAGAGTTGCTTCGCTTGGCCGAAAGTGGCGAACTGCCGAATTTGGTATTCTACGATGAGATAACATTCGTTGTCCATCAATTTTTAAACAAACAAAATGTGTTACTTGCTAAATAGGTCAGCTGAAAATGCGTACATTCGGTTGGCCACCAGAACTCAAGCGCCGTCCATGGTGATGGTGTGGGCCGCCATAACAGCCGATGGTCGCTCTCCGCTTGTATTAATCGACCGTGGCATCAGAATAAATGCTGAATATTATCGCGAAAATATTCTGGAGGGTGTATTAAAGCCTTGGGCACGCAAACATTTTGACCGCAGACCTTGGACATTCCATACACCATCGCACTCAGCACGCGCCACTTTACAAAACTTTATTTTTGTCAGAGATGGTTGAATTATTGCTTAATTTCTTAGATATAATGATCAGCACGTGTCTGTAAAGTTTAATCGTGACAAATAATCAATTTATGATTCTTTCGTTCACGCATAGTGTACTTTTACGATTATAGCCATGTTTTTCTGCCGCTTATCAATCACTTGAACTGATTCCTCGTCATTCCATAATATTGTTTATAAAAATTAAGGTTTTTTTTGAAGTTGTCAATTTTATTAGGTATAGCCGTATTAACACAGCTGGTGGTACAACAAACTGCCAAAATTCAAATTTGGAATTAAAATTTTTGAATGAAATTACATTTAAATTTTTCAATTTGCAGGAAAAATAATTTCTTAACAACCTCTGAGCGGCATAGTACAAAAAAAAACAATATATTTTAGCAGATTTTTTTATGTTTTTGTCACACCAGTCTTCTACCATTCCTGTAGACCCATACCTGATAAGTTAAATTACACTTTCTTACGAAGATTCGTCATATATTTAGACACGTACTCAATAGATTTGACAGTCTAAAACATTTTCGGTGTAATTTAGTTTGAAAACTCAAATGTAAATTGGTTATTAAACAGACACTTTACAAAACTATCAAATGATTTTGGCAAACTTATAATTCAAAACCTTTCTCAATTGAGTATATTAAATTCAAATTTAAGACCACCCTATTTCTTTATTATTGTTATTGTTTCTCTTTTTGCAAATCTAATTCCCTTCTCTCTTTCTCACTCTCTCTCTCTCTCTCTGTATATATATACAATCGAATAGAGAGAATCAAGTTTATTCTCACTTCTCAGCTAACTCTTGTTAGCTCTCCTTCACGTTCTTTGTTGTTGTTGCTGCTGCTGTCGTGGGCCCCGACAGACAGCCGGACTAAAAATTAACGAACGAACATAAAAATTTTCCTGCCACAGTCAGTGTACATTGCTCGCGAACGCTTAGCAGCATTATTGTGTGTAGCTGCTGCCACCCAATCAGACACAGACATACCTTTGCCGTTGGTGTGGTACAGTTTACAAAAACAAAAAACTTCTGAGAAACAACAAAAACAATATTGACAGAACGAAGTAAAAGAAAACACGACTCACGAATAAATAAAAGATAACTAACAAGATTTTCTTTTACAAAATAAAAAGCAAAAATATATATATGGGGGAGTGTGTTATAATTTTGGGGGTTTTAATGCCTAATATGCACAAATTCAATGGATGAGATGGATTCCAAGTACATTTGGTGTTTTCGTTAAATTCCCACCTATTCTCAAAATGATTTTAACGTGTAGAGAGCAGCAGGCAGATTACTGTCAAATCTAATAACAATGCACGTTTTTGTTAAATTTTTCCAATACCTTGGTATTTATTTTTTTACTGTTTTGCCTTGAATCTGAAGAGATATTTTGAACATGGTATGCTTTGTGCCTGCCTCTCCTCCCCCTCTTGCTTCTTGATTAAACCGACAAATCTTACATATCTACATATGTGTACAAATACAATCGCATCAAACCAGTTGGTCGTGTATCAGCCCGCGATTCCCAGTCAACAAGACGTGTATACGAAGGGGGCAGAGGGCATATTGAGGGAGGAGTATACCCCGATGAGGAATAAAGTCATGTAGTAGACATTTATTTAGTCATACTTTAGCGCGCTTTTTTCATTTGCTATGTATTGGTGTGGCTAAGATTTGTATTTGTGCTGCCTGCTCGCCTGTCTGACGATTTGCTGCCTTCCTTCCTGTTGTCTTTATCTCCCTTTCTCTTCCACACACCTTCAATTAAGTTCATTGGTATGGTCGTTATTTTGATTTTGTTGTTTGTTTTTGTATTGTTTTCTTAATTTATATTTTTATGTGGTTGCATTATTTCATATGTAGTGGGAGGCAGGGGCGGGGGTGTCGGGGGACCTACATGCTGCCTGTTGTTTCAATAAAAGAATGTTTAATTATTTTGGATTTGATGCTAAAAATAACTACTAAGAAGTTTTTTTTGTCACAGATACCTCGCTTATCCTCCATAGACATTGAGCCTACTAACGCACACCAACCTGTCACCCATACACCCGCGTAATACATTTTTTTTTACTGATACAGATAATCATCCCACCACTTGTAATTTACAAACCATTAAAAAAAAGCATTTTAATTACATATTGAACTAACTTATTTAATGTGAAGTTTTGCTCCTTTCATAAACCTATTGACAGTGTGCCCCCCTCCCTCACAAATATTCAGTTCTTCAATGTTCCTTGCCATAATAGATGAATCTTAGTGTGATTCTCTCATTTTATCATTGCAATAATTTTTTGTCCGGAGTTTTGTTGCTCATTCCATAGCAAGTTATTTACTTTGTTTCATTTTCTTTAATACTTCCTATTTTGAAAAGAAATAGAGCTCCACTAGTGTTCAATGCAGCCCTGCTCAAAACCGTGTTCTAGAACATGAGCCGAAAAAATATATAATTAAAGAGAAAATTAAAATTCTCTTTTTCTTTATATTTTACGATTCCATTTAATTGTTGTTTTTATAAAAATTTTTATAAATGATGACTTAACACTGTTGTGTTCTTGATTTAAATAAGCAAAGAGAAATTTGACTGGAAAGAGATATTTTTTCTTGAGTAGCGCTGGTTCGATGTAAACATGAGTATACTGCGCGAAAAATAAAGGGGGTCGCCATTGAAAGGAGAAAAACAATAGAAATGAAAATTATACTGTAACAACTCTTTATAGTTAAACATTGCTTTAATTGTGTCAATTTAAATTGTGCGTTTACATTAAATGTGTTTAAATTTAAAGACTTAAAAATGTGACGGAAACTTGTCTTGTCATTGATTTCATGTTAGTTTCTCCATTTAAATGTCATCTTGCAGTAAAAGAATAGCAAAAATGAATTTTATAGCAAAAATCAGGACCTTTTATATGATCCGGCATTAAGCCTATCAGGCTTCTTCTTAATAATTAATTAATAAAAAACATGTTACGTCGTTATTTATATAAAATGGGATGATTTATAGGTCTTTACTCCATTTATATGTATCATTTTGTAGTGAATGACAAGCAGAGGAAGAAGTTGACTTTTTTTGCATTTGGAAGCAAATTTTGTTGCTTATTAATTTAATTAACATTGAAAACTTAACATGAAATTTATAGCAAAAAGATCAGGATCTTTGTATATGTATAAATAAAAACATTACATTTTTACTTGGTTATTTATATAAAATGGTTACTTTACTCCGTTTATATGTATCATTTTGCAGTGAATGACGAAGGAGGAAGAAGTTGACTTCTTTTACATTTGGAAGCAAATAAAGTTGCTTATTAATTTATTTATTTAACATTGTTTATAAACTGATTGATTTAAATTTAAATATCAATCATATTGCAGTGAATTGTCATGCCATATTTCAAGGGAATGAAGAGACTGTTTCCTGTTGTATATTGAGGCTGGAAATGGTTTGTTCAAATCAAAGGAAATAAAAAGCTATTAACGAAAGAAGGTGATTTTTAAAATTAGTTTTAATAGTGGATTATTAGGAATATGCTGTTGGGATCAGGATGAAGTAAGGAATGCATATCTACAGATTGCATTGAATATGAACATTTTATTTAACATAGATCTACAAGCTTAAAACCCACCCATATACATATATTCCTCAGATGTAAAGAATTCTTAACAATTCTTGTCAGGTTCTGGAACAACATTTATGTCACATTAATTTTGTTTCAATTGAAACTGATAGTGGACAAATTTTTATATTTAAGAACACAGTAAATTTTATTATTCAATTTAAAAACAATTTTAATAAATTCCGTTTTTTCATTTCAGTGTTAACAAGGAGTCATTCCTTTAATATAAAACGGAGCATTCAACAAATAACCTTCTCATCATTATCGTCCATCGTTACAACAAAACATCAATTGGTGAATGCGAAACAGAGACACTCAAAACATAGTACGAGTCTCCAGCGCCCATAAATCTGCTACAGATTATTGCCAAATTCAAAGAAAGAAACTATACAAAAAATACACTAAAAAAGGTGTAAAATGCATAAAAATCCAATGAGAAAACGGCGTAATTATAATTTACACAAACTAAAAGTCTACCAGTATCAGCAGCTTCAAGAAGAGCAACTACTATTAGACGAGAAAACGTTAAAAGTAATTCGGATTAAATTTGACAAACGATACAAACGTTAGAAGAGTAGAAGAACACTTTGTGCTATATTAAGTCTTAACACTAACTTCAATAATTGGATAAACAAAACACAATATCCAAAATCAATCATTCATCGGAAATCATCAAAACTAATTTACTGACATTCATCCATCCAAAAGATTACATCGATTGGTAAAAAAAGATTACATCGATTTTTATTATTGTTGTTGCAAAGCGTCGCGCCGCCTCCCTACTGCAACAACGCTACATTGAGAAGGCAAATTTGCACACAAATTTGGTTTTCAACGTCCCCGGGTTTTAAGTAAATCTACAAAAGTGAAACCATTAAAAATGATGAAACGTACTCGCGAAGAAGTACAATATGGTGCACGTCCGGGTCCGGGTGGAGTCGGGGGTAGTGGCGGTGGAGGAGGGGGAGGTAGTGGCGTTACAGCCGTTGGCAATGTGGTTACCGGTGGCACAGCCAGTGTAACCACAGGTGCCATTAACATAGGCACCGTTGTGCCCGGCACAGGCAATATAACGACGGCCGGTTCCATTGCTCATCATCGTATCTTAACACCGCAACATGGCGGTGGCCAAACCATAACCTATTTACCCTCCAACACTCCGGTAACGGCAACCAATCTAAAGACATCTGCGGGTGGAATTGTGGCCGACAGCAGCGGTGGCAATACGGATGGTAGTGCTACCACCGTTACTGGTGGCATTGGTGGTCGCATAACACAAATTGGTGGCAATACTGTGGTCTCAACTGGCAGTGGTCCGGTGGGTACTGGGAGCGGTAATCCCAACACAGTTGTTCAACAGCAAACTGTACAATATTCAACTTGTAAGTTATTGTGAATTGTATATGGACAAAATTCCAAAACAGCTAATGGTTCTCTTTTTTTTCTTATAGCCTATAATGTAGCTTCCATACCAGCCGGTGGTACACTTAAAACTGGACCAGATGGTGCGGTACAAATTCATGTAACGGGCGGTGCAGCCGGCGCCGTACCTATTGTTGCCAATCCCACAGTGCCACAGACAACAAATTCGGTGCGGCAACGTACCATAAGTGGTACAACCCAAAGTAGTAACATCTCATCTTCGTCACAGACAATGGTGCAACAAACTTCGGCACAAAGTGGTAGTGGCGGCGGCAGCGGTTCACAAATATCAACGGGGCCATCTTCTGCACCTCAACCCGGACAACCGGGTGCACCACCGCGTCTAAAAGTAGAAGATGCTCTCAGCTATTTGGACCAAGTTAAATATCAGTATACCGATCAACCACAAATCTACAATAATTTCCTTGACATCATGAAAGAATTCAAATCACATTGCATCGATACTCCCGGCGTTATACAAAGGGTATCCACACTCTTCAAGGGTCACACCGAGTTGATATATGGATTCAATATGTTCTTGCCTCCAGGCTATAAAATTGAAATACATTCAGATGAGTTGGGCTGTTCGGTTCCGGTGGTATCGATGCCTTCACCGCCAGGTTCAGCACCTGGAAGTGGCACCACAGTGCACGCTGTTTCAGGCACCGCCATGACAATTGGTCATAAAATCGGCAGCAATGCTGCCAATCCAACAGTACATCAAATGCAAACTGCCACAACTGCTGGTGCAGTCAATCTGATGACCCACGGTGGTACGTCACTGTCGCAGACAACAATTCATGCCTTACAGCCTCCGTCAGCGACACAACAATCTCCAAATCCAGCTGCAGCTGGTGGTGGTCATACGCCCTCTCATGTTCCGCCACATGCCAGTGCATCGCCAGCACCGGCACAAGTGACCGTGGCATCAGTAAATGCCGGAGCACCACCGTCGAATATGCCACAGAACTATTCACGAGATAGAGATCGGGGTGGTGTGACAATGTCAGCAGCGAACCTACCACCCGCGGCAGGTGGCATGGTTGTTGGTGGGCCGCCTACACCGAATTCCCTAAACGATTTAAGTGTACAGGGCCATCACAATCTGCATCATATATCCCAGGCACATCAATCAATGTTGATGGGTGAAACGGCACCTACACCCGGGGCAGCGCCTCAGCAACCAGTCGAATTCAATCATGCCATAACCTATGTTAACAAGATAAAGGTATGTTTAGTTGTTGCTTTACCTCTTGGTGACAATGCTAACATTTTCTTTTTCTCTTTTCATTTTCAGAATCGTTTCCAAAACCAACCCGAAAAGTACAAAAAATTCCTCGAAATCCTACACACCTATCAGAAGGAGCAGAAAGTCATCAAAGAAGGCTCGACGGGCGTTAATCAGGGAAAAACTCTTACTGAACAAGAAGTCTACACCCAAGTGGCTAAACTCTTCGGACAAGATGAAGATTTGTTACGAGAATTTGGCCAGTTCTTACCGGATGCCACGAATCATCAAGCTCAACAGTACATGACGAAGTCGCACAATGATCATAAAAGGGCCACAACAACGGCCTTAAGTGGTGGAGCACACATAACAATGTCACCGGCCGGAGGTGGTGTACCAGCTGCTGGTTCGCCTCTACATTTGAATAGCGGTGCCACATTGTCACAAATCAGTACAACAGCCCATGCTGCCGCCCTGGCTGCTGTCAACACCAGTGTTAGCCTGAAAACTGCCTACAATAATTCCCAACAAAATCATGTATTAAGCAGCGCTGCAGGTGTTGGAGGACGTGGAATTGATCCTGGCAGTATAGGCCCAGGTAGTGTGGGTTCCAGTGCTGGGGGTGATATTCTCCTTGAGAAAGATTATCGCTCAAATGTACATGTTAATGTACATCATCAAGGTGCAGGCGGTGGTGGTGTCGGCGGTCCACATCATCTGCCCGGCGGCAATACAGCATCGTGTAATATTCGAGGAACTTACGATTCTAAAGACTCACATCGTAGCAATCATCATGCTTCAGTGGTGACGGGTTCACAGAAATATCTTTCGCACCACCATCATGGCCACAACCAGGCGGGCCAGGCAAACATGAGTGGTGGCGTCGCCGGGGGCGTTCACAATATGAGTAATATGGGCAGCAATGTGTCGAAGAAATCACCAAGTTATGGTGGTCTGGCATCGGGTATGCCGCCGGGTAGTGGCATACCTCCACATCTTCAAGGTGGCTCAACAAATGTCTCCAGTTTAAATTATGTTTCCTCACCAGGCAACACCTATCACAATCAAATGTCTCATACAGCCGGATCCCGCAGGCATGCCGACGATATGAGTGGCGGCGGTGTGGGTGGAGGTTTGGGCGTACCACCAACAAAACGTCACAAACCCATATACAGGGATATTTCATTTTCGGAGGCATCGCGCAAGTGCAGCATACAAGATGCTGCCTTCTTTGATAAAGTGCGGAAATCACTGCGCAATCCCGAAGTCTATGACAACTTTTTGCGTTGTCTCACCCTGTACACACAAGAAATTGTTTCCAAGACTGAACTCTTAACGTTGGTTACCCCGTTCCTTAGCAAATTTCCGGAACTGTTTCGTTGGTTTACGGACTTTTTGGGTCCGCCTATATCACAGGTTACTGGAGCGAATTGTGGTCTCACCGGCGGCAGTCATTCCGAAGGTATTCCTCTGCAAGCCGCCCAACGACATGGTGGTGGCACCGGTGTAAATAGTAGTTCCGGCCTGACAAAGCACGACGGCGGCAGTGGCCTAAGCGAACGTCAAAATAATTTGCAAAATACCGACCATCATCAAGAGATCGATTTGTCATCGTGTAAACGTCTGGGTGCTTCCTATTGCGCCCTGCCGCAATCGACAATACCGAAAAAATGCTCGGGCCGGACGCCTCTGTGTCGTGAAGTGCTCAATGATAAATGGGTGTCGTTCCCAACGTGGGCCAGTGAGGATTCTACATTTGTTACATCGCGTAAAACGCAATTTGAGGAGACTATTTACAGGTTTGTTAAAATTAATTTTTTATTATTTATTTTAGATTCTTCCTTTTTCCATTCTCGTTTGGTTTAAGTGATTATTGTTTTTTGCTTTTTAAACCGAGCTAATAATGGGACTAAAGTTGGGGAAGTTTTTTTTTATAGAAATGTTGAAAAGATATTATTTTCCTAGAAAATATGAGCTCAGGTAAATTATCTTAGACGAAAGTTCATACAGCAATGAATTTTCTTACGGAAAATTCCATCTGGATGGAGATGGAATGTATGAATGTCCTTAAAGAAGAGTTCATTCGGAATGAATGAAAAAAAGTTATTTAAGGAAAGGTGTGTTGATGATGAACAATACATTTGGGATGAATTTTGTAATGGAATAAATTTCCTTGTGGAATGTTTTAGAGAATGTTTTAGAGAAAAGTTATTCCAGGATAAATTTTCTTATAGAAAAATTCAAAACTTCATTTGGAATGAATTTTATAAAGGTTCATAGGGGCGAGATTTCTTATAGAAAAATTCATTGGAAAGAGTTTTCTTGGTTTCTATTCTTATAGAAAAATTAATCAAGGCAACTGTGGGATGAGAACTACGATGAATATTTTTACAGAGAAATATCTAAAGAATGCTTCTCTGGGTGATTTCTATTATACAGGGTGAGATAAAAAAACTGCAACAAAGTCAACAACCATAATTTTTACATTTTTTTTAAATTTTATTGTTGAAAGCAAAAAATTTAGGAAAAATCATCAAGTTTTAGAATAAGTCTAGATTTGTTCGAACTGGTGGACCTTTGGCACGAATTAAGGCCTTCAAACGGCAAATAAAAACGTCACACGCTGCCCAAATGTTGTTCTGCGGTGTTTTGGCCCATTCCCGGCGAAGCGCTTGCCAACCTTTTGCCTTGCTTTCTAAAATACTCCAGACGCAATAGTCCAACGGATTGGTATCCGGAGATTTTGTGTGGCCATTGTGCGCTGGAAATGAAGCGAGGAACCTGATTTTATAACAATTCTTGGGTGGCGCGTGCTGAGTGCGATGGTGCTGAGTCCTGGACATCGAATGTTTTCTCACCGGAGAAAACCAAATTCGGCAGTTCACCACTTTCGGCTAAGCGAAGCAACTCTTTAGCTCTTTTGAGTCTATTTTATTTCTGTTGCGGTGTAAGCCTTTCCACTTTTTGGAATTTCAATGGCTCACCCCGATCTCATATTTCAATATTTGCCGAATGGGATATTGCGATATGTTCAGCTCACGAGCCATTTTTTGGCCACTGCGACGCGGTTTTCGATCAAGTCGCTTCTTTACTTTTCGAACCATTTCTGCTGATGTTACAGTTTTCTTCCGTCCACTTCCTTGACGTCGGGCTACGAAGCTACCAGTATCACGGTAACGAACACAAAAGATTTATTCACATTTAAATGCTGGAGTGCTCTAACGATAGCCACTTGTGGTTTTCCAGCTTGAATTCCATCACGAATAACTTTTTTTCTGGAAAATTCTCACCAAAATGCTTTTGTACGCTTTTAAACAATATAATGATCTGTTACTGGAATTATTTTAACAGCTGGCGGACGAGTGGCTTAGAAACGACAGCAGTCTGAAGTTGATTGCAGTTTTTTCATCTCACCCTGTAGAGGAAAACTCCTTCCTGAATAAATTTAAATATTTTATTTTTTCCAAACTCTATTTTGATCAAAACCCATATTTGGTTATGTTTTTATGTAGGAAAAGAACCAAATCTAAGTAGATTCCATCCACCACCTAGCACATCTAAGTAGACAGTAGCTGCTGCTGCTATCATTTCTTATCAATAACATTTTATAATTTCTTTTAATAAATCATTAAAACCAAAAATTCTAAATGAAAGGAATATTCACAGAACTGAGGATGAACGTTTCGAACTGGATGTGGTCATCGAAACGAACAGTGCAACAATACGTGTCCTGGAAGGTGTTCAAAAGAAAATGTCACGCATGTCTCCCGAAGATTTGGCCCGCTATCATTTGGACGACTATTTGGGTGGAACTTCGCAAACCATACATCAGCGAGCCATATATCGAATATATGGCGAGAAGGCAGGCGAAATAATACAAGGTTTGAAAAAGAATCCCTCGGTTGCAGTGCCCATTGTGCTCAAGAGATTGAAAGTCAAAGAGGAAGAATGGCGGAAAGCTCAAAAGGTAGGTGGAAAAGAGAACAAGGAGAGAAAACAATTCGCTGACAATTGCTTATTTTCATTTCAGAATTTCAACATTCAGTGGCGAGAACAAAACGAAAAGTATTATCTGAAATCTTTGGATCATCAATCGATTAATTTCAAGCCGAATGACATGAAAGCTCTGCGTTCGAAAAGTCTTTTCAATGAAATTGAAACGCTTTACGATGAGGTTGGTTCTATTGAATAACGTCATTACATTTGTTATAAATTAATTTCCATTTAATTGCAATTTAGCGCCATGATCAGGAAGATGAAAATGGTGAACCCATCACAGGCCCACATTTGATCCTACCCTATAAGGATAAAACCATATTAGATGATGCAGCTAATTTGCTAATACATCATGTGAAACGTCAGACGGGCATTCAAAAACAGGAGAAAACCAAAATCAAACACATTCTGAGACAATTTGTGCCCGATTTGTTCTTTTCCACAAGACAGCCGTTAAGTGATGATGAACGTGAAGATGGTAAGTGTCGGAGATGAAATGCATTGTTTTATCCATTGTTTTTATTTTGTTTTCATATTTTTTTATTTATTAACTAACAAACAGTTGAGGTTGGGCGTATGTGTGTGTGTGTGAAAAGTGTATTCCGCCAACTGCTTTAGGGCATATTTATTACTTGGTAGAAAACCTAAAATTGCATAGTTTTATAATGGATGAATGCTGTTTTGTTAAAAAAGAAATTCACCCTTTTAGTGGGTGTTCAATGGTTCTCATTAAAGGTTTACATCTAGATAACACTTCTTTTAGTAACACGAATTTTAATGTTTTTTATACATACCTCCACCATAACAAGGAGGGTATATTAAGTTTGCCATTCCGATGTAAACATTTTAGACGGCCTTAATTCTTCCAAGCCATTTCCATCAGTTTGTCTATCCTTCTGTTGCAATCACGCTATCTTCCGAAGGAATTGAGATAGGGTAAAATTTGGTTACACAAGAGTTTTGGGTCTGAAGACGGGCTATATCGGACAACTTTTTCGTTTAGCCCTCATATAGCGGTACTACCTCATTTTTAACATTTCGACGACTTTGTGCACATTCCAATACTTTTTATCAGTTTTAGATGAAGTGTGATACCTCGGTCCACGTCTCTCACATTTTAACATTTTCTAAGAAAAATGTAACATATCTCAAATACAGGGTGAGATAAAACAACTGCAACAAAATTTTTAAATTTTATTGAATGAAAGCTAAAATGTCGGAAATAGCATCAAATTTTAGAATAAGTTTAGATTTGTTCGGATTGGCCACCTTTGGCACGAATTGTGGCCTTCAAACTGCCAATGAAACCGTCCCACGCTGCCCGAATGTTGCTCTGTTGCGGTGTAAGTTTTGAACTTTTTGGAAATTCAATGGCTTCATCCCGAGCTATTTTTCCAATTTTTGCCGAATAGAATATTGCGATATGTTTAGCTCACGAGCCATTTTTCGGCCACTGCGACGCGGGTTTCGATCAAATCACCTCTTCTTTACTTTTCGAACCATTTCTGCTGCTGCTGATATTTTCTCCCGTCCACTTCGTTGGCATCGGGCTACGCTACCAGTATCACGGTAACGAGCGATTGTACGAGACACAAATGCATTTGTACGAGACACGATAGCCACTTGTGGTTTTCCAGCCAAATATAAGGAAATCACACTATCAGGCTTGAATTGCATCACAAATAACTTTTTTTCTGGAAAATTCTCTTCAAAATGCTTTGTACGCTTGTAAACAATATACATAATTTTAACAGCAAAAATAAATATTTCTAACAGCTGTCGGACGAGTGGCTTGGAAATGACAACAGTCTGAACTTGGTTGCATTTTCTTCATCTCACCCTGTAAAGTGAAGTAAGAAGCAGTCGATCTGCCACATTATAATATTTTTTGTGTCAGTCAGATACATAGGGACAAAACGGACCTGCTCCTTCGAAACCTGTCCCAAAATGTTTGAATAATCATAGTCAAAGTATATTTATATAAGCTGGCATTGGTTGAGGGTTTGATAGAGAATTGTTTGATACTTTGTAACCTGTTTTTTTTTTTTTTTAAGAAAGATTCCTCTGCAGTAAGTTTTCTTGTAGAAAAACATCCTATGGGAATTCCTATAACATTTTTTATACCCTAAATCTATTTGTTGGGGTTATTATAATTTGGGTTGGGCCAAAAATTATGTAACACCTCGAAATATGAATGAATATGAGAATGAATATGGATCTTCCTATCTCGCCGGGCTGAGTTGATCTAGCTATGTATATCCGTCCGTCTGTCCATGTCAATTCGTAATCACGATTCAGGTCGCAATAATTGCTCGATTCTCACGAAAATTTTCATAAAGGTTTAGTGTTTTCATTTCATTTATTTCATTTCATTTATTTATTTATATGTTGCAATGAAAAAGCCATTAGGCCAATAAGTATCACAACTATCAAAACTACAAAAGTGTACTCCAAAATAAAAAAAAAACATCTTAAAAATATTACATAGTGTATCTTAAAGTAACCTAAGAAATCATATGTAAAATATGGACAAAAAGGCTCCCCAGCCAATGAAAATAAATTTAAGTCTATTGCTGGTAATAAAAAAAAAAAACAATATTTAATCAAACGATACAGTATCGTCAATATCATTAAAAAAACAAATTGTTAACCTCCATTTGCCTCTACAAAGTTTTCAAACATGCGGCGAAAAACACCGCGGGAAAACGAGAATTGTCGTAGCTCAGCTGGAAGCTGATTCCAGATTCGTGCGGAACGAACTATGAAAGATCTTTCATATAGAGACGTAGAAAAATGAGGGAAAATTATTTGCGTATTCCTAGTAGACCGAGAGAACACTAGCCGATCTCGCTGAAAACCAGGAAGATTTAAACAGATACATTTATATAGAAATGAAACCACGCGTTGTTTAACAAAAGTAGAGAATGACACTCCTAAAAAGAGGACTGCATGCGCAGAAATATGGTCAAAACGACGCAAATTATAAACATATCTTACAATGATGTTAAAAAGTTTTTCTAATTTCATTAAATACTCATGTGTTGTACCAGAAATCACTTCAATACAGTAGGAAATTACCGAAAATAACATAGAATGAGCAAGATTTCTCTTTACAAATAAGGGCAAATAGAAATCAGTTGAGTGTAATTTTCGGAGCATATTTATAACTTTGGGGTACAGTGCATCAATATGCAAAGAAAAATCAAGCTTGGCATCAAGAACAACACCTAAACAATTTATGCGGTCAACAAAATCCACCGCTACACCATTAACCTGTATATTAATACCGCTATTCAGTCGGCAAGGTGAACCAAATGTCATTGCTTTTGTCTTAGAAACATTTACTACTAGATTATTATTTCTCAACCAACGTGAAATATTACCTAATGTTGTATTTATGGTATTCTCTAGTTGAAAGTCTGATTGACCTTTAAAAAATAAATGAATGTCGTCCGCATACATAAACGGATGACAGTCGCAATTAGTTAGAATGCTACTAATGTCATTGACATATAAAACAAAAAGAAGCGGACCTAAAATTGAACCTTGAGGTACCCCGCTGTAAATATTACGTAAGCTGGATGCCTCGCCATTATATGAAACATATTGAGAACGTCCAGATAAATACGAAGCAATTAATTTACAAGAATTACTGTCAAATGCATATAATGAGAACAGTTTCTCAATCAGCATTGAATGATCCACACAATCGAATGCTTTCGAAATATCCAGCGCAACAAGAACACCACTATCACGTCCATCAATTGTCTCTCTAATCAAGTCAGTTAAGTCTACTAAAAGTGAAGTAGTGCTGAGACCACGCCTAAATCCATATTGATAATTAATCAAAAATTTATTGTCATCTATAAATGATTGAATCTGCAGCCTTATGAGATGTTCGGCAACTTTAGTGTTAGGCTATTGTTTTTAAAGATGTCCGCAATATATGGTTGGGGATGAAATGGACCAACAACTAAAAATATTCCTGTTTTTGCAGCTAATCCTGCAAATATCGTAGACAAGCAAGTCATATAGATGAGACTTAACTTGGAGATATAGAGGGGGCCTCTTGGTTTTGGAGATGATCGCAAAATATGTAGGGGTTCAAATGAACAAAAGTCAGTAAAACTTTGTTGATCACACAATTGAAACCAATCGACACGGAATTTCGCATGAGAAGAGAGTTGAAGGCATAGAAGAAGTCTAGCATATTAAATGACCCTTGGATTATATTTAGCTGTAAAATGGACCACAGCAACTAAAATATTAAATATTGGGAAAATGTCCCTGGTCAAAAAGCAAAGGGGGGTAATATCTGGACAGTGCTCCGTGACATAATTTCAAAATCGAAATCTTCCAAAACAGATTTGGACATAAGGGGGCTTCTAACATATTGTAGTGTTGTAGGGTATCACATGGTCGGCCCCGTACGACTATGCTTACTTGTTTACATATAGCGAAATTCATCCCACTTTGCAAATATAAGTACTACTTAAAACTTTTGTATGTATATGCCATTAGATTTCGATATATTTTTCAAACACAACACACACCCCCGCCAAACAAACATGCTGACTTGTATTATGATAAATTATTTACTTTCAATACATTTATTATATAATAATAAACGTTAATGTTCTTGTTAGTAATTTAGTATTTTTGTTTTTGTTCTTTTTTAATTTTTTTACAAAAAAAAAAAAACTATATCACCAACACACCATTCCCGCTTATCCTTCCAAAACCAAAAAATTACCTAAACTGGATTATGTATGGCGCTGCGCTTCTATTTTGTTTTGAAATGTGTTATACAAAATATATATGTATCAAATATAATGTGTACTACTACTACAACATACATACTCACCGTTTCGTTCGTCTCCCGTCAACCATACATACACGCACACCTTCTTTGCCCAACTGTTGGTCGGTGGGTCGGCTGTTCGTTTGTTCGGGTGCTTTTATGTTTTTATATTTTTGTTTATAATCCTGCTCCTCCTATACCCACCTACCCACCCACTGCTGCGTATTATGTGCTGCGCGCGTATGACATTTTCCTGACCTACATTCGTTTGAATTGCATGCCTGCCTGCCTGTCGTTTGCCCGCCCGTCCACCTTATCTTCATACTATCGGTCTTTTTCTCTTCCTTTCTCTTTTTCTCTCTCTCGCTATATATACCTCTTTCTCTTCTGTTTCCCTGCTGTCTGCCTGGCTTTATTTTTTATCTCTCAAGTATTCCCGTTTTTAATAGATGATAACGACAAAATGGACGTTGATTCGGCAACGCCAACTTGCAAACAAGAAAATAGGAATAAGACAAATGTTACAACGTCGTCGTCGTCGTCAACGACCATAACATCGTCAAGCTCAGTCTCGTCCGCCGCCGCCTACTCTTCCTGCACGTCAGCAGCAGCGTCTACAGGGGCAACATCTTTAACATCCACAACGGCCGCAGCAACAGCCACAACAACATCATCAGCAACACTGTCCGGTTTGCCTGCCATTAAAACTGAAACAGAAGCCATGGACACTAAAGAGAATCTTGTACCTCCTTCAACTGTAATAAATAATAATGCATTGGCCTCGACTGTGGAACCCTCTGCTGCTGCAGCAGCAACCAGTTCTTCCATTACATCGTCGTCTACGCTGGCGATATCCACAGCGGCGATTATAAGTAGTGATAAAAACCCCGAGTCCAAAGGTGGTGGTGATACATCCAAAGAGTCCAATAATGCTGCCTCCAATATGTCAGCAAGTACTGCAACTACAGCAGGAGGTGATACAATCCCAACATCCAGTACATCATCAATAAAGGCGACGACGACGCCATCAGAATTGAGTACAAATTTTGCAAATTGTGATTCCAAGACTAATACAACAACAGAAACAACATCATCAGCTGTAGCAACACCATCGGCGTCCACCAGCAGCAGCAGCAGTGGCATATCAACAATAACAACAACTGCTGCTGCATCAATGGCCACAGCAACAGCAATCACAACAAATCCTCCTCCGTCATCTTTGTCGTCACCAGCGACAACAGAGAATTTGACAAATGCCACCAACACAACTACCGTCGTCTCTGTAGACGGCATTAAAACTGAAATCAAAATGGAGGATGAGGAAATGCCCTCATCGGATATCCCAGTACCACCGCATGCAATTAGCAAACATATGGTAAGTTTATGATTCTATATTTTTATCATCAAAAAAAAAAAAAAAATCCGGAAATTAGATTTTGGTATTGAAAATCGAATATATCGATCCACTTTTGGGAGGTATACAGGCATGTCACAGAAGTTTTACGAAATCGATTTAATTCACCTTTTCCAAATCGTTACGATTTGCTTTTGCTTCTTCAGCACTCGTACGTTTTGACTAATCCGGAAAAAAATCATTTCACATTTTTGAAATAAAAATATGGTAACTCCATGAAAAAAAAGTCGTAAACAAATTATTGACAATTAAAAAAGGAGTTTAAATTGTTTTTTATAATATAAACACCAAAAGTAAAAATGCCAGGGGCTTCAATACTTGCTGTAATGGATGAAGAAATAAATCAGCGGTCTACTGAAAAAATTCGTCGCCGGACATTGAGGAACGCATCAGATCCTTTATCTCACTCAAATGCAGAGTAAGGATCCACCAGCAATGAGTTATTTTCAAATTTATTTTAATAATAAATTATCTCTACAGATTTATAACTTATTATCGACAGCAAAGCTGTCAATTCCGTCCTTTTACATAGTCCTTTACCTTTTACATAGCCCCTGGCAATATCGTGATGTTTATCCATAAAATTGATAAAAATTTTGTCCTGTTTAACGTTTCGGTGTTTGCCCCTAAAGTATAAAATAAATTAAATAAACAGTTTTTGACGAAAATTTAGAAATATGTATGTAAATACTTACATTTTTGCCCGATTGACTGAAGCGCTCTGTCTCAAACCCAACAATTAATTGTATTTTTGTTTTTCCCCTTTCTTGCTTTTTGGTCTGTCAGTTGTACATTTCTACACCTTCTTCTTCAACACATATGGCAATAATTCAACAATACAAGTCTGCCGTTCATTTCTGCATATTTTTTTGCGTTTTCATCATGGATTAGAAAAATAATAGATTTTTTGTAAAATAAATTCCAAAAACATGTTCATTCTAAGAGAATTTGGTTAATACAATATTTTCTGTTAAATGTATGTGTCTTCTGTTTATTTTTTACGTTAAAATCACTAAACATTTCAATTTCACCCTGCTTTTTGAAAGTGATATCAAAACGCAAAATGTTTGCATTTTCCGTTTTTTAGAGAAGCTAAAACCGTTTTCGTTTTCACTCTTGAACGATTTTACATTCTGTGACATGCCTGATAGTTTCCCTTTCTTCTCTTTTATATTGCCTCCTGAATTTCGATATTTTGAATGTCTTGACGGTACAACAGCCGGAGCTGAAGTTCCATCAACTGTTCTCCACGATGCCCTTATCCAAGGGTGCGACCGTGAGCGGGCCCGTCCTCTTGATAAGATCGACCAGGAGATAGGCAAGATTCTTATCAAGTGAACACTTAGGCAGTAGCGGAGTGTACTTTTCGAACTTCCTCATTGCCTTCAGGTTTGCCCTGATAAGGGTCTTTTCCCTTTCCGTCACCTGAGAGGGGTCAGGGTCAATGAATTTTTTACAATACTTCACAGATCTTTTGTAACCCCTTCCGGCCTTTGCCTACTTTGAGCCGGAGTCACTGCGGTTGATAGGGATGTTGGAGGGTGTACTATCCACTTCATCACCTTCTACAGTGGCATCCTGCATCTGGAGGTTAACCGCATCGGTGCATGCCGATGGTTCCTCCTCCTCGAGTTTTGACCTCACCGTAGAGGCAGGTTGGGTGTTTCTGGTGGATTTTAGGAATGACTCAGCTCTCTGAGTTGAGGATCTGACAGTGACGTCTAAATCCACATCAGCGAGAGGTGAGTCTTTCCCAAAGCCAGATGGAACACTTTCCTGACTGAGCCTCAGAGTTTTGGTTGTTATCGAGGAGGGCGGACATCTTTTCACTTTGTTTCTGGATGCTTTCACATACTACGTCACCAGCATTTGAGATTATGTCCGTGTTTGTTGCAATAGTCGACGCCTCCGACGAGGCGGTTGAAGAATTGTCGTTGTTTGGGTTTGTTTTTTTTATCAAGTTTTATTTCGTTTTCCATAATATGTTTAGACAGTGGGTATTTTTGGATTTTTCCCTCTGCGATTTTCTCTTGATTTTAATTTTTTTCTTTTATATTTTTTTCCCAGGACGAAGCCTACACCCTCTTTTATGCTAACAACAATTGGTATTTATTCTTCCGTCTGCATGCCATACTCTGCGAACGTTTACGCACCATGTATGAACGTGCTCAAATTATTGCCGCCGAAGAAGAGAAATACAAACAGAATCGTCGCGAAAACATCGCACAAGCCCTAAGACTGAAACCGAAATCTGAAGTAGCCGTCGAAGACTACTATCCAACGTTTCTCGACATGCTGAAGAATGTTTTGGATGGCAACATGGATTCGAATACATTTGAAGATCAGATGCGTGAAATGTTCGGCATACATGCCTACATCTCGTTTACCCTCGACAAGGTGGTATCGAATGCTGTGCGCCAACTGCAGAATTGTGTCACGGAACGTATTGCCTTGGATTGTGTTGAGTTGTTCCATCATGAACAGAAGAAGGGTGCGGCCGGTGGTCTGTGTCGCAATGCGAATAAATCGTTCAATGCTGAAATGCATTATCAGCGCAAGGCCGAAGAGATTTTGCATGAGGAGAATTGCTTTAAAATATATATTGTAAGTTGCTGTGGGATTTCCAACCATACATACATCCCGCATATATAACTAATGTTGTTTTGTTTTTTTAATTGTAGTATAAGATTGACTGTCGTGTGACAATCGAGTTATTGGACACGGACAGCGATGATGTGGCCGAACGTGAAAAACCTGTAAATAAAGTTAAATCATGGTCGAAATATGTCGATCGTCTGACCAATCCAACATCGGCCAATAGCAGCCACAGCAATACTAATGCCAATTCGCCAAATTCATCCAGCAACAACAACAATAACAACAACAATTCATCATCGAACCTAGATGCGAGCAACAATCTAACAAACAACGAAATTAAAACCGAAAGATGGGACGAAGATGGTTTGGTAAGTCTAGTTTATTGAAGTTGAAATTATTTCTACTCATATAATAAGAAAAATTCGATATCTGAGTACAGATTTGGATATAAAAAATATACATTTCCAATAAATCACAAGGAAGGAATTTTACTAACTAATCTTAAGATGTAATGGGGTTTCAAATAAAACATTTTTTTTTTACTCGGAATACATAAAATTTAAATTTGTGGTAATATAAGAAAAATATATTTTCTTGAAAGAACCTTGATTGTCCTTCAAATATTTGGAAAATATATCTAGATGCCATTACAGCTTCAGTCTAATCTTATAAATGACATATGGAATGTAGTAAATCCAAAATTATTAAATGTGTGTGTGGAATTTTTCGGTCGGAGTTGTTGGAAGAAATACACTCACTACTATCTGTGGACATATACATTATGGATGTATTTCCCATTCAAATTGGCTAGAAAACTCGAACTTAGCATGTTGGGTCCATATATGTTTGGATTTCTAAAGCTCCTTTGTTATCTTAAAATTGCTTTGCTTTAATGTCTTACAAATCTTATCCTAATAATTCACAAAGGCCGCAGGTTTAAAGAAAGAGAAGAGTAGCGTAAAGATTGTAACTCATCCGTATCCTCACGCCGAGCCATCTCTGAACTTTTCAGTGGTGTAAATAAATAGTTTATGGTCTTTTCTCGATTATTTTAATTAGGTTATGGTATTTCGGTCCTTTGTTACCTCTCCGATTCGTGTTTCAAAAAAGCGGTTCAAGTGTTAGAACATAACACATTTAAATTTCAATATTTTTCAACTATAGACAATTTTTGATTCTCTAGTTCTGTACATTCACACATAGTCTGCAGTAGTCTGGGTTAAAATCGGATGATGTACAGAAAGAAACAGCTTCGGCGTCGTGAATGTCTTGTACGTTTTTCAAACGGTTTTTAACTCTCATCTTCATTTATACAGCATCAAAGGAGGGTACTTCTTAAGACAGTCGATATTGTGTTGTTATGACTTTTTGATCAAGAACACTTAACTGGTCCACGTATCCCAAGACATGAATTCCTTTCGTAGTTTTTCAGTACATTTTTTATATAATCATGGCTCTTCCTGCGCAATTTAATTCCAGTATTTTTTGTCAACTCGATTGCATTCTCAACAGCCAAAGGACTTGAAACTATACCATATCGTTAGTATATACGATTTGTTTGTAGCCTATCAACTTGGAACTCATTCATTCTCATTATCAGATCCTGAGTACAGCGAAATTTTAAAGAAGAACATCGAACAGTTCATGAGGGCTTAGAATGCTTTAGGATAAGTAGAAATAGAAATCAAATACTTCTATAGACAATGAAAGACGTGAAGGTCTTCAAAGAAAGAAAGAATAAAATTCAGTGCCATTTGTTTGTTATAAGTTGGTGTTGTGTCAATCTAGTTCATAGTTCAGTTCACCAGTTTCTAAACGTATGATTGATATCATATATGTATTTCATATCACTCATACGGAGAACTGGATAAGGAACTAGTTGTTATTATTATTGTTGCAGCAATAGTACATGTGAGTGTTCGCATTATGCTAATCTGGTTCAAGCTCTATGTTAAAAAATTCGCTACTTGAACTGCCTGTAGGCAGAGATCTTTTGGAGTGAGTTGATAGGTAGGTTTGATTGAGACGACTACACCATCCTGAACCTAATTGCGCCAAAATTACCCTGGTTTGTCTAGACAGCTAGCGTTCTTCAGCTGCAATGGATGGGGGTTGACTCCGAGGTGTCATGAAGAGGCACCCTGTCGCAGTTCTCAGGGCAGCATTCTGGCAGGTCTGCATCTGCTTCCACTGTGTAACACCAGTATTCACAGACCACATTATAGCTACATAGCTGACCACAGCACGACATATTGCATTGTAAGAGGTCAACAAGGTTTCCTTGTACGCACCCCAAGGGCCGACGGCTAGCCCCTAGATTAGCACAATTCTGGTATTAATATCAAACAGCAGCAATTTGGTACCACCACTAGAATAAGGTTAAGAGTACCTGGATTTTAATTGTCAATTCCCTCTAAAATATCAACATGCTATAAAAATGGATAGGTACCACAATAACATCCATTAAATCTAGAGTCATTCGTGGACTGTAAGAAAGCCCTTCTTGAAATACGTGCATTTCCAAAACAAAGATTTTTTAAAATCATCGAAAAGTGAAGAAGAAGAAAGTGAAAGCTATAAGTTCGGCCCGGTCCTCCAATATTTGGAACGAATTTGGCAATTAAAAAAAAATGTTAAGAATTCTGTTAAAAGTCTTTAAAATACCAAATGAAGCCTTCATATTATGAACATAACGACGACGTCAACTTTGTCATAAGCCATTACAATTTTCAAATGAGAAACTTGAAAAAAATCGGTTAATAATGCAGCTAAAATTATCAATATAGGGAGGTACTATTATATGGGGGCTATACGAAGACATGAACCTGCACAGACAATTTTCTGCCTTAAGGCTGCAGTATCCATTACGAACTTCAAATACCAAATTTGGAACACTTCCGGTGAATAATGTCGCTTAGATCATCAAAATACCGCATATCGGGAGGTACCGATATATGGGGGCTATACGATGACTTGGACCTGCACATATAACTTTTTGTCTTAGACTGTAGTATTCATTACGAACTTCAAATACCAAATTTGAAACAATTCCGGTGAATAATGTTGCTAAAATCATCAAAATGCCGCATATCGGGAGGTACCGTTATATGGAGACTATAACGAAACGTGGACATACATCACCCATTTTCAAGACCAAAAGACCTGCAGACGTAACACACATTTGAGTAAAATTTTAAGAACTAAATTTAAGAAGCTAAATCGACATAGAATTTGATGCTGATCAAGAATATATATATATATTGTGGGGTCTAAAATGTATATTTCGAAGTGTTACAAACGGAATGACAAACATAATATACCCTCCATACTATGGTAGAGGGTATGAAAATTTACCAACAATCTTTCAATTAAATCTCTCTCTGTCTCTCTTGTGCAAAAAGTCTGTGTTAAGATACGACTTGTAGCAACAATTGTTATAAATTTTAGGGTAACACCAGGCAAATATATTATGTGCTTCAGAATATCGGCATACATCCTTCAGGAATACATGGAGAGAACAATAGTGTATTTTTTAATCCATATCTGTGTGACAGAATAACGAAAGACACGTTGTATCAAAAACAATAAATATAATTAATACAAATTTAATATTCTATCTTCTTTTGGAATTGGGAATGTTGTCTTTTTTTGTTAGATTTAGTTTCCAGCTTCTTTTTCATTCTTGTTTGTTTTGTTCTTGTTCTCTTGATCCTTATACATATCCCTATCATATTGTATTTTTTATCAAAATATAACTTGGTAATTTTGCTGCACACTTGCAATAGTTTTTTTTCTTCAATTTTTACGTTTTTTTTTTAATTATAAAATTGAATGCTTTCATCTTCTTCTACTTAGAATTGTTCTTAGTTTTGTTTTGTTGTTGTTTTGTAAGCAAATTTTATAATTCTTCAAATCCAAACGAAAATTTAAATCTCACTAATTAATGCTTTTTGTGCATTTCTCTAATATTTTTTTCTTTTTTCGATTCTTTCTCCGTACCAGGTCAAACCCAAGGCTTAAATTTAATTAAAAAAAAAAGATATTGAAAAAGAAATACTAAAATGAAAAAAGCAAATATGCAAATAAAACTAACTGCTAAAATTACAAGTAGTGAAAATCTCAATATTTTCTTAATCTCAACATCATATGTATGATATGATTTATGAGAAAGACGCAAAAAAAAAAACAAAACAGAGATTGAAGCAATTATAGAATTTTGACTCAAAATGCTCGTCTTATGCAAAAATCGAACAAAAACAAAAGCAATGACAAAACTAATCCTCGAATCATGTGCTAATATCACACACACCCACACTCACTGGTACACAGAATTGCAACTTTATATCAATAACAACCACCACCGCTACCACAACCAACACCACCACCCAATCACCATCATCCTCCATTCAAACAACACCTCCAATCCATCACCAACAACACCCCACCCTCCCATTTTTGTATTATGTATAGTTTTCTTTTACCCCTGCCCCCTGTCCACTAAGAAATTTGTTTTAATATTTTAACAAACAAAAACTACCCTCTATATGCATACTAAATTATATATTAATTAATATATACATATATCATATATATATATATAGAAATTTAATTGTAATATTGTAAAGTTTTAATTTCATTTTGTCACATAAACGTCAAACGATCTGCGGCATCATTATCTTAGAAGAACAAAACAAAAAAATAAAAAAATCGAATTTTAGTTATAGAAAAATACGCATCGCGTCGTTAGACACATTTTTTATAAAAAAAAAATAAAAAACAAAACCATAACTTAAAGGTTTTTAGTAATATTTGTAAATAAATGATTTCCCCTTAATTTTTTCTATTAAACTTTATACAAAAAGAAAATCACACAACAATCAAACTGAAATACTTTTCTAAATTAAGATGAGCGAAGAAGAAATATTTAAAGTCACACTCATTCCCTCAGTCTTTTTCTAAATAAATAAGTTGTAAAAGATGGATAGATCTATTGACAAAAAATACAACATTTTTAAACCAAACGATGATTATGAAAACCAAGTTATTTATTTATTTTTTTTTTAAACAAAAGCGAAAAGAAAAAATAATAAAATGAACAAAGTTATTTTACACATATACAAATGAACAAATGCCTTGTTGTTCAGTGTTTCGTATTGTAAATGGCGGGGGTTGAGTAGCACGATTTTTTTTAGGTATTTTCAAATTTTAGAAACTGCTAGTATTGACAACGATTAAAAAAAAAAACTAAACAATATAAATAATAACTAGAAGAGGTAAGTTGAAAATAGGAGAGAAATTTAAATTCTTCAAAACAACTTTGAGCCTTCCGCTCACACATACATGGCTTATTTCCAGGAAGGGGGCGGTACAAGCAGAGACAGACTCCAAAACCATTTGGTTTATGATTACATTGGTCAAGAGAATATATCAGCCCAAGTGTTGCTATTGACAAAGGGGAGTTCAGGTGACGGTCATTGAACGAGAGAGAAAATCTGACATATCTCGTCAAGGTTCCTTCATGATGGCTAACGGCTCTTTTTTATTTTCCTTCCCCTTTTGGGTCTTTTTATAACCACCAACATACATACCATTTTTACCATGACTCCTCGAAATAATTATACCCTCAGCCATATGGGTAGAGGAGAGGGTATATATCATTTGGTAATGTAACGGGTTTGGACAAAATCCGTTTCAGGATATTTGGATTCGATCTAGCGATGTCCGTCCGTCTGTCTGGCTGGTGCGCACGATTCATCTCGAAGGGAGTATCCGATTTGATCCAAACTTGGTACATCGTAATATTATTGCCAAACTTAGATCGAGTTCGGAGATGGGCAATATTGGTCCACTCCTTCTGGTACCTCCCACACAAAATGCCAATATTTTCGAAGAAAATAATTTACTGTACAGAAAGAGAAAGGATAAACCGATTATGCTCCAACTTTGCGAATCCTAATATTTTCATTAGTGCTAGGTCAGGTGCGAAAATTGACAATATCAGTCTACTCCATAAAGTACCTCCCCCCCCAATGGGTCAACATTTTGAATAAATATAACCTTTACAAAATGTGATGTGGTAGTCCGATTATCTAAAATTTCATTCATCACAATATTATTTTAACCCAAAGTCTGGTGTGAATATATCGGCCCACTCCTTCTGGTACTTCCCCCACAACGGGTCAATTTTTTTATTATCCATGAAGCCATTCAGATTCCATTTAGACTTGGCACATTTCAATATTTCCATAACAACAAGATCTGTTATAAAGATGGTAGAGATCGGACCATTCTTTCTGGTACCCTCCCCCCACAAAGGATTAAAGTTTTAAATAATCAAAACGATCATAAAATCCGAAAAAGCATCCGCATTCTCTTCAAAGTACACACATGAAATTGAAATTGGGATATATCAGTCCATTCCTTCTGGTACCTCTCCGCCTCTGGTACCTCTCATCCTAACCACCATATGGTGGAAAGAACTCCCCCACCCAGACGTGTCTGGAAGGACCTGCATAATCTAGAGAGAGAGGTCAAGCGATATAAGAGAGAGCACCTAGATCATGAAGCCTATTAAGCGGGTCTGAATATCATTCATACTGATGCAGTCGCTAAGGTAGTAATCAATTAAAGTATGAATGCCATCCTCGGAGTCCACCCCCATGCATGCTGCCTATGCAAACCAGGGTAGTTTTGGCCCAATTATTTTCAGGATGGTGCAGCCGTCTCAATTCATATTGGGCACGAATTGATGAAGATGTGCCCAGCGTGTGATACAGGCCCGCACAATACGCAGCCCATAAAGGTAGCAGAATTCCTAAACCTGGACATCGAGGAAAGTCCGAATTAATCAGTCAACAAACAACGGAGCACTGCTACAACAACAACCACTTCAACGGCTTGGTAAAACTATTTTAACGGCTCCAAAGCCGAACGTACACATCTTGAATGCTTAAAAGTTGAGGCTTGAATTCAGGGCAGATTCATAAGTACTCCTAGGAGTTCTGCACTGCATTTGGAAATTGGAAATTAAAAACATTTTATTTATGTTATTCTGTGGTCTTGACTTTCGACCTGTGGATTCAGATTGGAACTATGGACATTTCATGAGGGAATCGATTCCAAGGCCACTTTTTCAAAAGCTAACACTGTTGCGAGTGAGGCCTTCAACTATCTATTATCTTCTGATGTAGGCGATCTTCCTATGTAAAACAATTTAAAATAAAATATTATATAGAATATAATTTAAAAAGAAATAAATTGTCTCTCAGTCATTGAAGATCACTAAAATATACTCGATTTCACAAATCAAATCGCGCTTTCCACCACACACCAGTATGTCAATATTTTGGTAATGTCTGCCAAGCAAAAATGGATTATCTAGCTTAGAACTCAAAACAACGAGGACATTTTTTACAGACAACTTTTTTTGTTTGGTGGGAAATATTATTTTCTGTCTTGCTATGGTCATATGTATGCATTATCATCGTTTTGCTTGAAAAAAAAAAAAACATCCTTAATTCATTTATGCTGTTATCTTTTGTTAAATTTTAGTTTTAACAAATGACCTGGTACGCTTTTTAAACGAACCAATTTCATTTTCTTAATTTAATTTATCCTTAATTTTCTATTAGTTTAATAAACAAGGTTATAATTTTAGTATTTTTTTCTTAATAAGTTTATATACAATAAATATGTAATTTAAAAACCTCTCTTATTTTCTTCCATCCACAGGACATGCATGCACCACGAAAACCAAGATTTTTGAAACGTAACAAGCGTTTGGCCTATTTGAAAGCAGCAAATCATTTGAACATGTTGAGGGAAACTCCACCAAATACTGGAGCAGGAGGAGGTGGAGTGGTGGCAAGTGGCTCAAATGCTGTACCAGGTGGTGTCATTTCCTCCTCTTCCTCGTCGGCAAACGAAAATATTTCCACCAGCAATAGCAACGATGTGCTGAACAGCAGCTTCTGGAGTAAACGACCCCCCGAACGTTTGGGCAATCTGCGACTGCCAAGCGAAAAATATTTCATAAATGATCGTGATGAGATCAAATTGAATGCCTCGGGTCGTCAAGTTTTTGTCATCAATAAGAATCTCAAATTTTTCAAATTGGATTCTGTGAGAAAAGCAAAAATGGTAAGTGGCAGCGGGATATTTTGTTTTATTTGTTTGTTCTCATTGTGTCAAGTGTTATGTGGTAAACCATTGAATTGTTGTAGTTTGTTTGCAGACAGGGCTAGTTCAAAAACTGGTCGGTCGTTGCAATTCCATGTAAACAACAAGTAAAACATATATCAGTTGGTTTTACCGACAGATGTATACCCCCAGACTTCAGTTATGATTATTCAAACCCTTTATGGGAGAGAGGTCCCAAACAGTTGGACTATATTGACCAATTCGAAAATATTTAATTTGTTCTAAGACTGATAAAAAATATTAAAACGTGCCAGATTTGGACTATATCCACTACTTCCTATACTTTATGAGATATGTCGAAATTTTTGAAAAATGTGGAAGAGATAAAAACCCTGCAATAAAGTCAAACGCCATAGTTTTGACATTTTTTTTTTTTAATTTTATTAAATGAAAGAAAAAATGTCGGAAATAGCATCAAATTTTAAAATAAAATAAGATTTATTCGAATTGGTCACCTTTGGCACGAATTATGGCCTTCAAACGGCATGACACCGTCACACGCTGCTCGAATGTTGCTTTGCGGTATTTTGGCCCATTCCCGGCGAAGCGTTTGTTTGCTTGAGGTGATGACACTTTGGTCTTTTTTTGTGCCAAACTTGCTTTTCAAAATACTTCAGACACAATAGTCCAACGGATTGGTATCCGGAGATTTTGGGTGGCCATTGTACGCTGAAAATGAATCGAGGAACCTAATTTTGTAACCATTCTTGGGTGGGGCGTGCTGAGTGCGATGGTGCTGAGTCCTGTTGGAATGTCCCAGATCTGCGGCGAAAATGTTTGCGTGCCCAAGGCTTTAATATACCCTCGAGAATATTTTCGCGATAATATTCGTCATTTATTCTGATGCCACGGTCGATAATACAAGCAGAGAGCGACCATCGGCTGTTATGGCGGCTCACACATTCACCATGGCCGGTGCTTAAGTTCTGGTGGCCAACAGAAGGTGCACTGACAGCTAACATCTTTGGCAAGTAAATATATCATTTTGTTTGTTTACAAACTGCTGGACAACGAATGTTTTCTCATCAGAGACCACAGAGTTCACCACTTTCGGCCAAGCGAAGCAACTCTTTAGGGTTTTTTGAGTCTATTTTCTTTCTGTTGCGGTGTAAATTCTTGCACTTTCAATGGCTTTGCCTCGAGCTCATTTTTTAATACTTGCCGAATAGAATATTGCGATATGTTCAGGTCACGAGCCATTTTTCGGTTACTGTGACGCGGGTTTCAATCAAATCAGTTTTTGGACAGTGCTTGCATATTTCCAATGCAAGACAGATGCGCATTCTAACACATGACAGTCTAACAGGAACTCTCTGATCTAAGAATCACGGTAGGCAAACTGATAAGGATAACAGTGCGATGTGATAACATTATTCCCGACTACTGTAGACTATATACATGTCCCATGTTATCCAAAAAGAGACATTGGCGGTCTCTTACTAAAAGGCGGGAGATAGAAAACCAAACGTAGATCCCATCATCATCTACAAGTTTGCCAAAAACTTTCGCTATATATCTGGTTCTCTTGAAGAATTTATTTTTCTGCATAAACAAATTTATTATGTATCATTATTTAATAATTCTAATTTTTGTATTTTCTTGTTTTATTTTCAGTGTCACATGCGTGTCACCCAATCCAAATATAAACGTTTCCAACAGTTTGCCCAAAATTGGCTAAACACCAATGTCAGCGGAGACCAGCAGCAGCAGTGCAACGAATGGCTATTGGGCAATTCCAACAACATCAACACTTCTGCTGCTTCCAACAACAATAGCATGTCTATTCCAAAAACCCTAATGATAATACAAAACGATTTGAAAAAGACACCATATCATCCATATCATCGGTATAAGGTATTAAATGTGACAACTGGAACAACGCCGGGCAGTATTGCTGCAGCAGTGGCTGCCATTGGCGCTGCCGGTGGTATATCTACAAATATCATAACCACATCATCATCCTACAATACAACAATAACAAATGCAATTAGTGCAAATTCATCGTTGGCCCCGACAGCGGCTTCGACGGCGGCTGTGACATCAATGGCTGGTGGCAACATCATGGCTGGCAGTGCTGCAGGTGTTAATCTGACAACATTGGCCAATGTAACGACCCTTAATGTGGTGGGCACCGGCGTGCCATCAACGGTTACAATTAATGATGGTAGTGGTGGTGGGGGTGGTACCACCATTACATCCTCCTCATCTTCGACAACCCCCATTTTATTGGCAACTACAAATTACAATAGTGTGGATGGCATCATACAATCAACATCTGTGTCGGCGGCTGCCGCGGCATCAGCATCATCCCAAGAACAACCTGCCCAGGTTAGACCCTTGGAAAGCTAGAAGAAATAAATTAGTGAAATAAACACCCTATCCAAATTGTTAATGTAAACTTGTAAATAGATTGTAATTGCATTTTGAATCCCAAACATTATTTTAAGCGAAAAAAAATATTTTGAAGCTCAATATTCTGTTGTTTTTTAGAAAACCTAGCAAAATTGAAATGGGAATTTCAATCTACTATAATTTCAAACCTCAAACAACAATCGCAATAGAATCACCACACAATCTGCTGGACAAAAAGTTGTTAATAAATTAACTATGAATATAAGCGTTTTTATACCCAACACGAACTCCACCACCACCAGCTCCACCAGACACCCAAGTAGTGTGCAGGCTAGATTTACTTGTTTCTTTCGTCGTGTAAAAAGTCACTAAATAATAAAAATTATAAATAAATATTATTCAAAATGTTGTTAATGCAAAGAAAAATATTTAATTTTCTTTTCAATATGATTTTTTAGATTCCTTCCTTTGTAGATCTTAAATGTACTTGTAAAAAATTATGCATACATTCAAAAAACTTATATAATATACTAACTACCACAAGCCGAAGTGGGCCACATATGTTGATATGTACACATAGGCGGCCCCACTTTGCTCTTCTCTTCTTTTTAGCTATCATAGAAATTAGACTTAGGTGTTTTTATATGAAATGAAATTGATGAAAAACAATCAAATCCTCTGCTCCAAGAAAAACAAGAAAAGGAAAAGAACCACCACCCCACACACCCAGACAAAAAAAGTAACTATAAATAATTCTTAGCATAAGTTTTATTTAAGGAAAGATTAGGATATATGATTTCCTTTCTTTGCAAAAATAAAATTGTTAGGTATTACAAATAAATAATCGTTTATAGAGTATTTCAGAGTAATAAACACAATAACAATAAACACAAGAAAACCTTCAATCTACCACTTACTTGTAGCTATTATATTATATAGTTCTAATTACATTGTTTTTTTTTTCTTTCATTAAGTTTAATTCTTATTTGTATTGCTATTTACTATTATCATTAATCTAATTAATCTAATATATTACTCTTGTAAATGTTATCATTAATTCCTTAGAATTGAAATAAGGATATGATTATAAATTTATATATATACATATTATGTATATGTTATTTCATATATAAATATAATAAAAATATATATTGAGAAAAATGAGATAAACAACAATTATAGTTTAAAGAAATAAAAACAAAACTACACACACAAAATAAACATTTTAACATTTTTGTAAAAAAAATATGAAACTTGTTTTAATTTACAAATTGCATCAGAATTCGGAAGAAAAAATGGATTTTACTATCTGAGGATTTTACTATCTTATCAGCTTTCAAACTCTATGAAATAAGTCACCACCCCACCATCTGTAACCATGTGTCGACTATTTTGGATTTCTTGAAAGAGACATCTACTGCGGTCCCAAACTAAATATGCAGTGAACCCTTTCCCATCTTGGAGCATGGAAGCAGAGATTATCCTTTTGATATTTTTATACCCTCAGCCATATTTTTTTTAAATTTTATTGAATGAAAGCAAAAAAAAAAATAGCGGAATAGCATCAAATTTTAGAATAAGTTTAGATTTGTTCGAATTGGTCACCTTTTGCACGAATTATGGCCTTCAAACGGCCAATGAAACCGTCACACACTGCCCGAATGTTGCTCTGCGGTATTTTGGATCATTCCCGGCGAAGCGCTTGCTTGAGGTTATCGACACTTTGGTATTTTTTAGTCCCAACCTTGCTTTCCAAAATACTCCAGACACAATAGTCCAACGGATTGGTATCCTGAGATTTTGGTGGCCATTGTGCGCTGAAAATGAAGAGAGGAACCTTATTTTGTAACAATTCTTGGGTGGCTCATGCTGAGGGCGATGGTGCTGAGTCATGTTGGAATGTCCAAGGTCTGCGGCCTAAATGTTTGCGTACCCAAGGCTTTAATATACCCTCGAGAATATTTTCGCGATAATATTCGGCATTTATTGTAATGCCACCACGGTCGATTAATACGAGCGGAGAGAGACCATCGGCTGTTATAGCCGGCGCTTGAGTTCTGATGGCCAACCGAAGGGGCACGTTTTTAGCTGACCTCTTTGGCAAGTAAACACCATCATTTTGTATGTTTATAAACTGCTGGACAACGAATGTTTTCTCATCGGAGACGGAGAAAACTAAATTCGGCAGTTCACCACTTTCGGCCAAGCGAAGCAACTCTTGAGCTCTTTTGAGTCTATTTTCTTTCTGGTGCCCTTTTTGTAATTTCAATGGCTTACCCCGAGTTCATTTTTCAATATTTGCCGAATGGAATGTTGCGATATGTTCAGCTCACGAGTCATTTTTCGGGCACTGCGACGCGGGTTTCGATCAAGTCGCTTCTTAATTTTCGAACCATCTCTGCTGATGTTGCTGTTTTCTTCCGTCCACTTCCTTGACTTCGGGCTAAGATGCTACCAGTATCGCGGTAACGGGCGATACATTCTCACCAAAATGCTTTGTACGCTTTTGAACAATATAATGAGCTATCACTGGAATAATTTTAACACCTGTCGGACGAGAGGCTTAGAAATGACAGCAGTCCACGTGTTTCAAGAAGGGTTTTTTAGAGTCAAGAGTGACACTTGATCTAAAGGCCCTTTACATGCTAGCATTAAGGGCCTTCTGACTATAAACATATATTGTCACTAGTCCTCTTATGCTATTGCATAGTTCTTTTACCATCTTGACTGCCTTTTCAATTTCAAGGATCTCCGAATGAAAAACGCTGCAGTGGTCATTAAGCTTATATGAGTGTTTTCTCAATGGGTTAGGGCAGAATACGCCAGCATCGGTGACTTCGCCCATCTTGGAAACGTGGAACCGCCAGACCATACTTTCATCCTGTAGCTGCTGAATAATGGCATAAGACTGGTTATTCCTTAAAGATATTCCATCTGGGCGCCATCTGCTCAAGCTCTTAAGATGTTTCCATTCAAACAAACGTCGGTTTAATCCAAAACCCATATCCCACTAAGATATGAGTTCTTCAACGAATGCAACAAAGTATGTGTATTTATATAAAAATGAAGTTTTTAAAAATGTTTATTTATAACAAATAAAATTATATTGAAAAATCTATATACATAAATGGTTGATATTGTAAAATATTTCATGTAAAGTTAAATGAGATAAATGTATGTACTTTTGTATTAAATTTTGAATATAAAAACAAATTTAAAAATAAAAATAATCACTTATATAAAAAGTCTTTACGAGTTATAATACCGCTAACACGATTTTCCTTATCGACGACAATTAAATGACGCAAGCCGAGGGCACGAAATTTATTGAAAATTTTCTGTACAGAATCGTGCTGGAAACAAAAGAAATAAAAAAGACAAACAACATTTAGAAAACAACAAGTCAGATGTGAAAATTGCCTACCTCTCTGGAGCAAACAGGCGATGGATTCATAAATATATCCAAGTTCACTGTATAATTCACCTTATCATCATGCATTCGGACATTCTAGGAATTGCATATAGGCATTAAATAAAATTGTAAAATAACATTTATAAAGAGAAAATAAATTTCTTACATCGATGGATGGATAACGTGGATAAACATCCCGAAACGTTTGTATCGAGGTCTCATTGATCCAAAAACGTTTTTTCTCTTCATAAAGAGATTTCAGTAGAATAACAATCAATTGGGAACGTAATATAATGCCACAGACACGTCCCTTGGAGCGATCATTCTATGACACAAAAAAAAAATATATAAATTAGTTATATTGCAATATAGCCTAGATTTTGCAATACTGCTACTTACACCTTCCACATCATCGACAACTGGGAAACCATTGTGTTTGTATCTATTCAAAATGTCATAGATATATTTGGATTTATCCCTTAGTTTGATGCACACCACCGGTGAACTCATAATATTCGAGGCTTTCAAACCCATGTAATGGGGTAATGGTTCCCAGGGTAGCATTGGTACATGATTAACCTTTACCTGGATATCATAGATGCCCTCATTGAAATAATCACCCACCCATTTGGCACTGATCAAAGTTATGATGAGCGGAAAGAAGAATGAGGTTTCAATGCCGGTCGTTTCCATTAAAATAACTGTCAAACTAATTGTCATGCGTAGAACGCCACCAAGATTAGCTGCTGCTCCAATTAAGGCATACTTGCCAGGATTTAGGAAGGCCTGAAAGTGTACCCTTTATCAATTTCATACACATTCGTTATTAAAAAAAAAAGAAAAACATACTGCCGTTGGAAATACATAATACGCCACCATGGCCACCAAACGTCCCCAGGCCGCACCCACCAAGGCAGTGGGTATAAACACGCCCAGACTTACATTCAGGCCAAATGTAAAGCAGGACAACAGGAAATAAATCAGTGTAAACAACGTCAAGCTTAAGATTTTGTGGGATCCTTAATATTTTGCAAAAATAAAGGCTAAATTAATTCATTAAAAAATGTTTGATGAAAAATACCTGGAGGATCATGAAACAATGATCGCACCGTGGCCTCAGGTGTTTGGAACCACAAGGCAGCCACGGCATTATATTCATTGTCCTCGCAAAACAGCTACAATAAAAGTGGAAACAAATAAAAGAACTAGACATGCTTTACAAGTCCCCCCTTACCTGTGTTGGATAATCGGTGGGGTCATTGCCCAAGGGACGACAATCGTTTATAAAATAAATCATGGTGCAAGCCAACGATACACCTATTAAAGCAACCAGCACAGCTTCCATAACTTTACCGAATTTGAACTTGATAAATCTGGAGCGAAATTTATTAATTTTTGTGTTCAGCATATTCCATAGAGCGCCCAGCAGGCCACCGGTTATGCCAAATATCATAAAAATTGGCAGCTCATAATATTCGAATGTTAGAGGCTGTTCAAATTTGCCCAAATTGAAGAGGCCGGTGAATGTGAAATCACCCAGCCCATGATAGGCTGACAAAACAATATTCAAGGTAAACGAACTGATGATGGATGCCACCAATGTTCGCCATATGAGATTTTGATTCCAAAAGCTGGCCGCTTCCTCTAATGAGAACAGCATACCACCGATGGGTGAGCCAAAGGCAGCGGCAACACCCGCTGCTGCACCTCCCAAAACAAAGTCGCGTTTTTCGTGATCATCGCGAAATGCCTTGAAAATACGGAAATCCTTAACGAATGTTGTGCTCTTTCCCTGTGAAATGCCAGCGGCAACTACAGCGCCAGCATGTATCATTGGACCTTCCTAAATAGAAATGATGTGGGTGTCATGTAGATAGATATTATATATCATGCCAATGTCACTTACTTTTCCGCCTGCAAGTCCACCAACAACCGAAGTAATGACGCCAATACTTTTTACCGCCAACGTCTTGATGCGCACTATTCGTGGCACTTTGACGCCATTCAAATAACTTTTCACCTGGGGTATGCCACTGCCAGCAGTGATGGGTTCAATATAAGTGACCATTGCGGCACCCAGCGCCACGGGAAGCATACTCAAACCCAACCAATATAAATACGGTATGGCTAAGTCACCAACGGGATTGTCCTGATGAGGAACATTGATGTCAACAGCTGGAATTGGACAAGATGTAAATATTTATTTTCATACAATTCCACATACTTAAATATAAACCCATTAGATTGATGGATTTGGTACAATGAAGACCAGACATGGTATACGCGTCATAAAATACATGGTATACAATTGCAAATGCATTTTTATGGCACTGTCAAAATGCGTTCTAAGTGTAAATCTTATCGCAAAGAATTCAGAATTGTTACTCACAGTGTTTTAGGAATTCATATTTCAATGACGACAACTCTTCTATTACAATATCGATGGCACAGGCAATCAATGCTGTTATAATTCCAATTTGTATGAAAATGATCCAACGCAGGATATCTTTGCGAAGCGAAAATCTAGTGCTACTAATGCGTTCTTGTTCCTTTTGAAACAGGACATTTTCGCAGACATCATAATCTAAGCTCTGCAAAGAGAGGGATGTGAAACGAATAGTTAATAGCTATGATACAGGTACCTCGTGTCACTTACCTCGAAGTTTTCACTTTGGCTGGCTAAATGTTCATTAATTGCCGCCGTACGAGAACGTATGCGAAATGTAGGATTCTGCTGCTGCTGCGGCAATGAAGCGGATAAAGTGGATGCTACTGTTTGGGCAGGTGCTTGTGATGTTCCAGGTAAATTATCTGTACTTACACTTGGCTCTGCATTTTCAGAATTCTGTAAATAATGAATGGTATTGCACATAATCGTTTGATGTGACTCATTAGTTAAACATTACCCTGCTTGAACCACCGCTCGCAGCGCTGTTCTGATGAGTCTCTTCTATTGATAAGTTGTTTAGCTTTTCCTTTGTTGGATTAGTTTTATAGAAATTGTTATCCAAATTCTTATCAATGCTAACAGAGAGTAATTGCTCGTCATCATCATCATCTACAGCAGAAGCTAAAGCTCCTGTATTAGGAATATTCACATTATTTGTGGGATTTGATGCAGTATCACTACTTTCTTCCAATACGATAAGCGGTTTTTCGTCACTTTTCGGCTTCATTATCAATTAATTACATTAAAATGGTGAGCATCAAGTGATGTCTAGCTCGCAGCAGTCCCAGACCCGTAGATTTCAAAATAAAGGTAAAGTGGGACTTTACACAAGCAGACAACGAAGCGTAACGATTTTTTCGGCGACGGCGGGTTATATGAAAACCGATCGGCGGCGATGCGCTGTTCTATCTATGTAAGGAGGATGCAACACGCCGAATACGTATAGAATGTATGGAACATATGGAACATGGTAGAAAAATACAGGTAGATGCATCAACGCTTGGGAGCATTGATATGTCAAAATTTTTAAAATTTATTTTCAAATATAAGTAGCTTTTTATATGTTTTCTTATACGACGTCATTCGGAGGTTATTGTAAATTGCCATTTTCAACAATTTTTACAAATAAAAAAATTTTCATTCAACATTTTCAATTCCAAAATTGATTTGACATTTCATTGTCCCAGCAGCTGCGTCGATGCGTCTACCTATATTCTTCTACCATGGGTTATCATTTTACGATGATTAGCAAACAATTTGCTATCGATTCTTTGTGATTAGCAGAGACCACCATGCATTGTGACTTTCAAACGGTGTTCACTTAATATTTGAATTTTGTAACGGAATTTAGTAGAACAGTAGTGGAATTTTTCAATTTTTTTGCCATTACCGAAAAAAATCGGTAAATCTCAAATGACGAATTTTTTACTACGATAACCGAAAAAATTGCTAAACTAGAAGTTTTTTTGTAGGTTCTGTTACAGATTCTATCGTTTTTATCGTTTTTAACCGTAACGACTATTAGTATTTGGTTAATTACAGATATTAAAGCAAACTATAGACAAAATTGCATTCATATCGAATTCAACTATGAAGAAGCCTGTGCGAGTATTTCCAGACTTTAATAATATAACATGAAAACTCTTGAAATCGAAAAACCCGTACCAACCTTATTTTCTGTTTCCATAGACAGTTAGCTATAAAACTACAGGATTGAGATTGATTTGTCATGGCCATTGAAATTATCACCCTAATACGAATTTAAATGGTATAGTATTTAATAGCTAAGCCTTATTTCTGCAAAAATTGGTAACTGCATTACATTTTCACATATATTTTACAATTTTTAATGTATGTATGTATGTAAATTAAAAAAAAAAATTGTGAAAAATAAAACATATTCGTTTTCCAAATTATTCTACGCAATGGAGAAACAAAAATAATATGTATTAAATGTTTGTTTGTACATTTGTTGTTTGAGATCAACTACCAATTAAATTGAAAACCAGGATTCAAAAATTTAAACTTTGCTATATCCAAAAACATACGATTCGACTCAATCTGATTACGTATATTCATTTCATGTTGTATGTCACGCAGTGACGTCTCCACTTGTACAAGCAATTCCTGCCATTTTTGAGCAATAAAATCATGACCCAAAATACCTGTCGGCGGATGGTTTGTTGTTGGCGAAGCGTATGATGAAGACCTATGATTATTATGATGAGAACCAGCTCTGTTATCATGTGGTGTTCTAGTCACAGTTGAAGTAGTTTGGGATACATTTATGCTAGTACTGGAAAATATACCCGAATCTGTGTTCAATGTCAAATCAATTGCCTGCTGTTCGGGTGGGGCTATCAATAGATTTTCGGGCTTAACGATGGACAATGTTTGTTGCGGCTGAATGTATGGCTGATATGTGGATGATGGCACTGTTTCCATGATATATTGTTGATTATTGCTGCTGTTGTTGTTGTGGTTGATTGAAGAAAAAGAACTTAAAACACTTGGCGATATAGATGATGCCTGTGTATTGGTAGACGACAAATTCCCATTAGCATTGTTATAATCATTGTGCAAATTACTGTCGTAGAGGTATTCATTGTTGGTACTGATGCTTCCATAATCGTTGCCAATTTGCTGACCAGATGTAATGATATTGTTTATATCATTTGTTGGTGGTGTGGAAGTCTTTTCAGAACTCTTGGGGAAAACAATAAAGAAGAAAGAAAATGTTGATCTAAATGACTAAAAAATGCAATTTTACTAGTATTTACCGGCTGTTGTTGTAGGGATGCCACTTGAGAAGATGAATGGGTTGTTTCTGTAGTCTTCAGGCTGTAATTAATGGGACCTTCAGCCTGTTCATTTGGTGTCGATGAGGGTTTTCCACCTCCCACTCCCTCTATGGGCATTACAACATAATCCACATCATTCCACTGAGATTAGAAAAAGTTTTGAAATAAAAAGAAAGAAATATAAGGAAAAAGAGGGGGATGGTTTGAATGTGGGTTTGGATAAAACATTTAATAAATTTAAAGGAAGTCAATTTACTCGTTCTAAGGAAAATGAATGAATGTATTAAAAAATGCCGAATTTATTATTAAATATAAGTATTAATAAAAACGAATTAAAAGTGTTTTTCTCCAGAACTTACATTGCGCATTTCAGCAGCCTCCCGTTGTTGCATTTGATGTCGTTGAAACACAGTTTTGATCTTCAATTTATGTGTATGCAACATGCCAAGCTCTGAGACAGGATTCAACGAAAGTGTGGTGGCATCATGAATATTCATTTTATTCGATTCATCCTTGTTTGAGATGGGTGTTGATGACGCCACCACCAGACCTGGTGAGTGTAGTCTATTGCGATTACTGCGTGAAGTCATCTTACGATTACGCATCAAGCGATCACGTCGCTCCAATAAGGCATTGACTTTCATGTCGTGCAATTTCTCCAACAGATCCGGATGGCGGCGCTATAAAAAAATAAAATTTCAAAAATTTTTTTTCATAATAAATACTCTACCAAAGTAGGACAGGTGGACAGGAAGATGTATTTATTTGGTCAAAATTTAATTTGATTTTAATTTTTTTTTTTAATTTGAATGAATTTCAATATTATTTTGGGCTTTTGGGTTATATTTTGGAAATTAATAAAAAAACTAATATAATTAATTATTTTCAAAACGTTTCGTCGAATTTCTTTCAACTTCTTCAGGGGTCTTTATTCTAATTTCTATACAAATACAGGGCGAAAAAAAATGCAACCAACTTTAGACTGCTGTCTTTTCGAAGCCACTCGTCCGACAGCTATTGAAATTATTCCAGTGACATCTCATTATATTGTTTACAAGCGTACAAAAGCATTTTGGTTAGAATTTTCTGGAAAAAAAAAGGTATTCGAGATAGAATTCAAGCGTGTTAGTGTGATTTCTTTATATTTGGCTGGAAAACCACAGGTGACTATCGTTAGAGCACTCCAGCATTTAAATGTGAATAAATCTTTTGTGTCTCACGTGATACTGGTAGCGTAGCCCGTTGAGAAAACATTCGTAATCCAGCAGTTTGTAAACAAACAAAATTTTCGTCTTTATTTGCCAAAAGGTCCGCTGAAAATGTGCACCTTCGGTTGGCCACCAGAACTTAAGCGCTGGACATGGTGATGGTGTGGGCCGCCATAACAGCCAATGGTCACTCTCCGCTCGTATTATCGGGAAAATATTCTGGAGGCTGTATTAAAGCCTTGGGCACGCAAACATTTTGGCCGCAGAACTTAGGCATTCCAACAGGACTCACCAAAAAAATTTAAAAATTATGGCGTTTGACTTTGTTGCAGTTTTTTATCTCACCCTGTATAATTGTTATTATACATCTACAATTCATTTTTCTGTAGAAAAAGATTTTTAATTATAGGCTTACTTATTTGCAAAGAAAATTCGAATAAAGCCCCCTAAAGAAGTCGAAAGAAAATCGACGAGACGTGGTTTTAATTAGTTTTTATTCATTTCCAAGATGTGGCAAAAAATATTGAGTAAATTTTATTTTAATTTTTAATAAATTGCTCTATCCAATTGCAAAGAATTTGCAGAAAAATGTGGTTCGAATTCAAAATGGCGATAGCTTATAAAATTAATGTAGCCCCTATATTGAGGCATATAGTTTTACGTCCAGCTTTCTGCAGATAATCGGTGTCATAATCATTATGTAGGTGAAAATGTAAACTATGGCAAATTACCAAATTTATTCCGAAATGTTATTCCTCTATAAAATTTTGATCTTCCTAATTGCTAATAAAATCCATTATATTTATTTAATTAGTTACCTTAATGTGCATATGAAAATTTCCCGTTGAACGCACACTCCCGCGGTACACACGATCGGGGGGACAGTGACAACATTTTACAGTTACATTTTCACCATCCTGAGTTTGAATTTGATACAGCTCTCCATTTAATATGTACGGTATGTGAACATGACGCAATTGTGGCTGCTGCTGTTGTTGTTGTTGTTGGAGGTGGTGGTGATGCTGTTGCTGCGGTAGTTTATTGGAATCTTCCACCGTCGTTGCAATATTAGAATATCCTTGATTAAGCATAATGATGTTGCTGTTACTGCTGGATGAAGTATTATTGTTGTGGCCAATAGCAGTTAGAGGTGGTAAATCAACGGGTTGCGAATGTCGTTCATCGCTACTTGAATTCATGTGATATGATTGTTGTTGTCGATGCATTTGAATTTGCTGTTCCTTGCTCTTCAACAATCCACTGCCATTGATATTTGGGCCAACAGCAATGGATGACGAGGACGTTGTAGTAGTCATAATCTGAGACTGCTGCATTACCTCTGCCGATTTTAATAATTCCGAAATCATTGTTGTCTCATTTGAAGTTTCTTCCGACTCCTCAATGGTATCCATGTAGAACTCTAATGATGATTTGCGCCAAAATACCACACTCCTCAATGAACAATGATCTAACAACAAGTGTCATCCGAATAATAATTCAAAAGATGTGACTCGTGATCCTATGTTGCTAGGCTCCGTTGCCGAAACACGAAGAACAACAAAAATATCACTCACACACAGCGCACCATTCCCAACCTTGCTGTTGTCTAGTTAGATTGGGAGAATTGCAATTTCTTTTGTTTTCGAAATTCTCAGCCATCTCATCGATTTTTTACTCACATAGCAGCAGCAGCAACAAGAACAACATGATGTGCATCCAATAGGCACGCTAAAACCGTTAAATTGCAAAAGAATAAAAACATTAGGGGTGCTCCTGTCAACAAGAAGAAATTTATATTACATTTTAAATTCGAATTGTTTTCATTGAAATTCGAATTTATCCATTTGCTATTCGAAATAATCAATTTAAAATTTGAAACAAAAAGATTACAAAAAAAATTGTATTGACTTCATAAATGTACCAGTATTCGGAACTTTTGGGATTTTCGCTCCTTCAATCATTTGCCATTGTAATTAGAATTTTTCAGTTATAACATGGCATAATTACAGAAGGTCAAGGTCAATAAGGTAAATTCATTCAATCATACGTTTACAATTTTTTCAAAAATTATTCATTTGACAACATCTCATTGTCAAAATTTGTATTTATACATACACAAATCAGAGATGGGTACCTGTTTGTATGGAGTAAAAGTTGAGAAGGTAAATTATAGAAAATGCAGAGAAGGGTATGCTTATTTTTAAAATGAGTTATATAGCGCGAAAAATGAATGAAATGCCTGGATTTTCTTTCTCTCTCTCAAAAATATGACCCAAACTGTCCAATCATACAATTTCATGGCTAAACTGGTTAATAGCTTTAAAGCACGAGCCGCGATGTACTTCCGATCATTGGTTTTGAAAATATTTTGTTTTTATTTTTTTTAAACAATAAATACATACACAAAATTGGCAGAAGTCAGGCACACTTAGAAACAAATATATATAGAATATGATATTGAAAAGAAATTTTGACCTTTTATTCAGTTTTTGCGGTTTTCAATTATTCATTCAAAATCAACAAGTTGTTTGGTTTGTTTTTTTTTTTTTTTTTTTTGATTGTTGTTAATTGAAAACAACAAAACAGAATGAAAATTCAATATTTTTTTTTTCAAAATTATGTTTTATATAAACAAGGGAACTGATAAGGATTGGTGGCTCTTTCCCAAATCTAAGTATTCCCTGCCTTACCCCCTGGAAAACATTACCATCGTTCTCCACTAATAAACAAACGTTATTTTTATAAAAACAACAATAAAGGGATTAAGCCTGACAATTTTGCAACATTTTGAATTTGAATATTTTCTGAACATTTTTGAATTATTGAAAAGAATACACACAAAGTTTTTCAATTTTTGTTAGTTTTAATGTCCAAATGCAGGTTTTCCACCCACATGCCGACTTTTGAGCAAATCCTTACATTTTTGTGTTTCAGAAGGCGGCATCATAAAAAACTGCATAATTATCATCGCAGTAAAAACTTTAAATTCTTGCAGGTTCTAGAATAGCACTATTCTTTTCTTTAATCAAATGGAAATAAAATCCTTAAAAATCAAAACAATTGCTTTGTTTCAGAACTGCAAGAATGTGACAATTGTTAATAATAATATCTAGCTCTGCATATTTCTGTAATTTACCTTATCAAATTTAACTGGATTGAAACAGGTTCCAGTCTTTAATTTGTATACATCTCAACAAATTTACATATATTTCTCTGTTTCAGAAGTTAAAAGAATGTAAATAATGTAATTACAATAACCGATTTCTTCTTTATGATATCGAAATTATAGGTTTTGGTACAGATCATGGTAAAAGAATACAGGAAGATGCATCAACGCTCGGGAATATTGATATGTCAAAAATTTAAAAACGTTTTTTTCTAAAATAAATAGATTTTTATCTGTTTTCTTATACGACGCAAATCAGAGGTTGCTATAAAATGCATTTTTCAACAATTTTTACAAATTTCAATAATTTTTTCTTCAATATTTTCAATTTTAAAATCGGTTTGACAGTTCATTCATTTCATGGTACAATAAGGAAGTAGAACAGCTTCATAAAACTGAAGAAATACAGCCCTGAGGCTATGCCCGCTTCCTGTCAGAATTATTCAAAATTATAGGCAACAAGTTGTTTTAATTTATTTGATATTTTTCGTTCATTTCTAAAACGAGTCAAATAAGGCGAAAGATGAATGAAATACCTGGATGTTCTCCCAAAAATATGATCCTAAGTGTTCAATCTTTCAATCCCATGCTAAATCTCGGTTATATTATTAATGCGCGTCCCGCAATTTAAGTTTCTTCCAATCATTGATTTTGAAAATATTTTCTTTTTATTTTCCAAAACAACAAATACATACCCCAAATTGGCAGAAGTCGGGCACACTTAGAAAAAAAATTGTAATCAGCTGGGAGCTCTAACTTACCTTTTTATTGTACCATGATTCATTTATCTTAGCAGCTGTGTCGATGCGACTACCTATACTCTTCTACCATGGTACTGGTACTGGTAGTCGCATCGACACAGCTGCTGGGACAATGAACTGTCAACCCGGTTTTTGGAATTGAAAATGTTGAATGAAAATTATTAACATTTGTAAAAACTGTCGAAAAATGCATTTTATAATAACATTTGATTTGCGTCGAATAAAAAACATTAAAAATCCACTTATTTTTCATAAAACATTTTAAAAATTTTGACACATCAATGTTCCCAAGCGTTGATGCATCTACCTATATTCTTCTATCATGTATGGTAAAGATCATGGTAGAAGAATATAGGTAGACGCATCGACACAGCTGCTGAGACAATGAAGTGTCAAGCCAATTTTGGAATTGCAAATGTTGAATGAAAAATTATTTGAATTTGTAAAAATTGTTGAAAAACGCGAATCTTAATAACATCCGAATGACGTCTTATAAGAAAACATTTAAAAATCTACTTATATTTGAAAAAACATTTAAATTATTTTGACATATCAATGCTGCCAAGGGTTGATGCATCTACCTGTATTTTTCTGCCATGGTAAAGATCATATATAAACTGTTATTCAAAAATGATCATCTGTACCCTACTTAGCGACAATTTTCGGAGCTAATTGAATCGATTATTTGAACAAAGCAAGCAAATCGAAAAAAAGTCGACTACATGTAAACTAAAGTCAAAAGTCGATAGTCGATTTACAGATCCCTATTCGGTGCTGACAGTTTTTGGAAGAACTCGTAAAAGGTAGTGATTTTTTTACCGAAGTCTCCGAAATTATTTAGAATTTTTAATAATTAAATAAATATTGAAATATTTTTTAGATTTCAACATGGCTTTTGGTGATTATCCCGCTGAATACAACCCCAAGGTACATGGTCCTTATGACCCAGCTCGCTATTATGGCAAAGGTAAGATTATGATGGACATTTTCATTACGTAATGTATAACTAAGAGAATATATTTTTTTGATACACTTTTTGCAGCTGATGTTCCCTTCGGTCAAGTAAAATTGGGTGAATTGGGAGCCTGGTTCGGTCGTCGCAACAAGACCCCCAGTGCCATTGCTGGTGCCTTCAGTCGTGCCTGGTGGCGTTGGAATCACAAGTACGTTCAACCCAAACGTGCTGGAATTGCTCCATTCTTCCAACTCACTGCCGCCGCTATGACATTCTTCTATGCCATCAACTACGGCAAGATGAGACACCACAGAAATTACAAATACCATTAAACTGGACGTCGAGAACTTTGCAACACAACTTTTCCCACGTTTGACATGGGATAAAGTGAGTTCTGAATTCGTATTGCATTGTGTTATTCCGAATAACTGTCATCAGCTGATGTTTTTATCGTATTCAAATGTTTAAAAAATAAATCATAAAATTCTTATAGAAGAAAAATAATTAAAAAACTAAAATAAAAATGAATAGTTTTTTTGTTATATGGTGATATTTATATAAAGCCCATTACCGGACTGGGAAAATGAATTTTGCAAGAAAATATAAACATAACCTAAAAAAATTAGCAAAGATAATTAGTATTTAGCAGAAGGTTACCGGTTACTTAACCACAACGTACTTTATTTGACAAAACATTTGCGAGCTTTCTGGTGTTCAGTGAGATTTGTGCAAGATTTTTTTTGTTTAAATAAACATGTTAAAAGTTCGTGACATTGAAAATTTATTGCAAAATATTCCCAACGGGTATCTAAAGCCAGATGATAATTTGTTTGCAAAAACCAATGCCGCCATCATATTGCCGTATAAAAAACTGGGGGCAATAAACAGTGTCGACATAGACAAGAAGCTGGATGAACCCGATAAAAACCAACAGAATTCTTCCGAAATATTTTGCAATGTTTTTAATTGTAAAATGGTTTTCGATAATACTGCCTCCTACACCTTGCACTACAACAGTATGCACCGATTCATTTGCCAGGAATGTAAAAAATCCCTACCAACAGAACACTTGTTGGATTTACACTTATCGGAAATACATGATTCCTATTTTAAGGCGCGTCTGGACAGAGGTGAAAAGCTATATAAATGTTATGTAGAGGAGTGCAAGGAAATATTTGCCAATGCCATCGAGAGAAAGAAACACTGCATTGAAGAGCACAAATTTCCGGCTAATTTTAGATTTGGACAGGTTGTACCAACAAAGCACAACAAGGAAGAATCGAAAAATAATTGCGGAAGTACCGGCATGGAACTGGAGACACATACGGATACAGAGTCAGTTGCAACAACAAACGAGACTTCAATAAAAAACTTTTCCTTTGGTCATCAAAGAGAGAAAACGTTTCAGCTGAAACCCGAACCGAAAACCAAAAGCGGACAGGGCAAGGGTCTGGAGAGTTTTAGTTTATTGAAAGATGCTTTAGATATGGATGTATCTAAGTAGTGAAATCAGAATTGCCTGCCGTCTTAAACATTTAGAAGAAAATGAATTGTTTTATTGGAATTATTTATTAAATATTGGAATACATAGAAAACATGTTTTTAAAGGAGTTGTAAATAGGTTGCATTACGTTATAAGGCCCAAGAGCACTGAGCGCTTCCAGCTCATTTGTTTTTGGAAATGGATCTGAAAAGAGAATACATATGAAAAGTTATTATTGGTTATTTTCTGATTTTTCTAATTGTGATTAGGCAAATCTTAAAGTGAATGTAAAAAACGGTAATAATTCTTGTCGTTCTTTGCCAGGGACATAGAAAGGCCAAAAAAAAAGGAAATAATAATTTGGTTGAACTGTCAATCGTTGGTATTTGAATATTTGAGTCTATTTAGCCATATTCGCACTACTGCTAAATTCATGATTGGACCTGCAATATTTGGCATAGAGTCTGCAAAGATCTCGGACTGCAGACGGATAAGCTAGAGTCCTAATCAGCTACCATTGAAGTTGAACACTAGGTCAAACCAACCCTGTGTCACTTTTTACAGGTAATTCGTATACACTACTCTAAGACAAAAATGGCTGGACGAAAGGAGATGTAGCATATTCAAAAGAATCTGGCCCATTCTCTCGGAGAAGAGAACAAAGTCGCTACTGTCCTTGTCGAAACCTGATTTGAAATTGGTGGTGGTTATCATCACGGGTCACTGTAAGGTAAGGGCAATTACATCGAAATGGGGCAGCAATGATATTGACTACTGTAGAATCTGTCAAGACGAACAAGAATTTAAGAGATCGACCACTGGATCTGTCGCGGTTCAGCACTCCTTAACGTGAGACACAGGTTGGTGGGGGAACAAGTGTCACGTGATTTGTCTTCGTTTTCTAGCACTATACCTTATAACTCCATCTCCTATCAGTAATATCTTCACTCTTTCCATCAATCTTTTCTTTCTTCATTTAGGATGAACACAATGGACCAGCAGGTATCCGAGTGAAGCGGTTACCATGCGGCAACAACGAGTCCTTTCACCTAAGGCATGGCGGATATTTGGTATTGTTTGGTCTGAAATTTATTTCGTGTTCTCTTCTTTTATAATAGTTTTCTGCGAAAAAAATCAATATAACTCCCATATAGTGGATCGCAGGTATTCTGAAATATTTAGATGATTTTTGTAACCAAATCGAGTGAAGCTCCGAGAGGATATGATCACTTAATGTGGGTCCATAAGTTGGTATAGACTCCATATAGCAGTAACACCAATTTCAACTACTTCGACATCTTCAGCTTCAATTTCCATTAGAACTGGCTGTAATTCCACATTTTTCGTTCTCGGTGGACAAGATTGTTCAATAATGGCTCACAGCCATTTCCCAAGCTAAGTAACAGCGATGTTCCATGTTTCGAAGGGTAAAACACATTTACATTTCTAGATAAGATCCAAACGACCAGCACCATTTTTCAACATTAAGTTTTACAGGCAGTTCGTGATGGATAGGTATTTTGCAAAAATAGTTACTATATTGAAGATTTGCAATATGGCTCTTCAAGTCGCGGAAATGAAATATTGCTTTATTGATAAGGCAACATTCGGAGCTACTGGCAAAGCTACAAATACGACAAATACGTATATATTAGAATTGAAGTGTATACATACTTGCTGCTAGAATTTGCATTGATATAGTGATAAAGAACCACCAGAAGGAATAGGAAAACTCCTAGAACATTGGAGAATATAGCCAATTGTACATCGGTAATCATGATGCTCGCTCAACAACAGATCTGCAAAAGAATGGACACGTCATAACATTATGGAAACTTCAGTGTATTGTTTTATAAATATATTCATTGGAAACATATTGCACTCATATTGAATATTTAAAACTACATCTTCAATTATATGCAAGATATATTACTTACTTACTTTTCAGCTTTAATTTATTAGTAATTAACAAAGTTCTTGATTTCTGGCCGGCAATCAATAAAAAGGTACTTTTAGGGCGAATTCTTCATTACAATTTGTTTTGACATTTAATGGTGCTGATGCGATTACCTAGTACATGGCTGATGCGATTACCTAGTACATCTACGTTGCAAGTACGTATGTTGGGGAGCGTCTGAAAAAGAAGAAGCATATATGTCGGTTATTAATTCTGAATCCACACAGGGTCCATCGAGTGGATGCTCGAAAATTTGAAATAAAAAATATTTCCTTTATGAAAGCCCAGGAGAATCCACGAGTAAGTTTTTCGCCAGAGCCTCTTTAGCGAAAACAGGGGCCACCATGTGTGGGCGAGGTTGACATTTGGAAAGGAGAGGCTTTGTGTACAAAAGTTTTGTATTCGCTTCACTTTCCCATATAACCCCCATCTATAACTAGAAAATAAATATATGTATTAAAAACATTAAAACAGTAAAAATTCTAATTACTACAACTGCGGCTATATATACAAAAGTACAAAAAAAAATAAGTTTCAAACCATTGTTACGTTTCGTATATTTCTGATTATCTGCTCTATTGTGACTTATTTAAAAGATTTTAAAAAAAATATTCCAATAAGCCAACAGAGAGCCCCTAATCATCATTTTGTAGGTAAACGCAACTCGAAAACAAGCAGCAAAAGCTCAATATGCACGATAAACCAAATATCAGACAGACGTGAACGGAACAACCAAACCAAACGTATCAATCGGACAAATAAAGGCTAATGAGTGGCAAAAGAAGATACTATTATACGTTAGACATTTTAATGTATTAACAAGAAAAAAGCGCAAAGCGAGGCTTCTAACGTGCGTCTTGTTTTTGTATCAAATGAAAACAAATCAAGTGGCTTGTATTAATAAAAAAGACGTTACGCGTTAAAGCACTTTTCGGACCAAAATAATGTTCTGTCAATAGATCTGGTTAGTTTAATAACACAATCGGATCTAGATTTAACATTAATAAGATCATTAAAAGCAGGTCTACCACCGCAACGTTTCCTAATTTCTGCAAAGTCATACTCTATGCCATCATTGACACAGTGTTTAGGTTTAATCCCTTCATACTCCAGCAATAGAGACGTCATTGTTTCCAATGATTGCTGAAGCATAAAAGGTATGTTGCCGCACTCAACAAATTGCAAAAAAAATATGGATCTATAAGCTATTGCGCACGCCTCATTTTTATCATTATTTATGAAATTGTTCGTGCAAAGCTCTACAATTGGTATTATACCAGCAAATAATTTTTTGGTCGCCTCTACCATTACTTGCTCGGTTTCCGAAAATATATCACTGTCAAGAGCGGCAAGCACGTTTCTGTTAAAAATAGCTGTCGCTCTATCCATTGGCTTATTTTCGTATGAATACGATTTGTAGTACCTTGTTGCAAAATGAGTTTTTTGCAATTGCGAACAAGTAATATTACTAGCATCTAAATCGTTTTTAGACTCAAAAATTTTGAAAATTAGTGCGGGAGAAGCGACATCTATCTGTTTGCCCAACCTGCTTTTAATAAAAACTTGATTGTCTAAAAAGTAATTTAATAAATTAGTTAGCAAGTGGGGAATATCGAACATACAATGTAAAGTATCTTCTGAATTTGGAGGAAAGCACAGACGATTTGGTCCAAGGTAGCCGCGATATTGCTGGAAGAATTGAACATGAACACTATGTCTATCGCAAATTAGTGAAACTATTTTCAATGATAGTCCCTTTAGCCCAACGAGTACTTCTCGAAGTACACCTTCCAGTACCGAAATGCTATATTCCCGTGTTAGTAAAAAGCCCAATAGTATCCTCCACTCGTTACATAACCCACTAAGCTGCAGTCCTAAAGAATATGTAACGACATTACTGTCCGTGTCAGTAACTTTTAATGAATCAAATTGGATTGCACACGTACGTTCCTGTTCAGTCATCCCTTCAATAATAGTGTGCAAAGTTTCTTTAACATCATCGTCAAATCCCACGAGAGTTGGTTTCGTTTGCCAACTTAGAACACTTTCGGTACTGGGGAGAGCAAATTTAAACTTATCTATCATGTATTCATAATTTTCTTTTGATAGAAGTTGAAGGTGTTGTACTACATCTAACTGCTCAGGTGTGTACGGGGGTGTTGAGTCATTTGTGATGACGCGAGCAAATGCAATACTGGCTTTACTTGCCTCCTTCCCTGGGAAAATTCCATTTGCTAGGAGAAACTCAACTTTTTCTTCAAGTGCCGCCACTTTCGCAAGTAAAAGTTCATTTTCTCTTTGCAAACAGATATCTTTGTTTATACTTGATTCTTCTTCTTCTACTACACTACTTATATTATTATTAATTTCTAAATTTTCTACATTTACTTCACATTTGAACTCATCAATATCTAACCTCTCATTAGAAACGATTCCCTCAACATTGTTTCCAAAATTAACACCTATAAATTATATAAATTGTTATAACAGTTAGTACAGTTAGTGATAAATAAGAAACATGCAACGGTATACATTATTGTTAAATATAGGTGTTATATATACAATTATACATCATATGAAATATTCATAGCGTCGCACAGAGCGATGAAATCACAAAATTTAATTGAAAAATAAAATTGATTAATTGAAATAAATAAATAAATACTTTTAAAATAAATTTGGAATAAATACTTTTAAAAATTTCAAAGTCATACCAAAGACCTTAAATATGGTAAAGACTAGACAAATTGCATTGCGAGCAAATGGTTTGTGTCTACAATACAAGAGTAACAGCTCATTACAGAGGCAGGCATGTTAATATTGTTAATATATCATAACAACAGACGTATTTTTACAGGGTTATTCATATTGTCTCTGTCTTGTCCTATCTTTGGCCATACGTTGTTTAGTTTTACAGTGACAAAGTTTAGAAATATTTCACTTCATCACAAGAAGAAGTATTTTATATCGTATTTTTATTTTATTATTTTAATTGGGACGTATCATATAATTAATTTCTATACCCCCAACCATATGTATATCCTATATGATCCTACCTTTAAGACCTTAAAACATAACTTTAAATGCAAATATTTTTTGATAACCTTTCAGACATTCCTTGGCAAAGCGTTGCTTATGTTGATTGCTAGTAGTATTTTATAATTCAGTCATAATTTAGAATAGCTAGAAGAGCTAGTTATGCAACACTGTCTAAAAAGAACTTACCTTCATCAGCTATCAATGTGGGCAAATACAAAACTGGCATTGCATAAGATGAAAGCTGTACCGGATATGTTCTTCTAGAAAACATATTCTGCTCAAAATGCCTACCGCATATTCGAGACGTCTTTTTTGTTGGTATTCCATGCCTTTCTAATAACATTGTCCTCCATGAATCTTTTATGCCATGCATACTTATTTCCTGGGGGCAAAATCTAATGAGAGAGTTCTCACACCCAGGGACGCAGCACTGTCGAATTCTAGACATAATGGAACATCTAAAATGGAAAAACAAAACAACCAGTAATTTATATTAAAACCTAATAATATTTTCATTTTGGAAAATATGGAAATATGGAGATAACACATTTACAAATCGATTTGTATCAAGGTGTGCTTGCAGATCCGGGTATACACGGCAAGGATTAATTAATTAATTAAGATAATGCACTTAATTGAATCACTTCCCAGGCATAGCCTGAGTGTAAACCGAAACCGGCAGAAGAGGCAGATGGACTGGATTGGCACTGCGCAATTTCTTCCTTTTATTTTCTAACTTAATATACTTTCTTATTACACTTCCACTTCAATTGGTGGGTCTAATTGGACCTTTGACCACAAACTCCACCAATTAGATATTGGGGATATTTGGTATTGATTTAATGTCTCTGTCTCTGTCAATATACATACATACATACACGCTAGGATTATTATAATTATTATAATTATTATAATTCTAAAGACTATATATGCGGAAGCATTTGTATCTTTTAAATTCGGACTTGTATTGCCCATTTGATATATATGGGAGCTATATCCAAATCGGAACCGATCTCGATAAAATTTGAATATCGTTGTTACGGAGTGCATATTACGGCTGTGGGTAACAAATGACAAATCGGATGAACAATATATGGGAGCTAAAGCTATATCTAAATCGATCTTCACCAAATTTGACGTACTTGTTTGTGGGAGTTATTTAGTCGGAATCGGTTGAAGATATATATGGGAAGTACAACTAAATTTGCAAGATTTGGTTTTTTGGATTTGGTTTCAATAACTTAAAACTTAAACCTTTGTGCTACATTTTAAAGCTCTTGACTAAATAAAGTGGACTTTATCGCGAACATAGCTAAATCGTACAATAACTTTTTTCTGATCAGGAATATATATATGGACTGATATTACACGTTTGATGTACAATAAAAGGCAAATCGGACGAGGATATATATGGGAGCTATATCTAAATTTTGACAGATTATCTCCAACAATTTCAATAGGGTTCGTCCTTGGGTCAAACAAACGATTTGAGCAAAATTTCATCTGGATAGGGCAACAAATGCGAACTGTACTTTGTTTACAAAAATATATGAACAGACGGACGGACGGACATACATGACTCAGAATGTTGGGTATTCTCGTTTGTTCCTTTCGCCTGTTAACGCAAATTACCCTTCTCCTTCACAAATTTCCAATTTCCGATATTTGAAATCAAATGTGCTGATGGTATTGCGTATTCATGTATCCAATGCGATAGGAAATACATTTGCTCTGGAACAGAACCTGAAGATCCGGTTCTAACCCGGGACTTAAACCCGTCGTTTGGGGCGTTTGGAGTCAATATCCGTGCCCGGGAATCCGTCCCCCAAGAAAAAATACTTTCACAGTATAGACTGTGATGTACTACGGTTTAAATTTATATCATTTTTAATTAAAAATAAAACCCAAGTCTGGACTTTTTCTTTTGGTGGGAATACATTTTATTTATAGGTTCACTGATTTACTTAGAGCCTATAACTTTCAACTGTTTCCACTCTACTGGATGAGCTTTCTTTTTATGAGAATACATGTTTGCCTTGGAATTAAATTTTCTACTACAAAATGGGCAATTATACAGTGGTTCTCCCGCATGTCCAGCCATGTGTTCCTTAAAATGAAAAAGAAAAACTTCGTTTAAAATATATTTATGCATACATTTAAATAATGTAAATAAATCTCATTCTAGTTAATAATACGTAATCTTGTGTGTAACCAATTAATTGCATAACAAAAATTCATTTTTAATAAGAAAAATTATGATTTATTAAATGTTTAGAATACCCTTAGTGTTTGTTGGCTCTTAAAGTTCTTATGGCACTCTTCGCACGTGTACTCCTGGGTGTTGTGGGTAAAGTTCAAATGGCAAGTCAAGGAATGTTTATTTTTGCATATTCGTTCGCACTGCGGACATTTATATTGTTTCGTGTCGTGAAATCTTCTTAAATGCTGTCTCAAATTGTCTTTGTCCTTTAGCCATCGTTCACAGCCCTCACGCGGACATTTTATCCTTGGTCCACTGGTTTCAAAATGTGATCGAACATGTTTTTCAAATGCTTGCTTGTCGTGTATCTCCTTGGCGCACACATGGCATACATTGACAGGTTTATAGTGACGATTTTTCACATGAATTTGTAATATGTATTCGGTGGCAAAGCTGAAAAAAAGAATTTCAAATCCTAATGTAAATCAGGAAAATCTTCATATTTCATAGGCATTCTACGTGGGCAACAAACGTCATTATTAAAGCTCCGTTAATTTATATTTTAAATAATTAGTTGTTATCCAGTCAAAAGAGACCTTTACTTACGCTTTTCTGGGTACACAAATATCACAGAAATGTGACCTTTCTGTTACCGGTACATGTTTTGACTTGTGATGTTCCAATAGATGTTTACGGGCAAATTTTCTAGGACATTGGTCACATTTATGAGTGAAATTTGTCTCTGGAGCATGTTGCCTTCTATAGTGATCTTTTAGGGATGAATTGTTTTTATAGCTCCTTCCACATTCGTTGCACTTGAAATAGTTGGGATCTTCATGATAATAGGCATGTTGTAAGACATCCGAGGGACAATCCAGCTTTCGATCACAACATATAATGTGTGGTTTAGTGTCCGTATGTTTTGCTTTATAATGTGCAATAACATTTTTAAAATCATCACAGATATAATTGCATATTTGACATAGCATATGTATGTGCTTTTTAATAAGTTGCTCGTTCTGCTCAAGAAGTAGATGACACTTTCGTTGCTTGGGGGTATTCTTGCGCGTCAAACGCTTTTCCCTTATTTGTATAACTTCAGATTGTTTTGTGTTATTTTCTTGCAGTTCTCTTGATACATTTGCTAGAGGTTTTGAGTCCTCGCTGTCATCTGATTCTGTATCTGCTGCCCAGCAGTGTGTGGTGCTGTTTTCACTTTCAATGTCCTTTTCGTCCTGCTCTTGCCTTCCATTTTCAGTCAGCTGTTCTTTTACCCCGTGTGTGTCATGGCTGGGCAAATCAATGCTTAAAAAAGGATCACCCGTCAACATATCCTCCGTCCCGATAACGTTGCTAATGCTGTTATTAGGCGATATAACCTGAAACTCCTCTTTAACGATAATACTATCATGGCCATGATCTTTACTTTTCGTTGATATAGTCTCCAGTTGCTCATGCGCCGTCCTTACGTTTTCATAGTATTCATGGAAGTCAGTTAATTTATTCCAGCAATCAACACATATTTCACTACCGTCCATTGAATAGGGCTAGATTGTATCAGAACATTATTATTAGAAATTAAATATATAATGAATTTTATACCTTCAAATTTAAGTGTTTATCTATCATATCCGAAATGTTGTATTCCAAAACATCTTTTCCGTATATAGGCAGTGTCTCCTTGTTGTCCAGCAAACATACGAAACAATGCATTCTTTGAGTTTTTATTTCAGATTTCTAAGTGACTCCAGACTCTCAGACTCTAAAGGGATGAGAATGGCAATCTCTAGGGCAATTGAAGACAGAATTTTAAAAAATATATATTAGGTGTGTCTGGTTACTTTTTCTTCAAACATTGTCCAGCAACATCTATCTGAGAGAGTAAGGTTTATTCTCTTTTGCAAGGAAATGCGAAAAGTAAACAGACGGTATTCCTGCAGAAGCTAGCAACTAATCAGCTGATTTGTCAAAACAAACCAATTTGTCCCCCATAAGGAGAATTAAAACAAAGGAAGCAATACTAATTTTACAAGTTTTTTAAATAAAAATGTTGAAAATAGTGTTTTATTTTCTTATTACATATTAACATTTACGTTTCTCACATTTTGTAAAGTTGTTCTCCAAAAACTATTAGTCTTGTTAATTCCAAAATAATATTTTCAAATTAAAAACACAAAAGGAAATAAATAAGCAATAGAAAACATCTGATTGAATGTCGATGAATGAGAAGAAGAAGAGCTGCAAGAGATTGCAAGAAGAAATTTGTCCAGCAAGAATTTGCAAACTCTCACTGAAAGAACTGTCAAAATTTCTCTCTCCAACCGCTCTCTTTTGCAAAACTTTTGGGTTAACAGACGACTTCCAGTAACAATTTGTAACAATTGTTACAAACTTTAGGGTAACCAGACGCACCTATTATTTTTGTTTACATTCAATTCTATTTCTTTTGTTTATATTTTGTTCTTTGTTTTTATTTTCCAGGTCAGCTGATTGCCAGAAATGCACTATTGTGATTGAATTTACAGTACAAAAAAAATAAATAAACAAACTTTTGACATACAGACAGCAGAGTTGTCAAATGCATGGTAGAAGAATATAGGTAGACGCGTCGACACAGCTGCTGGGACAATGAACTGTCAAACCAATTATGGGATTGAAAATGTTGAATGAAAAATTATTCAAATTCGGTAAAATTGTTGAAAAACGCGAATTATAATAGCCTCCGACTAATGTAGTATAATAAAACATATAAAAATCTACTTATATTTGAAAAAAACATTAAAAATTTTTTGACATATCAATGCTCCCAAGCGTTGATGCATCTACCTGTATTCTTCTTCCATGGTCAAATGTTTAATAGCATGTTTCCATTGGAAACCGAACAACGTTGTTCGCTCTCAGAATTAGGTACACGAATTAACCCGTTCATACGGCACGATTCGTAATTCATAGTAAATAATTCCTTTTTTCAAAAATTTTGTTTCTTGATTTTAATGGGAATTTATACTAAAATACATTAAATTCTCACTAATATGAATAAAAGAAATGATTGTTTTTCTCCCAAATATGTATTATATCAATAATTTTATAATTTTCATTCACGTTTTCAACTTTTTGTGTAAATCTTGACATTTTGAACATATTTTTGTGTTTTTCCATTTTTAAATTCTACTGGAGAGACATTTGTCAAACATTTTTTCTGCCAATAGAAACATTTTGAAAATATTGCCTCTTTTGTTTGCAGTTTTCTGTGGAAATTTCATCTCGTGGACCAAATGCGTACTTCGAATGAGAGAGAAAACAAAATTTACTTTCGTTTGAATGTACATACGCCATTCAACATTGTAGTTTTCATACATAATTTTCAGTCTTCCCAAAAATTTTTTAAATTTTCATTAAATTTTTCTATTTTTAATTTTAAATGTCATAATTTATTTTTTCGATAAATGCTCTCATTTGTTAGGGATGGGACATATTTTTTCGTTGTTCTGAGAGTGATTTGAATTGAACAACGTACAAATATGAGTGTTCGCTCAGGAAATTTTGTGTGAAGAATTAGGTAGTTTTTTCATAGTTAAAGGTCAAACAACGAATAGAGAGCGAATCAAGTGCAGTGGAAACGCCACATAATTTGTTTATAATTAAAGGATTGAGGGGTAAAGATTAAACAATAACAAATATGTTATGCTGTGTATGTGTTCTGGATGTTGTTGATGCCGTCGATGTTTTTGGAGACATTGGAACTCAACTAAATATTGCAAATAAAGTCGATAAACATCTGTGGTTTAAGGTAAGTTCCAATCATCCATTACATTCCACTTCAATTAATGATTGTTTTTCCTTTACTAGCCCAAGCCCAATGATCGGATATGTGATAAATGTTGGAATATCATCAAGGAGTTTCATGAATTTTATCAAAATGCCGAAAAAGCTCATCAAAAGTTGCAGCAGGAGGCATCTGCAATAAAAGAGGAACAATCCATCGAGGTGTCACCCATCAAAGAGGAATTTCTGGACACATATGAAGAGAAGCCAACTCAGCTTGAAGTTGAGATTGAAACAAATATAAGCAGTGTAATACCGGCTGATGATTTTGAAAGGAATCCTTTAGAAGATGGTGATGACTATGATGATTCACAGCTTGATAGTGTATGTGATGTAGACGATGACTATATTGCTTCACCAGCGACTTCATCATTTTCAAGTTCAGCAGATGAAGATCAATTAACCAAAATAGCTTTGGAAAAAGAGAAGAAACCAAAAGTGAGAAGAAAGAAAAGATTGGAAAAAACATCCACACAATCCAAAAAAGACGATGAAGAGGCAGGTGTAATCCGCAAGAAACGCAAAAGATTGGATCCCAAATTAACGGAAGAAATGATACAGAAGCATATTTCAATGATATGCAACCTATGCAACGTTGATTGCAAAACCTTTATTGAGGTTGGCAAACACTTCAAAGACTGTCATCCCAAAATAAAGCCCTACATAATGTGTTGCAACAAGAGATTTACCAGGCGACATTATATAGCACAACATGCGCTGCAACATGAGGATCCCAATTGTTTTAGGTATGTGTGATAATAAAACTTGAAATATTTCTTATCTTGTCCGTTGTATTAAGTTTACGACTTTGAATATATCTCAAACTTCGTTGTAGGTAATATATTTTTATTTATTGCTTATTCAGGTGTGAGGAATGCAACAAATCTTTCAAAACCACATATAACCTACATACGCACAATCTTTCATTCCACCAACAAGAAGAAGATGGTGTACATGTCTGCGAATTTTGTCCACAAAAATTCCCCCGGCGCAAGTTGTTGGAGTTCCATAGGCCATCTCACATACCCAAGGAGCAGTGGTCATTCTTATGTATGAAATGCCCCACACCAAGACCGTATGTTGTCCTTAATCATTCAAAATTTTTGACAGTATATTATTAATAGGTTTCATTTCAGTTTCGCCAGTGAATATCTACTGAAGACCCACGAAAGTGTTCATAAGCGAGAAACAAATATATGTCATGTATGCGCCAAAGAAATAAAAGATAAGTATTTGTTTGAAAAACATGTGCGCCTACATTTCGAAGATAGTGGGCCTCGGGTAAAATGTCCCTATCCGGACTGTGAAAGTTGGCTTAAAGATGAATACAATCTAAAGGATCATTTAAGGAGGCACAACAGCGAGGGTATCATCTATAAATGTCCGGAATGTGAAAAGGTGTGTAAGAATCGCAAAGCATTATCCCAACACAAACGCAACAATCATTCCAATCGACAATATAAATGTTCACAGTGTGAAAAGGTTTTCAAAAAGGCAATAACTTTGAAGGTTGGTTGGTTGGTTATTATGCAGATTGTATTTTATATACATAGTGATTACTTTTTATTGTTTCAGGAACATATGGCTCACCATACTGGAGAAAGTCTTTATAAATGCCCCTTCTGCCCGAGAACATTTAATTCCAATGCCAATATGTATTCGCACAAAAAGAAACAGCATACGATAAATGGTAAAAATAAGAGTGAAAATACAACTTTTTGATTTTAATCATTTTTACAGTATTTAAAAGTTTTAATTTCTTGGCTTAACACTTGCCAAGCACCATGACTTTTTTTATTTAATATACATATTTCAATTATTTGAAATACCTAGTATTTATTTTAATTTAAGTGAAAAGATTTTCAACCCAAAATCCACACAAACAAATAAAGATACAACATGAAATTGGGTAGATTTTAGTATTTTATTTAACTATTTTTTAATAACAGAGGTCCCCAAAGATCTTCAATACGGCAAAGTGTTCTATAATGATTAATTAGGTAAAAATGGGCAAAGCATACGTCAATAAACCATGATAGATCAATCACTAATAAAAATTAGTTACCTCCTTACTACTTCAGTCAAAAATTGTTTACAATAGAACATATATACGGGGAGACGGGATTACCAGAATGCAACTATACAAGTAAGGGTCAGCCCAGCTGACGGAACCAAAATTAGTTGTTATAATTTTGTTGTTTGAATACAAAAGACAATTAAAAAAAAATAAAATTTAAAAATTGTTTATAACTGAAATTATGTTGAAAAAGCGGCTTAAACTTACGTTTTGACGTTTCATGATACCAAAACATTTGTAACAAATTTCTGAGCGAATACCTAATACATCAGCCTTGAGAAAGGCCATTTTTTATTACAAACCTATGTTTTTCTTATTTTATTTTATTCATATTCAGCATTTTCCTTATGTTTTACTCGCATCCTTAATGCACTCATCAATAATTTCTTTACACATTTGTGAATAACAAAACAGATATATTATAAAATAGAAAATTAAAAAAATATATATGATTTTTTTCGGAAAAATTGAAAATTAAAATAAAATATATATTTTTTTATAATGTATCTAGTTCACTTAGTTCGGTTCAGTGAATATTTGGCGTTGAACTGTGGCAGTGTAGTTAAGTTGGATCAACATACACTCACCTCCTAACAAGAAGGATATTGGAATTGGACACATTGGTTGGGCAGGATTATATAGAGAAATAAAAAAATAAGAAGGACATTTGAAAATGTTATGCTGTGTATGTCTGTTGGAAAACACCAATGCCATGGGCATTTATGAGGAAGATGGGCAGAAATTAAAGATGCCACAAATCATCCAGAAGCATTTGTGGTTTAAGGTAATCTGAGAATACAACAAGTTATTTCTGATTCAATTGGAATGACTCCTATGTTATTTTCATTGTAGCCCATGGAAAACGATGAATTGAGATCGCACATTTGTCTAGTATGTTGGGAAAGAATCCATGATTTCCATGAATTCTATGAACAGGCGGAAAGAATCCATGCCGAATATCAATCAAGCAGAAAACACAAAGTGAATATTAAACAAGAGGAATTGCCAACCAGTACAAATTCCATTAAGGAAGAAAATGAGGAAGTGTTTAGTGATATGCTGCAGTTGGAAATAGAGATTGGAGAAACGCCAAAAACACGAGATGTAGATGAAAAACCAGAAAAGAATCCTCTGGAAGATCTACAGAAGGATTTGGAGGATGAAATTGGTGCCAATTTAGAAGAGGAAGATGTCCAAGTACTGGACATTTGGCAAAGCAATCCTTTGGATGATGAACTTAAATCTCATGGAACAGATAGTGAATCTGATAATGGATCTAATTCGGAGGATTATGAACAATCCGAATACAGTGATGAAGAGTCAAACTCTCCAGAGGAGGAAGAAGTCGCCAAGGGAGAACAGAAAAATAAAGATACTGCGAAAACTGAAAGAAGAAAGAGGAAACCAAAAACTTCAACAAAGCAAACGACAGATGCTGTCAAGAAAAAACGGAAAGTGCAATATAGATTTGATCATAACCATACAGAGGAAATGATACAGAAGCATATACCAATGGGATGTAATTTATGTGTTTTTGTCGGCAAATCATTTGCCGACATTGTGGGACATTTCAAAGTATGCCACCCAAAGACGCGACCGTATATCATGTGTTGTGATAAGAAGTTCACAAAACGTTTTTATGTTGCTCAGCATGCTCTCAAACATGAGGATCCAAATTGCTTTAAGTAAGTACCAATACCAAACTTTGCAGTCAAACACAAAGAAAGGTATGGAATGATAGGAAAACTGTGTTTTCTGTAGAGACAGAGAAAGAACAAGCAACAAGTTCTTCAGATTTATTTGTTTTTATTCATAATCAAATTAACGGTGACTGCCTCTCGAGTTATGCAGGGAAATGTTTGGAATCATGTAAAAATTAGTATGTAGATTCATATTCCAATTTGACTTTTCAGATGCAACGAATGCAACAAATCGTTCACAACAACTTGTGGCTTGAGAACGCATAACTTGAATTATCATGCACCCGAAGAAGAACGTACCTATGCATGTGATTTGTGTCCCAAAAAGTTTGCAAGGCAAAATCTGCTGGAATTACACAAACCCTCACACATACCCAGGGAACAGTGGCAATTCTTCTGTGACAAATGTCCAGGACCAAAAGCGTAAACGCACACTGCAAGTAGACAACTTTAACAAATGATTAATGATTTTTTTTTTAATTTTAGATTTGCTAGTCTATACTTATTAAATGTCCACACTAGTATGCAACATAAAAGAGCTAAACATGTATGTCATGTGTGTGCCAAAGAGATACGCGATAAACATTCTTTCGAAAAGCATGTCCGTTTACATTTTGAACAGAGTGGACCTCGGGTACCATGTCCTTATCCCGATTGTGATAGTTGGTTAAAAGATGAGGATAACTTAAAGCAACATCTAAAACGCCACAATCCAGAGGGCATTATCTATAAGTGTCCAGAATGTGACAAAGTGGTTAAGAATCGTAGAGCTCTAACAAACCATAAACGTTACAGCCATTCCAATGCCACATTTCAGTGTGAACAGTGTGATAAGACTTTCAAGAAAGCAATATCACTGCGGGTTAGTATGGTCTTGTAAAATAAATAAATAAAGGTTTTCAATGATTGCATTTGTTTAGGAGCACATGACCCAACATACCGGAGAAACGCTGTACAAATGTCCATTCTGCCCACGAACTTTTAATTCTAACGCCAATATGCATGCCCATAAAAAACGAGCCCATCCCATTGAATGGGAGGAATGGCGAAGAAACAAAACGGGAAGTGCTCAAGTTTTAATAAAGAATCAACATTTAAATTCTTTGTAAATATGTTTACTGTATTTAATTAATTGCTATAATTATATATTTTATTATTAAATTATTAATTAGTTCTAATTTAGAGAATTAATAATAAATTTTTAATGGTTTTAAGGAAGTAGTGTTTACGAATTGTTTTTATTTAAAATTTTCTCCGTTCATTACAGACTTTTCATGAATTTATTTTCCGTAAGTAATCAATATTTTGCACAAAATAGTACAAAATAACACAAAAGTCCATTATATGAGAGCAAGATTGAAATCCCACTGCATTGTGGCCGATGCAAAAATGTTTACAAATTTCAGGCAAACATATACAAATTCTATTATTATTGCTTTTTTAATTTCGCGTTTTCCCATTTAATATTGTTGGACTGTTCCAGAACCTGAACGATTCTACTAGTTCTGTAATTTCTTTCGATATCATAAAGGAAAAATCGTTTATTGTAGTAAAAAGTTTTACATTCTTGCCGTTGTGTGACAGAGCATGTTTTATACCATAAAATTAAATATTTCTTAACTACCAAAATTTCAAAATTTTATTTCATTTTCTCGATAATTTAAAAGTGTAACGCATTCATTATCCGAAATAGCCGTTTTCTTGCAAGATTTTACTGAATGTTGTTCGATAACTGTTTGAAAAATTTGCAAGCGAGAATAGAATTTCTTTCAGAATAGAATTTCTTTCTTTTTTCACATTTTGTAAAGTTGTTCTCCAAAAACAATTAGTCTTGCTAATTCCAAAACAATATTTTCAAATTAAAATCACAAAAAGAAATAAATAAACAATAGAAAACATCTGATTGAATGTCGATGAATGAGAAGAAGAGTTGCAAGAGATTGCAAGAAGAAATTTGTCCAGCAAGAATTTGCAAACTCTCACTGAAAGAACTGTCAAAATTTCTCTCTCCAACCGCTCTCTTTTGCAGAACTTTCGGGTTAACAGACGGCTTCCAGTAACAATTTGTAATAATTGTTACAAATTTTAGGTTAACCAGACACACCTATTATTTACGGTGCCATGGATCCCTCATCCGGCTGATATTATTTAGGGATGTGTAATATTAATCGTCGACCTATGTATCCCTAAATTGTTTTGTTGTCAACGTACCAATCTAACTTACATTTACAAATCAACTTCTTCCTGCGCTAATTGAAATAAAACTCGTAATTTTAAATAAAGTATTCACAAAATATATTAAATTGTGAACATGTTATGCTGTGTCTGTTTGCTGGAGAACACCGGCACCATGGGCATATATGAACCAGATGGAATCGAGTTAAAAATTGAGCAAATAATCCAGCAGCATTTGTGGTTTCAGGTAATAAAATCTAAAATAACTATCCATGGAAACAGTAAATATACCATTTTTTGTTATTTTATTAAAGCCAGAAACTGATAATCCAATTAGATCACACATTTGCTTTGTATGTTGGGGAACATTGTTGGATTTTCACACATTTTATGAACAAGCCAAAAAAATACACCATCAATATGAAACAGAAGAAAAAGGGAAACTTATCAAGGAGGAGGAAACACCAATAAGTTCCAATTTCATTGATCAAGCAAATGACGAACTATTTGAAAACATACTGGAAATGAACATAGAAATAGGTGACAACTTAAAGAAAATATGTGAAGTTGAAAGTGATTCAATATCAGCAGATAATCCCTTGGAGGACACACAAAATGATTTGGTTTCTAAACCCAATTGGAGTGACACCAAAAATGAAATGCATACCCTACAAATTAATTCCCCTGGGAAACCGCAAGATGTTGAGGAGGGTTCTGACAATGAATGCTCCGAAGATTATGATCCCTCAGCCAGCAGCGATGAAAAAGAATCCATATCATCAGAAGATGATTGTCTAAGCACACTAACCAAAAAGAATAGAAAGAAGACTTATAAAACAGGCGGAACAGCAAATAAGAACCGTACACCTATCGAACAGAGCATCTACGAAATAAGAAAGAAACGAAAAGAACTGTACAAGATTGATGAGAAACATGCCGACGAAATGATATTAAAATATGTTCCAATGGGCTGTGATTTGTGTGTGTTTGTTGGTAAAACTTTTCCCGACATTGTGGAACATTTCAAAGAAGCTCATCCTAGAACCCGGCCTTATGTCACATGCTGTGATAAGCAGTTCACTAAGAGATGCCATTTAGCTCAACATGCCCTAATGCATGAAGACCCTAATTGTTTTAAGTCAGTATAGCTTCATAGCGCACAAATCATAAGAATAACTGTTATTTTCTTCTAGATGTCACGAGTGCAATAAGAAATTTACCAGTAAACGTGGTCTAAGATCACACGATCTGAATTACCACGCCACGGAGGAGGAGCGAATATTTGCCTGCGATATGTGCCCAAAAAAGTTTGCAGCACGTAATTTCTTGGAATTACACAAACCATCTCATATACCCCGCGAACAGTGGGAGTTCTTCTGTCCAAAATGTCCCTCGTCCAGGTTTGCCAGTTCATATTTATTGAAAGTGCACACAAGTATGCAACATAAGAGAAGTAAACATGTATGCCATGTGTGTGCCAAAGAGATACGTGACAAAACCACATTTGAAAAACATGTACGTTCGCATTTCGGCGAAACAGCACCTCGTGTTCCATGTCCCTATCCTGGCTGTGATAGTTGGCTGAAAGATGAAGATAATTTAAGGAAGCATATGAAAAGGCACAATTTAGAGGTAGTTCGTTGTTTTCCACAAAGATTTGAATAAATTATTTAAATTGTGTGTTCTCTTTCCCAAGGGCATAACATATCGCTGTGAAATATGTGACAAAGTCTATAAGAATCGTGTGGGCCTAACCAATCACAAACGTTATAGTCATACAATGAGCGCCAACTTCAAATGTGAACAATGTGATAGATCCTTCAAGAAAGCAATATCCTTAAGGGTATGTATAATAAAACAAATGCAGAATGAATTTAAAATTGACTTGTAATTCTTCGCTCTTTCCTCTAGGAACACATGACCCAACATACCGGAGAAACGCTTTACAAGTGTCCATTTTGTACAAGAACTTTCAATTCTAATGCCAATATGCATGCCCATAAAAAGCGCGCCCATCCCATTGAATGGGAGGAGTGGCGAAGAACTAAAACGGGGAGTGCTCAAGTTGTAATAAAACAACAAACTTCGAATTCTTTGTAAAAAAATATCTTATACAATATTCTAAAATGTGGAGAAATAAAATAATATGGCCTTTGTAGTTAATTAATAAGATTGTTTGAACTTTGTGGGGCCTTGAAGTGTATTCAATTTTAAATCGGTCGTTCTCATTGATACCATTGCTTTTTTTGCTGAAAATCGGTGTTAAGGGTTATTCTGCCATCCGAACGCAACGCTCGTAATAATTCTGCAGCAATTTTTTGAAAAGCTCCGAGATTGGAGAAAACATGAATGAAACAAATCCATAAAATATGTAACAATATCACAATTCCCTGAAAAATGGTTAACCTCATTGCTAAGAGCATTTTTGGGCAATATTTTGTTGATATTCCAACAGATCGAATAGGTTGTAAACTATGAGCACATTACAATATTAAATAAATTCTAGCCTGCTGAACATATCTTCCTCTCTGATTTGTTCTACATTTATTTTATAGTGCTTCCTGGTTGCCACTATGGCGAGGACGACAAAGCTTAGCCTTCAATTGTTCGTAAAACAAAATTTTTCTTGCTTGAATAAATTCATAACACCGTTAGATTTTTTTAAAAAAATGTAACGATATTCTCTTCTTATGTTGGCCGAAAAAAAATAAAGGGGTCGCTTAAGCAAAATCGTGTACGTGTGCTTGACGTTTTCAGCGCACACGGTTCATGCATTCGTTTTGCTGGACGATACATTTTTGGCGATGTTGGCCGGAAAATGAAAACAGTAAGAGAAATAAAGGATCACTCATGAAAAATTATTAGTTGAATTAAGAGTGTTATCGGCAAACCATTCTAAAATTTTTTTAAGAATGGATAGCTCCACTTGCGGGGAATTAATAAGCCTGATTGAGTGTCTAATAAGTTTTTCGGTATTTCGGCATCAATACTTCATATTAATATGCTGTAATAACCCGATTGTTTTTCACATTTAACAACAGCTGCCAACGACCCGTAAACTTCCAACAACTTAAAAACATTTTTGTTTTGTCAGTATCCGACATATCTATGCAACACTTCGCTTTGAAAAAATGTCACAAATGAGAACATGCATGATCTCTCCACCACACACACGTCAAAATCGAACGTCACGCACGAGAAAAATCAAAAAATTCAGCTTCATGCATCGTAAGTGTGACGCATTCCATGCATTTTGACCGTGTATGGTGCACTTAAACTTTCTGTTTTTTCTCTTAAGCAATTTCTTTTTACGAATTTGCTCAGCTCTGTTTTAATCTCTCTTCTGCTCTTTTTCAAAATCACAATGAGAAAAAAATCTCTTCTAAAGTATGATAGTTTCTCTTCATGGGATATCCAATTAGTCATGCTAAAGAAAGACCTGTTGAATTGAATTCATCTGCGACAGCTGTGTGTTTTTGTTTTGGTCAACAAGGAAAATAAGAAACACAACGCAACAATTGGTGGCAATTAAACCATGGTTAAAAAGAAAAAACTAGGCTGCTATGGAAACGAGTTTTCTTTTTTTCTCTATACAACAAATGCTTGACCACAGGAAAAAAGTAAGAACAACTACCTATTTAGTGTTGTATTTAGTGTGAAAGTAGTTGCGGAAAAAATGTTTGTTTATTTAAGCAAAAAGGTAAAAAATATAAAAAATATAAAAAATATAAAAATAAAAAATAATCGAATTTAATGTTATGTATTTATAGATTGCAATACCCAATAATGTGCAATTAAATTGCATATCCTGGAACAAGGAACATGGTTATATAGCAGTGGCTGGTACTGAGGGACTGCTAAAGGTTTTGAAATTGGAACAAGGTAAGTTATTCCATGAATTACATTTACAATAAAGTTTCCTAAGTTTATTGTATTGTAGCAACAAATGGCCAAAATAAAGGAGGCTTGGCTGCAGTCTCAAATCTATCCATGAATCAGACATTAGATGGCCACAAAAATGCCGTAAAAGTTGTTGTGTGGAATAATGCCCAACAAAAGTTAACATCTTCGGATGTAGATGGAGTCATTATGGTGTGGATGTTGTACAAGGGCTCATGGTATGAAGAAATGACAAATGATCGTAAAAAGTCCACGGTCAATGGCATGCACTGGACATCGGATGGTACGAAAATTTGTATTGTTTATGCAGATGGTGCAATTATTGTGGGTGCGTAAAAAAAGTCCGTTATCTAAAGGGACTGATATGTGATACAACTTATTTGCTCTGATTTTTACTAAAATAGGTTCCGTTGATGGTAATCGGATTTGGGGCAAAGAATTGAAAAACACCCATCTTAGTGGTGTCCAATGGAGTCCCGACAATCGTTTGATACTTTTCTCACTGGCAAATGGGGAATGTCATTTATATGATAATCAAGGGAATTTCGCTGTAAGTATGACCTTAAAATTGGACGTAATTAATTTACATCTATATTCCGTCGTTTACATTTACAGATGAAACTGAATATTAAATGCACAGCTCCGAATAACACAAGTCGCACAAATCATGTTTCAGCCTTGAATTGGTTTAGTGGAAAAACTACAGGTAACAGACCTGTTTTGGCCATATGCTATGCCAATGGAAAAGCCCAGCTGATGATAGACGAAAATGACGACAGTGAGTTAAAAAAAAGATTAATTTTATATTAAAATATGCCAAAAGCGGGTTGAAAGGAAAAACCACAATTTTTACATCTTATAAAATCCCTTTCTTTTAGATCCGATTATAATAAGAACACCAATGCATATTACCGATGCCAAATGGAATCATGATGGTTCGGTTTTGGCCATATGTGGTCGCCTTGATGATGTCTCATCCACAAAAGAGTTGAATCAAGTGAGTTTCTATTCACCGCATGGACAGCTATATCGGTCCCTTAAAGTTCCGGGTAATAAAATAACATCCATATCATGGGAGGGCAAGTCACTGCGCATTGCCATGGCCGTTGATTCGTTTATATATTTTGCAAATATAAGACCCGATTATGTGTGGTGTTATTTTGAGAAAACCGTTGTATTCATCAATTCGAATCACTCGAAAACGAATAATTTAAATGTAATTACATTTTGGAATACAACATCGAATCAGGTAAAATTTATGAAATATCCTCATTTTTTATTAAATATCCTTTTTTAAAATATTGTATTTTTTTAATATTTCTAGAGTTTTCTTAAAGAAGTCGAACCCTGTCTAGCGATGGCTGCTTGCAATGAACACTGTGTACTGGCAGTGGAATGTGTTAGTGGCAACATTAAAGATCTGGCTCTAACATCTGTGGAACGTAAAAATTCGGACGATAAATTGTATCAATTGCTCCTCTGCAACTCCATTGGGACAACTGTTGATTGTAAGCCGCACAAAGTTAACAGAATCTAAACATTTTAATTTTTTATTTTTTACTTTCTCAGCTAAATACACAGAGGTGTGTCCCGATTTTGTTGGCATTAATTCGAATTACGTGGCCATCGCCTCAAAAGATGAAATTCTATTGTGGCACTATCACACACCCAAGGTTCATTCTAAAACTCTTTACAAAAACTTAATAATACGTAGATAATTTATTTAATTTTCAGAGTGCATCACAGTTACATAATGTCAAATCGCGTAAAGAAAAGCGTTTTCATATCGATGACACACCGACAGGAGTGGATTTGGCAAAAGATTTGCAAATTCCTAAAGTAAAGCCAGAGGATAGAGATAAGAGCAATGGCGATCCCATTTGCTCGATGGCTTTGTCGGAAAAACTATTGTTGGTAGCACGTGAATCGGGCATTATAAACGAGTACAGTGTGCCAAATGTGGCGCTTAGAAATCGCCACAAAGTTGGTGTGAAAATAATTAAAATGGCCATTAATTCGAATTCAACGTAAGCAGGAAAATACTTCAGTATATAGTCAAGTTTTAAATCGTATTTTATTGAATTTCATTTGGTAGCCGTGCTGCTCTCATTGATTATAATGGTGTTATGACCCTTTTGGATTTGGATGATGCTCGTGAGACCCAACTAAATTTTAGTCGTGTCGAACGTAAAGATGTCTGGGCAATTTGCTGGGCCAAAGACAATCCCCTGCTATTGGCGTTGATGGAAAAGACACGCATGTATATTTTTCGCGGCAACGATCCTGAGGAGCCAATTGCATGTTCGGGCTACATTTGTACCTTTGAAGATTTAGAAATCACAAGTGTTCTTTTGGATGACATTATAAGCGGCGAAGAAACTCAAAATCCCATAAGTCATATACTGCAACTGAAAGTTAAATCTTTACGCGACACCGATGATCTGTTACAGCATGTTGGTCTGGAAGATGCCAAGCAATTCATAGAGGACAATCCCCATCCACGTTTGTGGCGTCTATTGGCCGAAGCTGCATTGAAAAAGCTAGAGCTTGATGTGGCCGAGAATGCATTCGTAAGGTGTGCCAATTATCAGGGTATACAACTTATAAAAAATCTACGCAACATTCCCTCAGAGTTATTGCAAAAAGCAGAAATAGCTGCATTCTATGGTGAATATGAGGAAGCTGAGAAGTTATATATTGATGGTGATCGTCGAGATTTGGCCATAAATTTACGTATTTCCCTGTGCGATTGGTTCAGAGTTGTACAGCTGTATCGCATGGGCTCCGGTATATCAGATCAACAAATGGAACTGGCTTGGCGTCAGATTGGTCACCATTTTGCCAATTTACGGTCATGGGAAAGTGCCAAAGAGTACTATGAAAAATCTCATGACATTGAGGGATTAATGAATGCCCTTTATAATTTGGAACAGTTTGAGGAGTTGGAGAAATGCATAGATAAATTGCCGGAAAAAAGTCCCCTGTTGGCAAAAATCGCTGAAATGCTCTCGTCTGTGGGCATGTGCAGTGAAGCTGTGAATGCATTTTTAAAATTTGGCGATCCCAAATCTGCCGTAAACACATGTGTAAATCTACGACAGTGGGGTCAAGCAGTGGAATTGGCCCAGAAATTCCAAATGCCACAAGTAACAACATTATTGAGCAAACATGCTGCTGAGTTGTTGAAGGAAAATCGCCTACCCGAAGCAATCGAATTACAACGAAAAGCGGGACGTTATTTGGATGCAGCACGCCTGATGTGCAAACTAGCAGAAAAAGAAACCGAAAAGGGGTCCAATATGTTGCGCATTAAGAAATTATACGTTTTGGCTGGACTTTTGGCTGAACAACACCTTAAAAGTTTAGTTGCCAAGACGGAAGACACCCCAAACTACAATCTCGATCGCATTAGCATAATGGATACATTGAGCCTGGAAGATTCGGCTACGATTGAAAGAATATGGCACTGTGCGGAGGGATATCATTTCATGCTCCTAGCACAAAGGCAATTACGTTTTGGGATTGTTCATAGTGCCGTCATAACGGCCCTACGTTTAAGGGACTACGATGATGTTTTGAAACCCGAAGATATTTACAGTCTTTTAGCTTTGGCTAGTTGTGCTGATCGTTCTTTTGGCACGTGCTCCAGGGCTTTTATTAAATTGGAATCACTCAGTGAGTTACCAGAGGAAACTCTAAAGGAATTTGAAGACTTGGCAATAAATATATTTTCTAAAAATGAGCCAATCGACAACAAGGAAGATTTTATAACATGTTATGCTTGTAAAGCATCAGTATCGGACAGGTAGGTCAATTTTCCTTTTATTAATTTCAAATAGTTTTCAATATTAAAATTTCTTATAGCTTACCCGCTTGTAACAGTTGTGGTGCTCGCTTTCCGCCCTGTATATCTTCGGGAAAACCCATAACACAACCAACAGCAAACATCTGGATCTGTGGTACATGTCATCATTGTGCAGCGCCAATGGAAATAACTCGTCATCGAACGTGTCCTCTGTGTCATGCCTTAATATTATCAATGACACTGGAAGTTTAATTGGAAATTAAATTTATACAATTTATGGTCTCATTAGCAAGTTAATAAAAATCTAATAAAACGCTTTAAACTTTGAGTATAATTTCTATAATTTCTGACGTTTTCCACAGTTCAAATTAAAGGCGTAATTCGAATTAGGAAACAATTCTCCTATTTAGTTCAATTCTTACCGTGTCTATGCCCGCTTTTTCTCAAAATTGGATGCAACAAGTTGTAGTAGAGCTTAACAATTAAAAGTTTTTATGGGAGAGTTCAATCATACACGCTATGATTATAATTATAATTTAAAGTTCAAATTATCTTTTAAATTCGGACTTGTCCATTGCCCATTTGCGATATATATGGGAGCTATATCCAAATCTGAACCGATTTTGATAAAATTTGGCAAAGATATTTCTGAGCTGCATTTGATATATTTCCCTTATTTCCCTTAATATCGTTGGTTACGGAGAGCATATTACGGCTGTGGGTAACAAATATAACAAATCGGATGAACAATATATATATATATGGGAGCTATGGCTATATCTGAATCGATCTTCACCAAATTTGACGTACTTGTTTCTAGGAGTAATTTAGTCGGAATCGGTTGAAGATATATATATGGGAACTACAACTAAATTTGAACCGATTTATATGGGGGACCTGAATCGAAGATTTCCAAGATTTGGTTGTTTGGACTTGGTTAAACTACATTTCAAAGCTCTTAACTAAATAAGGTGGACTTTATCGTGATTTCCACAGACAGATAGACAGACAGACGATCATCGCTATCGTACAATAACTTTTTTCTGATCAGGATATATATATGAGCTACTATTACACGTTTGATGCACAATAAAAGGCAAATCGGAGGAGGATATATATGAGAGCTATATCTAAATTTTGACAGATTATCTCCAACAATTTCAATAGTGTTCGTCCTTGGGTCAAACAAACGATTTGAGCAAAATTTCATCTGGATAGGGCAACAAATGCGAACTGTACTTTGTTTACGGACGGACATACATACATCGACTCAGAATGTGTGTGATTCTATGCAGATCGAATTATGGGTCTTCTCGTTTGTTCCTTTTGCCAGTTACCCTTCTCCTTCACAAATTTCCAATTTCCTATATTTGAATTCAAATGTGCGTGCCGTGCTGATGGTATTGCGTATTCATGTATCCAATGTATTGCTCTGGAAAACTCCCGTCCTTTGGGGCGTTTGGAGTCAATATCCGTGCCAGGGAATCCGTCCTCCAAGAAAAAATACTTTCCTGGAATCAGGGTACAAATAAATACAGCTGGAAAAATATTCTCGAGTTGCTGGAGACACATATATGGCTTTTCTATCCATGGACCATTAATTGGAGGTTATGTTGGCGGTCGGGTTTTGTTTATTGTTTTTTTAGTTTTTTAAATCACGCACAATCTCAAATCACACATATACACATTTGTTCTATTTGTTTCTAAATTATTTATATATAAATTTTTATACGAAATTAAATAATTAATTAATAAATTAAAATCAATTGAATGAATTACCAACCGACGCCACCGAGAAAAGAAAAAGAAGTAACGAACAAAGGACACTACAATATGGCAACACTGAAAAGAAAGACAGCACAGAGAGAAAATCGAAATAAAGATGGAATCAAAAGGGAAAGGCGGACAACACAAAAGGAATCAAAACAAAACGGCCGACAACACAAAAGGAATCAAAACAAAACGGCCGACAACACTGGAACAGATGTTTAAGATATGGGTTATCATTTTACGATGATTAGCAAACAATTTGCTATCGATTCTTTGTGATTAGCAGAGACCATCAGGCATTGATAGCACACATGAACCTCGTTTTACTAAGTGTGCGTCACTATAGTAATTTTGAAGAAATAGAACTGGTTTGAATTTGACTGTTGTCAGAATCTGTGTTATCATTTTCATGTGATTAGCATAATGTTCTTCTCCTATCTATGTTACACATCCCTATAATTTAAAATTCATAAATATTATAGAACAGCTGTTGCGGTGTGTTGCCTCTTCCACTTTCTATACAATCTCTGTATTCGACTTCTTCCTTCATTCGCAACTGTATGTTGATTGTGTTGGTGTACACTTTTGTCGCCGCCGATTGATTTACATCGTCGCCGTCGTCAGCGAAAAAAATTGATTGGTCTCGTTGTCTCCAGATGAGTTAAAAGAAAAAAAATGAAGGTAATTTAATGAATTAAAAGCCAAAAATTCTGCGAGAATTTTTAATAAATATTTTTAATTATAGCGCATTAGTGAAAAGAAGTTGGAGGCCTTCAATGTGGGCACAATGGCCAAGCGCCAGCTGTCCAAAAAGGAGATTGAGGAACAAAAGAAAAAGGACGATGAGGAAGCGGCCGCACATGTAAGTTTGGAAAAACTTATTCCGTATATAAAATTACAGGAATATATACAAATAACTTTTATTACCGACAGGTCTTCAAAGAGTTTGTGGAAACATTTCAAGAGGTGCCTTCGGCATCCTCCAAAGTTTGGGTTAAGGCCGGCACTTATGATGCTGGTTCTCGAAGTAAGTTTAATGGGTATTTTTAGAGAAAATTGTCACTAAATTGCCTTTCCACAGGGGAGGACAACCGAGAAAAGGGAAAGCTCTACAAACCATCTTCTAAAGTTGACGACAAATCCGCCACAGAAAAAGCCCAAGAATTTGCTAAATTTTTGGCTTCCGACTTAAAGAAAGATTCTCTGAAAAAGAAGAGCCAGGAGAAGAAGAAAAGTAACTTGGAGTTGTTTAAAGAGGAATTGAGGCAAATACAGGAGGAACGTGAAGAACGGCACAAATATAAACATATGGTGCAATCCAATTTAATTACTCCCAAGGAACCGAAAGATCATGGATCGTCGGATCATCATGAGGTGGTTGAACGATCAGGTTCGCATGACACTGGCGATCCAAATACCACAAACTTGTATTTGGGAAATCTATGTCCCAAGGTATGTTGGCCTTAAAGCTGTGTAAGATTTTGTTTAACCTATTTATTGTAAACAGTTGACGGAACAACAATTGATGGAGATATTTGGACGTTATGGACCATTGGCTAGTATAAAAATCATGTGGCCAAGATCGGAGGAGGAGAAATCACGAGGACGTAATTGTGGTTTTGTGGCCTATATGAGTCGTAAAGATGCTGAGCGTGCCTTGAGGACACTTAATGGACGCTTTATAATGGGTTATGAAATGCGTTTGGGTTGGGGTAAAGCTGTACCCATAATGAATCAACCCATATTTATTCCACCTCCATTGCTGGAGCTGACCATGCCTCCGCCAGCATCTGGTTTGCCATTTAATGCCCAACCGCCAACAACTGAACGGGCAAATCTACCATCTAAAAATTACAAAGAATATACAACAGATGAAGAGAAAGAAAACATGGAAAAGGTGAGAAACCTTGAAGGTGCCAAAAATAAAATAATAATACAATTTTTTTGTTTTGTTAAAGATCCTCCAAAAATCGGTGGTCAAAGTTATAATTCCAACGGAGAAGTAGGTTTTTAAATCTCACATTAAATTTGATTTCCTTACACTCAATTTTTTATACTTATTTTTTCTAGAACTGTACTTCATATCATCCATCGCATGATAGAATTTGTAATACGCGAAGGTCCAATGTTTGAGGCCTTGATTATGAGCAGAGAAATTGAAAATCCAGCATTTTCTTTTTTATTCGACAATGAGAGTCCAGCCCATATATACTATCGCTGGAAGTTATTCTCGTTGTTGCAGGGCGATACTCCAAATGAATGGAACGAAAAGGAATTTCGCATGTTTAAAGGTGGCCCCATTTGGAAACCACCAATGGTGAATTTTTATACCCAAGGTATGCCTGACGAGTTGGTTGTGGATCCAGATGCTCCAGAAGTTCACAAGGGGGCCTTGTCAACTGCGTAAGTAATGGCATAGCTATCATCTTACTCTTTTAATTTGATTGTTTCTTCATTAGGCAACGTGATCGTTTGGAGGATCTCATACATTATTTAACACCGGAACGTTCTCGCATTGGTGATGCTATGATATTTTGTATAGAACATGCCGATGCTGCTGATGAAATATGTGAATGTATTGCCGAGTCCTTGGCTAATCCATCTACTTTAGCTTCCAGAAAAATTGCACGTTTGTATTTAGTTTCGGATATCTTACACAATTGCACGGTAAAAGTGGCCAAGGCATCATTCTTCAGAAAATCGTATGTTCTTAAGTCTCTTGAAGTGAAAATCAAAATTGATAATAATTTTTCTTTTTTGGTAGCATTGAAAAACATTTGACGGATATATTTGAAAACTTGCATGCATTTTATAACAGCATAGAGAGTCGTCTTAAGGCGGAGGGTTTTAAAAACCGAGTTTTAAATGTCTTAAATGCCTGGGATGATTGGGCCGTCTATTCGAAGGAGTGTTTGTTGCAATTGAAATGCACGTTTCTGGGAAAACAAATGAGCGTCATTGAATCGCCACCACCCGAAGAGGTAAAGGAGGTGGAAGAAGAAGACATTGATGGTGCACCCCTGTCTGGCGACGAAAGAGATGACGAAGATTTGGATGGTGTGCCATTGGATGGAGCCGCTCTACTGAAGGGTGTATTAATGAGAACTTTGCCTGAAACTGCACAAAAAAGTAATTCCATCAAAAGGAGTCAAGAGGTTAGTCGGGATGCAGATTACAATGATGATATCGATGGTGTACCACGTATGTAAAAAAAAACGGATTCAAATTTTTATGGGAATTAAAAAAACTTCAATTTCAATTTTTATTTTAGTTTATGATGACATTGATGGGGTACCCTTGGAAAAAGATACATCCGATGAAATGATGTCTTCTGATGCAATGATGGGCGGTAGATCAACTTCATCCAAAGCCCCGGCATTTATATCTTCCAAATGGGAAACTATTGATCCTGAACAAGTGGCCGAACAAGCTGTGACTACTAGCAAATGGGAATCCTTGGATCCCCCCGATCCACCCAAATATGATGGAGGAGACAGTGGTGAAGACTATGATGAAATAAAGCGTATAAAACTGCGAGAACTCGAGGTTAGGACAATGCAGTATCAAGATTCCTTGGAGACAGGTGAAACCGAACTCAAACCAGGTTGGACCATAAGTGAACAAGTTGAACAATATCGTAAAAAATTATTAAAAATGGTAAGATTTTAAACGAAAGAATGTATTTTGTTTACATATTTTTTTTTCTATTTTAGTCCTCGGATTCTGTGGACTCACCACTGAGTTATATGTTTAGCAAAGATGCAAGTCCTGAACGTTCGAGAAACTATAAACGTTCTCCTTCACCGGCCCAACATTCAAGGGGCAGTTCACGTTCCAGTCCAACAAGGGGTAGCCGTAAACGTTCATTGTCACCCTATAAAAGTGGCAGCAGCAGCAGTAGGCGGGAAAAGTCACCATCATCGACCAGTCGGGACAGTAGCAAATATAGTAAACGTCATCGCTCACGTAGTATATCACCATCACCCCCACATCCTCTGGATAGAACTTCCTATCCGACAAAATCTTCACGTTATGCAAGCCCTGTTGCTTCATCCCGATCAAAAAGGTAGGCATGGAAAATATATGGTACCTTGTGCATATTTCAACGTTTTACCAAAAGTATCACATGTCTCATAAAATGTAAAGGAAATAGTCGATATATGTCGGACTTTTCAATATTTCTAAAAATAAACTTAAACTATTTTTGATTTTAGGTCGCCATCACCCTCATATTCCCGTTCATCAAAACGTGATGATCGTGATGTATATTCCAACAGTTCGACGCGAAGAGATGAAAGAAGCAAATCATCCAACAGAAGTAAATACTAACAAGAATATCTTTCTTTCGGATATTTATCAACAATTCACAAATAGTGATGTAGAGAGTTTGAAGATAAAATAAAACATTTTATTACAACAAAATTCATCTTTAAATAAAGTTTAATTCGTAAAATAGTTATGGAGTGGTGAGGAAACTATGAATAATACAATTTCAATGGTTTTATGATTTTCATGCTATGTATGGTAATATTTCACGTTGTGGTAAAAATAAAATTATAAATTCTAATTCATATTATTTTCTTTATCCTTTGTAACAGAAAATAGATTTGCATTGTTTTCAAAGTATCGCTTCAAGTTATCCATTTCGCTAATGTTTCACGACTGAGTGGCATTTTGTTGCAACACATATCACAAATTATACCGCCTGAAAAATGTCCGGATACACATTCGGCATTCGATGTGGCATCTACATTTACATGTTATTAATGTCCGATTCCTGTTTGTACACCTCGATTATATCCTCAATTATTTCCCAGTGTTTGTCCTTGGTTATGTCGGAAACAAAGGGCTAGAAAGGCAATATATTTTGTGGTTTTGAAAGAATACTATAAAATATATAATATCGCATACTCACAGTATACCACTGCGATTGATCATCCGATTCATCTGTTAGAGGTACTTGTACACCATAGGTTTGTAGGGCCAACGAGAGGCAACATACGGCAATATGTGTAGCCTTGTGATTCAAAATCTTGGAACTGTGATGGAAATCTTGTAGGAATGATGCTGCAGTCTTGGCAATTGGAACAGAGGACCAAACATCTGCACCCAACCAGTCTTGTAGAGTTTTCATGTAGTAAAGTAAATACTGAACACATCATTTTCTTATTTTTGTTGTCATGAAATTGTTTTCCTATATAAATACCTTATGTGGATGCTCCATGTTAAGATCAAATTTGAGAGTACGAGCAATTAAAAGCTCGGCTTGGACAATGGCATCACGCATAGACCAATATTCATCGCCCAATTCAAGAGGCAAAGAGCCTCTGTTTAATGTTATGTTAGCCACATTGATAACATCGCGAATTTTTACCGGATCATCTTTAATTTTTCCAGCCAAGTACAATGAGGATGCAGCTATGACCTGTGAGGGAAATAAATTTCAATTTTACAGTCAGTCACACATGCTAGGAATAACTTTCACTACATTCCCCTAGAATTATCTTTGACAGTAGTTTTAATATGTGACTGATCTAAAAATAGTGAACTTTTGCCCTAAATTAACTCAATGCCCTAAATAAACATGTCTTGGAAGTCAGACAGACCTTCTATACCGCACGAGTCGAGTTTTTGTATAATGAGCAATTTTTTAAATTTCGTTTTTTATTTTTGTATAATCCCAGTTTCCCAGTTTAAAGTTGTACGTTCATTGACTTTTTCAAATGACACACATACACAATGGACGACATCCCGTTTGGACATATTTACATTGGGGGTAATGTGCAAGCAAACACAACAAACTGCAGCTACCACGTCCCCTTAAAGCAATTTGTATAAAAAAGAAACACAATCACTTGCATGCATGTGTACAACGACGAACCGTCACCACATTTTGTGTACCCGAAAAGTCACAACACCACACCACACTTTTTGTGATTTGGGGAAATGTAGATATATTATATACTCACATATTCATCATAATCCGTTGATTCCATTTCTCGATAGAATCTGTGGAATATTATTGCGGCACTAGCCGAGGTCAATGGTTTGATTTGTAATTTTATGGCACATTCGAAAAGAAATCTCGGAACAATTCCAGGCCTTTCAATTTTTCTGCCATTAGAAAGATGGACATTAAAACAACAACAACAGTGACAAAGTGTAATGACATTAACCACAAATTACCTGTAGTCGGTTGGCTTAACCTTTTGTAATTTATTTTCCTGTGTCTTATTCTGCAGGGACAACACGTCGACAATATTGTTTTTCATCTTAGCTTTTTAATATTGTGGAGATCACGGGTCACGGGTCAAGGGATTTAAGGAATGTGCGTGTGTGTTGCAAGGCCAAATGTAACAGTGACTCTAATATACAAATTCCTATTTGAAACTTTCCTTTTTATCAGAAAAAAATTCAGACCGGTTAACTTACCTCTCCCCTATTTGTTTACTTGCAGCATAAACATTGTTGGCAACGCAACAGTGTTGACGAAGAGTTGGTAACGCAGCAGGGGATATGTCGATTTCATTTGATACAGCGATTAATCGAAGTGGGATAATAAATAATACCATGTTCAGACTAGCGATGATCACTTTCATTCTTTTGGGTTCAAGAAATAAAAAGTTGTCAATTCTTTTGCCAAAAATTATCTTTAAAGAAAAATGGCGATCTCTTCTAATATATTAATGTGTTCTTTAAAAACTTATAACACCACAAATTCAGACATTCGTCTGAAAGCACTGGAACAGAAAAGTAGCTACACTGAGCAAAACCGTCAAAATCGTGACGACACCAAACGGCCGAAGAAAATAAAATGAAAAAGTTGAAATATTTGTTTGTTTGCACATTTTTGGTTCTATTAGAAACATAAGATACCACGTGGAATTGAATGAAATGTCAATTTCGCTGTTTTTCGAGTTTACTCGCCCCAATTTTAGCGATGTCCGTCTGTCTGTTAAAATCACGCTATCTTTCGAACGAATTGCAATAGAAGGCTAAAATTTTGCATGCATATATAGTTTACCAATAGGCAGGTCCATATAACTGTACCTCCCGATGTTCGATATGTTGATGATTTCAGCAACATTATTTACCGGAATCGTTTCAAACTTCGTATTTAAAGATCTTAATGGGTACTACAACCTATGAAAAAAAAATCGTATGCAGGTCCACGTCTTCCTATAGCCCCCATATGACTGTACCTCCCGATACTTGACATTTTCATGATCTTTGCGACATTATTCACTGGAACTATTTCAAATTTCGTATTTGAAATTCGTAATGGGTACTACAGTCTATGACAAAAAAAAACGTACACGTCTTCGTATGGTCCCCATATAACGGGTTTCATTTAAGTGGTAGGTTTTGTTCCTTCCAAATGGTGGAGGGTATTAAAAGTTCGCCCCGGCCGAATTTAGCTTAATTTTTACTAGTTTTACTTTCATGCAGTTCTGAAACAGACCATGTGTGTTCCATGGCAGGAAATGTCATTTGCCAAATCACCAATGGTAACATTTTTATACCCTACACCACTTAGTGGTCAGGGTATTATGTCTTTGTGCATTTGTTTATAACAGGCAAACGGAAAAGAGATAGACCAATAGTTTCTTTTGATGATTTGCATAGAATCACATTCTGAGTCGATTTATGCATGTCCGTCCGTCTGTCCATGTATTTTTGTAAACAATGTGCAGGTCGCATTTCTTGACCGATCCGAATGAAAGTTTTCACAAATCATTTGTTTGACTCAAGGAACCCTGTTGAAATTGGAGATAATCGGTCAAAATTTATATAAGGCTCCCATATATATCTTCATCCGATTTGCCTTTTTTAGTGCACCAAACATGTAATCTCAGCTCAAATAGCATGGAATTTTGCACATACGACCAAATTAGGCATGAAAATAAGCATTTGATCGAAATTGTTGTGAATAATGCTATAGCTCCCATATATATTGTTCATCCGATTTGTTATTTTTGTCCTTCGCAGCTGTATTATGCATCAGATTCAGGTCAGAAATACCTTTGCTTAATTTTATTGAGATCGGTTCAGATTTTTTATAGCTCCTATATATATCTTCGTCCGATTTGCTTTTATTGTGAACCAAACGTGTAAAATATTATACGGCTATAACAATAGGTGGTATGATTTAATTGTCACATATTCCCCGTAAAAACTTTTATTTGTTATGTGAAACTCTACTAAATATGCAAAGTGGTGCAGGGTATCATAAAGTCGTCCCGCCCGACTTTCTTTACTGATTCGTAGTTGAATATCTTTATTATTTTATAATATATGTAACATTTATTCCAAAATTATTTTGAATACTGATAAGAATTTAGAATAACTATTTCTAACAATCAACCTATAAAAAATAAAAAATGGGGGTCGACTCCAAGAAATAATTTTTTGAATTAAAAAAATATGAGTTTATTCATGATTTTAAAACAAGTCTAAAGTCATCGTTCTATGGTTTTACCTGTGTAAATACGGTGTTAGGGCAATAACCTCTCTATCTATTTTCAATGTGTTGGCAACTCCGTTACAGGATATTCAAAACACAGAAAGGGCACAATTGGCAAATACAAATAACAGTACATTCGTTGGCTGTCTTCTATTGATTTATACAATACCGTAACAATAACAACAAAAACTGCTTTCATTTGCTGCACTACAAAGTGTTCACATAATTTTGTTCATAACTTATACAAATAAATAAATCTAAACAAATATACAAAATAAACACAAACAATGTAAGTGTAAGAAACAAAGTGGTGTATATTTCTAAAACATATTCTCTATCCAAAATCCAATAATCGTGGATAAAGCAAGTGGGCTCACGCGAAAATTGTTACATTTTATATTCTTCGTTAATGACCATGAACTTTCTTATGAAAATGAAATATTTAATTTTCTTAATTTATGTTGATGGCCAACAAAAAACAAATATATATATATATATTTTGCCAAACAAAATAGTTCGAATGTATTGGGGGTAGTTTTAAAATATGTGAATGTAACATAGCTACGTACATACATTTTGCATTGCTATATACATATTTTGTGTGTGCGACTGTTTGTGCTTGCGGCAGGGATGAGAGTTGTGATTTGACAGATTTGTGTCCAAGAGCATGCATTAATTGCTAATGGCAAACGAATGGAATAATATTTTTGCTCTCATCATTGAAAAATATTAAAAACCAAAATATTGATGTACGATAATCAATGTGCTTGAAAGATTTTCCAGAAAACGGACTAAAATATGATATGAACATTATCGGAATCGAATTTCCAGAACCTTCTGTATAAATTTGAACAATAAATAAGATGTGTAGGAGACATGGTGAGACAGGGAGACAGGGTGAGATAAAAACACTGCAACAAAGTCAAACGCCAAAATTTTTACATTTTTTTTTTTTAATTTTATCTAATGAAAGCCAAAAATGTCGGAAATAGCATAAAATTTTAGAATAAGAGTAGATTTGTTCGAATTGTTCCTTTGGCACGAATTATGGCCTTCAAACGGCCAATGAAACCGTCACACGTTGCCCGAATGTTGCTCTGCTTAATTTTGGCCAAAATTTTTACATTTTTTTTTAATTTTATCTAATGAAAGCCAACAATGTCGGAAATAGCATAAAATTTTAGAATAAGCGTAAATTTGTTCGAATTGGTCACCTTTGGCACCAGAGGGCTGCAATGAGTATGATTGAGTAGGCTTGATCACACACAGTGGAAATACAATCAAGCTCAATCAGTCGGTCAGATGCAACATGTTCATTCGAGTCACTCAAGCCTAACGAAAAAGTTGTGATCAAACATGTATTGATCGAAGTTTTGTGATCGCAATCAAACAGCTCACATGAGTTATTTGTTTACGAACTTATGATGAATTGTTCATAACGGGTCGATCATCTATAATGAGTCTGATCGGTTTTATTTATCCTAGTTAAGTGAGTGATTTGATTTGATTAAAACACAAATGTTCGAATTTGAGCGAAATCATGATTGTAAATTTACTAAGGATGTCATAACTAAAAGATGTCCCCATTAAAGAAATTGGTACAAATTATATTTAATAAGCTTACAATTTTTCATTTTATTTGGGTTTTTGGTATGCTAGACTTCAGTAACTTATTTGGAAAAAAAAAAACAAAATTAATTTTTTTAATAAAGAAACACATCATTGGTATTTAGAAAACTAAAAATGTTTAAATATATTTTTTTTAATTTTACAATATTGGTCAAGATTTTTCACAAACTTCGACCTTTTCGTTTACCTACACCTGTGTCCTGTGTAGTTTCTACTTGCAACAATTTCGGTCGCACTATCACAATATTCTTCCATTTCAGATATCAAAAAATGTCAAAATAAACTGTCCCAACTTGATTAAATGGTTGAATGAACAATGACGCTGAGCGAACTCGATTCAAAGAAGACAATCACGGTTGTGATTGCTCATTTACATTCATGTGTTCGATCAACTCATGCTGCTGAACACATCAAACCGTCTCGAACGCTCATGTTTGATTGTGAGTGAAGTGATTCAAACTGAGCGTTCGATTCGATCAGAAGCGAAAACAATCATTTCATTCAGATCAAACTAAACGACTGCATCAACAAAAATCATGTAAGAAACCGAGTATGCTTGAATTTTTGCATACTCGTTGCAGCCCCCTGTTTGGCACGAAGTATGGCCTTGAAACCGTCACACGTTGCCTGAATGTTGCTATGCTGTATTTTGGCCCATTCCCGGCGAAGCGCTTGCTTGAAGTGATCGACACAACATTGCTTTCCAAAATACTCCAGACACAAGAGTCCGACGGATTGGTATCCGGAGATTTTGGTGGCCATTGTGCGCTGGAACTGAAGCGAGGAACCTCATTTTGTAACCATTCTTGGATGGCGCGTGCTGAATCCTGTTGGAATATCCAAGGTCTGCGGCCATAATGTTTTCGTGCCCAAGGCTTTAATACACTCTCGGCATTTATTCTGATGCCACGGTCGATTAATAGAAGCGGAGAGCGACCATTGGCTGTTATGGCGGCCCACACCATCACCATGGCCGGCGCTTGAGTTCTTGTTCTTGGTGCACATTTTCAGCTGACCTTTTTGGCAAGTAAACACGATAATTTTGTTTGTTTACAAACTGCTGGACAACGAATGTTTTCTCATCGGAGAAAACCAAATTCGGCAGTTCATTTTTGGCCCTAGGCTCCCTTGTTCATTTGCGAAGAAGCCAGCCAGATAAGCGCTTTATGTATTCCCACCTTAAAGCTGGGAATACATAAAGCGCTTATTTGGCTGGCTTAAGTCATCGGCTGGCTTCTTCGGAAATGAACAAAGGAGCCTAGAGTCAAAATCGAACTAAGTCAACCTAAAACTCCTTTGTTCCTCTACGAAGAAGCCAGCCAATGAGTTAAGCCAGTCAAATAAGCGCTTTATGTATTCCCAGTTTAAGTCATCGGCTGGCTTCTTCGTTGAGGAACAAAGCAAAGACCTCAAATGGTAAAGACTAGACAAAATGCATTCTGAGCAAATGGTTTGTGTCTATACTGTCTAGATAACAGCTCATGACAGGACAATGTTAATATAAAAAACACATTTATAGAAAAAAAAATTACAAGCAAAAGTTTGAAAAATTCAAAAATTGGCTTTCAGAGTTATATTCTATAGACTTTCCCAATTATTGCATATTTCCTAAGCTATTTTAATCGCTGAACATTGCTAACTATGTTGTTACGATATCATAACAACAGAGGTATTTTTACAGGGTTGCCATATCTTTACTCTGGCTTGTCCCATCTTTATACTTCTATGTCTTTGAACAAAGGAGTTTTAGGTTGACTTAGTTCGATTTTGGTCCTAGGCTCCCTTGTTCATTTCCGAAGAAGCCAGCCGATGACTTAAGCCAGTCAGAAAAGCTCTTTATGTACTCCCACCTTAAGTCAGTCGAAAAAGCGTTTTATGCTTTCCCACCTTTAATTCTGCACTGTTTAACCCACTACCATGGTTAATATTGTAAACGTTGTTTGAGACGTATATTTCCATACGCTTTACGTCAAATTTGTCATCATACAATGTAAACATGTTATTAGATTTTTTTCGTTTACCATTCCATGCGATTTTATATTCCCACATTTTTTTTTGCCACAAAACACTGTGTATTGGCCAAAATAAAAAAGAAATGAACATTTTCATGGTTCTATGGGCTTTCCAAATTACCTCAGCTACGAAGATGATGTGGACGAATTCGTTGATGATGATCGCCATGAAGGCGAATATAAATATTTTCTTGTTAAAGCGTGGTTGTTGTTATTGTTGATCATTTTTTTTTTTTGGTATTTGTCGTGATGAGTGTGGCTGGCGGACTTGCTTATGGCCGAAAGGCAGGGACGGACGCATAGAAATGGACTTGCCAGTTTGACAGAGTGTTCGTTTTAAGAGATAACCGTAGTTGCTGAAATTCGCTTGCCTTGGCCACTTCGAACGGTTTTTTGAAATGCAAAAATGTTTTGCGTAAGATTTCGTTTCAAAATTTGTTAATGTCTTGCAAACAAAAAAAAAAAAAAAAAAAAAAAACAGAGGAATATATGAATATTTGAAAATATCAAAAAATAATTGTGAAATAATAATTTATATGGAAATATTTGCGTTTGTGTGAGCAAAAAGAAAAACGAATGGAAATTAATTGCATTTAATGCGAAACAAATAAACATTAATAAGAAGAAATGAAATGTTGGAAAACCTATAAAAAAATGATGTCTAAAAATAAAAATATTCATACGGGACATCTATTTATGTAATAATATTTCTTCAAGCCAAAAAAAAAAAAAAAAAAAAAAAAAAACAAAAACAAAAATGCAAAAAAACATACATATTGATGTTTATATTTGTGATCACATACAGATATATGTACAGTAGATTGTGATTATAACGACGAGTGGCTTCTGAAATTTATCAGTTGCATGGAACATAATTATTGGCCCCAGTGGATCAAAATACATTCATAGAATATCCATAAAAAATGCCACAAGAGAAATAATTTGTGTCCGTCATAACTAAGTTTTACTGTATCAAATATCATGGTTTTGTGCGTTTTTAAGTGTTTTAAAAAAATATCTAACATTTTGTTTTGCAAAAAAATAAACTTTTATTTCGCAATTAAATTAAAGAAATAAATAAAAAGTGGTCGCATAATGGCTTGCAAATGTCGTGTAAATTGTAAAGATTTTTTTTCGGCTCTTTTTCTGAGTGATAATTTTTTGTGGCAACTAAATATGTACCTAATTATGTGCCAGACTAACACGACCAGCCAACTGATTCAAAATGACCAAGGGTTTGAAGTGAACGGAAATATCTACCTTACATAGCCGCAAAAATGTCCAATTGTGATATTACACAAATATTTAGAGCAGAGGAAAACCAAAGTTCTAAAAATATATATGAGGAAAACAAGTGAAATGTTGTGAAGAAAAATAAAATAATGAATTCTAGTATTAATTGCTAGTAAAGAGTATAATAATAAATATTTGGCATATGTTCAGTGAAAGTGAAATGTATTTTTTCAATATGTTCTATGTAAACGTTATTTTAATAACAAGTAAAAACGCAGTAACTTCAGCCTTTGAAAACCATCCACTATATGGAACAAATTTGGAAATTTTCAAAAAAAAAAAAAAATAAATAAATAAATAAAATTCGTTAAAGATTCTGTGAAAATTTTAAAAATACTGAATTTAGCTTTTGGAGTCTATACGAAGACGTGGACCTGCATAGCCAAATTTTATCATAAGTCATTACTATATTGAAATACGAATTCCGTTGAATAATGTAGTTAAAATCATCAAAATACCGAATATAGGGAGGTACCGTTATATCGGGGCTATACGAAGACCTGGACCTGCATATGCAAGTTTCTGTCAATACTGTAGTTCTCATTACGAACCCTTAAGCTGGGAATACATAAAGCGCTTATTTGGCTGGCTTAAGTCATCGTCTGGCTTCTTCGGAAATGAACAAAGGAGACTAGGGCCAAAATCGAACTAGGTCAACCTAAAACTCCTTTGTTCATCTACGAAGTAGCCAGCCGATGACATAAGCCAGCCAAATAAGCGCTTTATGTATTCCCAGCTTAAGGGAACTGTAATTTAATAACGCATTTATGCTATTGAAGATTAACCCACTTGGTTTAATAGTTACAGTATTTACATACACCTTAGAAGGATATATATGCTGATCAGTTGATGTTTTTTTTAAGTATACATACACACCCAAATAATAAAGCAAAAAGGTGATATCAATAACACTGCCTTTAAACGGTGGCATTTTTATCAATTCTCTTTTAAAATTTCTACGTAAATCTTCGCACCTTTACACGGTGGCATTTTACGATATTAGTGCTTGGCATTTTACGATATTAGTGCTTGGCATTTTTTCTGACATTTTATTTAGTATTTCGTATAGAGCTGTATTGTTGTGCTAATTGTTTGTAACAGATATTTATAAAGAAGTGATTTAAAATTAAATGTGTGAATCTAAAGAAGAAATGATGGATAAAGTTATTGAGGTGTTAAATGTTGTTAAGTGTTGCATTGGAAAGCTCAGATTTCAGTAATGAGCTTGATGTCGGCATTGTTTTGGGGCTATTTGGGGCATGCTGCCCATACAGCACCAACATGAGCTCTATTGTCGATCTGATTCACATATTTATTAAAACTATTAACTTTTATTTTAACTTTCTTTTTTTACTTTTTAAAACTTCCAATTAATTTTCATATAATTCAATATACAATTCAATCACTAAACACATCACACCACACTAAAAGAAACGCATCAAAAATTACAATAAAGAAAATATATGAAATGTCAAAATCATAAAAAATTCAGAAGAAGCAAAAAAAGAAATGCGAAGAAAATGGCATGTAACACCGTGCGGTGGCTTATCGTGCCATTTTGTCTTCTATCCTTGTCACCGTGTAAAGGCAGTGTAAATCAATAGAGACATAAAAAACAGTTTGTAGGTTTGTAAATTCAGTGGATTCAAATTCAGTGGAAAATGACCAATTCCATTGCACATAAGTCAAATAAATCCTCAGAAATTCGACAAATGACATCTAATGTAAACCTACTATTACTAATAGTATATAGAAAAAACATATTTGGAACTGAAAATCCGTGGTTGCTTCGATCGACTCTGTCTTTGTTTTCCGTTATGTCTCTTAACTAGAACTCTTGTGGATAAAAAATTGCACTTTTTTGTAATTGTAATTTAAATGCGTTTGTAAATCAGAGATGCATTTTCAGTAAATTAGTCGCGTGTTAACGCTATGTTAGTTGAGTTAAGTTCTTTTCTTTACATCATATAATTTCTTAGATGTCAATGTGAGAATTTCTGTGTAAATTTATAAATCTTAACAATATTTAATTAGAAATTAAAAAATTACTCTGTTCCAGTATCTGCACGAATCTTCTAGTTTTGTAATTTTCTACGAAATCATAAAGGGAAAATCAGTTATCGTAGTAAACAATTTTACATTGTTGCAGTTCTGGAACAGAACTATTATTTTGATATGTTTCCCAGAAAATGCTATTTGTTTCAATAGAATATTATATACATTCATATAATAACACCATTAATCTTAAAAAAATCATATTCTCTTATTTTAATTTTAGATTTGATTAAACCAAGACGACATAAGAAAACCCCCACTCAAAAATCGTAACAATAATAATGCAAGTGATTATAAAAAATAAACAACGGTACAATTAACCCTAATTAATAATTAAGAAAGAGGACGAAGGAGAGAAAAAAAAACTAAACAAATTACTAAAAATTCTAAGTAAAACCAACAAAAACTAACTAACACTAACACATACAGTTATAAAAAAAAACAAACAAACGTCAAAGTCTATAAATAACGCTCAAGAGAGAACTATGCCTGCTCAGACATCAACAAGAATGCCGACCCGGCAGGAACAACAACATCAACAGCAGCAGAGAAAGCCGTCACATCCGATTTATGCCAATGAAGGTCTAAGTCCCAAGAAAACAGCTTTAATTATTGTAACAGTTGTCGGTTGCATTGCCATATTATGGCCGAAGGTTTTCTATCCCATGATGTTCGGTGGAAGTGCAGTGGCCACAAATAAGGCCAATATGAAAGAACCACATCGTGGACCTGGAGGTGAGTTGAAGTTACATGTTATTCTTTTAGTTTTTATTTTGTGTGGAGAGGTCAAAGGTGTTTGGTGGAATAATTGAAGAATAATGTGCTTGCATTAACGCGTTTTGTGTATACGTAGACTTTATTTGACGTATGACCAAAGGAATTGACAATTGAATGACAACATTTTATCTGAGTTTAAAAAATACAAGATAATTGAATTCGGAGAACGATCTTTTCAAACAATTGACAAAAAATTCTAAAACATGTATGTTAAATTTGGAATCCTCTTAATGTACCTATCGCATTTGTCGTGGTGAATTCAGAGGCTAGTTTAAAGGAACTATAAGAAATTTGTAAAAATTCTTGATAATTGCATATTGTAAAAACTTCCGATCGGTGCCGTAAAAATGTATACAAATCTACTTATTTTTGTCAATACATTTAAAAAATGTTTGACATATCAATATTTCCAAGCGTTGATGCATCTAACCTGTATTCTTCTACCATGGTACATATGTACTTTTTCGATCACAGCGAGCCCTATTATCATAAACAAAAACTAATTTAATCAAAAGTGTTGTGTGAAAATCTATGGAATTAAATTTGCGGTAAAAATCATCCATTAAATATTGAGATTTTTTTTATAAAATACAATATAATCACAATGTAATCAAAGGAAATATAAAAACATGTGCAAGTGTGTGATAGCAATAATTGTGAGTCATATGTAAAATGACAATTTTGGCGTACATACAGAAATACACATGGATAACAAATGTAAATAATATAATAGTAGTTTAAAGGATCTATCGGAACTATATTCAGAAGGAGTACAGGCTGAGATAAAAACTGCAACAAAGTCGAATGCCATAATTTTTACATTTTTTTTAATTTTATTGAATAAAAGCAAAAAATGTCGGGAAAAGCATCCAATATTAGAATAAGTTTAGATTTATCGAATTGGTCACCTTTGTCACGAAACGGCCAATGAAACCTTCATACGCTGACCAAATGCTGCTCTGCGGTATTTTGGCCCATTCCCGGCGAAGCGCTTGCTTGAGATGATCAACAATTTGCAATTTTTTATTGCCTTGCTTTCCAAAATACTCCAGACACAGTAGTCCAACAGATTAGTAGTATATATGGAGATTTTAGTGGCCATTATGCGCTGGAAATGAAGTGAGGAACCTCATTTTGTGACAATTCTTGGATGGCGCGTGCTGAGTGTGATGGTGCTGAGTCCTGCTGGAATGTCCAAGGCCTGCGGCGAAAATATTTGCGTGCCAAGGCTTTAATATGCCCTCCAGAATATTGTGCGCGATAATATTAGGCATTTATCCTGATGCCACAGTCGATTAATATGAGCGGATAGCGACTATCGGCTGTTATGACGGCCCACACCATCCCCATGGCCGGCGCTTGAGTTCTGGTGGCCAACCGAAGGTGCACATTTTCAGCTGACCTCTTTGGCAAGTAAACACGATCATTTTGTTTGTTTACAAACTGTCGCACAACGAATGTTTTCTCATCGGAGATCAGAGAAAACCAAACTCGGCAGTTCACCACTTTCGGCCAAGCGTAGCAACTCTTTAGCTCTTTTGAGTCTATTTTCCTTCTGTTGCGGTTTAAGTTCTTGCACTTTTTGGGGATTTCAATGGCTTTACTCCGAGCTCATTTTTCAATATTTGCCGAATGGAATATTGCGATATGTTCAGCTCACGAGCCATTTTTCGGCCACTGCGACGCGGGTTTCGATCAAGTCGCTTCTTTACTTTTCAAACAATTTCTGCTGATGTTGCTGTTTTCTTCCGTCCACTTCGTTGACGTCGGGCTACGCGAGCCGAAAACGAGCTATAATACGAGACACAAAATGTTTATTCACATTTAAATGCTGGAGTGCTCTACTCTACTTTTGGTTTTCAAGCCAAATATAAAGAAATTACACTATCACGCTTGAATTCCATCACGGATAACTTTTTTTGTGGAAAATTCTTACCAAAATTCTTTTGTACGCTTGTAAACAATATAATGAGCTATCACTGGAATAATTTTAACAGCTGTCGGATGATTGGCTTAGAAATGACAGCAGTCTGAAGTTGGTTGCGATTTTTTCATCTCACCCTGTATGCAATGGATTTGTACACATAAATTTTGACAACATCCTAGTTGTCAAATGAATAATTTTGAAAAAAAAAATTAAACATATGACTGCACGACCTGCTTAATTCTACCATGCGTTTTAAGGACCCGAGCTTATTAAAATCGTTTGACAATTCAGAAGTCTTTGCGGATGGTAAAAACCGGAATCATCATTTCGCGTATTAAACATAAAAATTCTCGTAATGCAATAATCTATATATTCAGCCAACACCTTCTACCTTTTTTCATTTAAATATGCTATTCAAAAATATTCTATTTTTAATTTTGTATTATTATTTTTCATTTGTTTGTTGTGTTTGTGTTGTGTCGATCGATGGTATTATATGAATTATTGTCGAATTGAAAAACAAAATAACAGGTTGTTGTGACGTGGTACTTAACAGGGAGGAATTTTTCAATGTTACCTCGACGAAAACTAAAAAGCCAGCAACGGAAGATCCCGTTGTCTTTGGACCACAGCTATATCGTAAAAGTCTAAATATTTACACCGGCGAAATAAGTATGTCCGCAATTCGAAATTAAAATTTGTTAAGCATGGGTTTCAAATAAAAATTTCAGATATTACAAAACAAAGTTTTATAACAAATTACGCATAATATGACCTTGACTAACATTGAAAACACAAATGCAAATAATTCGAAAGAAAATTCCACCTTCTTTTATGTATTAATTTTTTCACGAATGGTTAAATTGAAAACTCAATTAAGCCATTCTCCTGAATCATGCAATTGGAAAATGTGGTTTCAGCTTCGTGATTAAAAAAATAAACATCTTCAAAGAGTGGTCATGGTATTTGATTTTTATCTAACAAAATTTCATTTAACAAATTGCTTTATATAATTAACCTTGAGTTGCATTTTGGTTTGTTGTACAATAATTGTTGTTGCATTTTTTATTTTTGTTGAAATTATTACTTTTTCTCGTGAGTTTTTCTTTTGTGATATCATTTTTTTCTGTTTTATTTCAAATTTCACTTTTCCTTTCGTTTGTTAATTATTTTTGTTTGATGCATGGATTTTATTGGTTTCATTTGGAAAGATTTGTTTTTATTTATATTGTTTTTTCTTTGCTATAGGTATACGACAGGAACGTCCGGCTCATTTGCATCCTGACTCGGTTTATCAGGCTATGCGAGAACGTGGCCGCGCCATACCAGCCACACCAACAATACCCATTGTTGAGCGTAAAACATCGCCAAGTAATCCACCACCACGCATTGTTGAAGGCAGGGTAAGTAACAAATGTTTCTGACGCACTGCATCCCCTAGTTATATCTGAAGTGGTATTTGTGTATGTCAAAATTTATATTTTACATGCGACTCATAATCTACAGGGTGAGATAAAATACTGAAACAAAGTCAAACGTCATAATTTTTTCATTTTTTTAATTTCATTGAATGAAAGCAAAAATGTCGGAAATAGCATAAAATTTCACAATAAGTTTTGATTTGTTCGAATTTGTCACCTTTGGCAGGAATTATGGCCTTCGAACGGCCAATGAAACCGTCACACGCTGCCGAATATCGCTTTGCGGTATTTTGGCCCATTCCCGGCGAAGCGCTTGCTTGAGGTGATTGACACTTTGGTATTTTTTAGTGCCAACCTTGCTTTCCAAAACACTCCAGACACAATAGTCCAACGGATTGGTATACGGAGATTTTGGTGGCCATTGTGCGCTGGAAATGAAGCGAGGAACCTCATTTTGTAACCATTCTTTCTGATTCATTCATTCTTTTGGAATGTCCAAAGTCTGCGGCCAAAATGTTTGCCTGCCCAAGGCTTTAATACAACCTCCAGAATATGTTCGCAATAATATTCGGCATTTATTCTGATGCCACGGTCGATTAATATGAGCGAAGAGCGACCATCGGCTGTTATGGCGGCCCACACCATCACCTTGGCCTGCGCTTGAGTTCTGGTGTCTTTGGCAAGTGAACACGATTATTTTCTTTGTTTACACACTGCTGGACAACGAATGTTTTCTCATCGGAGATCAGAGAAAACCAAATTCGGCAATTCACCACTTTCGTCCAAGCGAAGCAACTCTTTAGTCTATTTTCTTTCTGTTGCGGTGTAAGTTCTTGCCCTTTTTGGAATGTCAATGGCTTTACCCCAAGCTCATTTTTTAAAATCTTTCCTAATGGAATATTGAGATAAATTTAGCTCACGAGTGGCTTAGAAATGACAGCAGTCGGAAGTTGGTTGAAGTTTTTTCGTCACACCCTGTATTTTCTTGTGTATGTCAAAATTGACATGTTACACGCGACTCATAATCTAATTGCTATCACACACGTGCATATGTTTTTTAATTTCCATTGATTACATTGTGATTATATTGTATTTTATAAAATATCTCAATATTTAATGGATGAATTTTAACCGCAAATTTAATTTCATACATTTTCGCACAACAAACAAACAACACTTTTGATTAAATTATATATTTCCAATAAAAATAGGGTTCGCTGTGATCGAAAAAGTACAAATGTTCTTTACTCATGTATTTCATCAACTTCTACGTATGAAAAATTTGACATTACATATGTAAAAAACTTAGAGCATTTTTTGATATATATTTTTTGAGATTCCCTTTCACATAAATTAAGCCAAACAGTTTTTCTTTTTTTTTAATTCCATTGCGAGAAGAATCTGAATTTTGTTTGGTGCCAGCACATCATGCAATATTTTCATAATTTTACTGACCGTGAAAAATCCGCTCTCTCGCCTTGTTTTATTTATTTTATCTAGCGTTTATTTTCATTTCGTTCCGTTATTGGCTTCAATATCCAAAAATAGCCGATTGTATGGAAGAAAATTATTCAATGTGAAAAATGTTTGGTCGCAATGTGTGTATTAGATGGGGCTAAAGTAGATTACAGACATGGTAAAATAAAAAGGCAAGGTAGAACTACTATATGATTAAATTTTGTTTTCTATAGGTGAGAGTACATAAAAGGCTCTTTTGACTTCCTGAAGGTGAGAATACATAAAACGTTTTTTTGATTGACAGACTTCTTCGAAAAAAAAAACAAATGAGCGTTTGACCAAAATCGAACTAAGTCAACCTGTTTCTTTGTTTCTCTACCATGGTAGAAGAATACAGGTAGATGCATCAACGCTTGGGAACATTGTTATGTCAAAAATTTTTAATTTTTTTTCAAATATAGGTAGATTTTTATATGTTTTCTTATGCGACGTCATTCGGAGGTTATTATATACGCATTTTTCAAAAATTTTTACAAATTTAATAATTTTTCAATTCCAAATTTGGTTTGACACTTCATTGTCCCATCAATTGTGTCGATGCGTCTACCTATATTCTTCTAACATGTCGTCTACGAAAAAGCCAGGCCCACATCATCACCATGGCCGGCGCTGGAGTTCTGGTGGCCAACCGAAGGTGCACATTTTCAGCTGACCTCTTTGGCAGTAAACACATCATTTTGTTTGCTTACAATATGCTGGACAACGTATGTTTTCTCATCGGAAAAAAACAAATTCGGCAGTTCACCACTTTCGGCCAAGCGAAGTAACTCTTTAGATCTTTTGAGTCTATTTTCTTTCTGTTGCGGTGTAAGTTCTTGCACTTTTTGGAATATCAATGGCTTTACCCCGAGCTCATGTTTCAATATTTACCGAATGGAATATTGCGATATGTTTTGCTCACGAGTCACTGCTGCTGATGTTGCGGTTTTTTTCGTCCACTTCCTTGACGTCGGGCTACGCTACCAGTATCACGGTAACGAGCGATTTTACGAGACACAAAAGATTTATTCACATTTTCACATTCACATTTAAATGCTGGAGTGCTCTAACGATAGACCCATGGTAGAAGAATACAGGTAGTCGCATCGACACAGCTGCTGGGACAATGAACTGTCAAACCGATTTTGAAATTGAAAATTTTGAATGAAAAATTATTGAAATTTGTACAAATTGTTGAAAAATACATATCATAACAACCTCCGATTCGCGTCGGATATGAAATCATAAAAAATTATACTTATTTTTTACAAAACATTTAAAAAATTTTGACAAATCAATGTTCCCAAGCGTTGATGCAGCTACCTATATTCTTCTACCATGCGATAGACCCTTGTGGTTTTCCAAAGAAATCACACTATCACACTTGAATTCCATTACGAAAAGCTTTTTTTTGGAAAATGCTTTTGTGAGCTTGTAAACAATAAAATGTGCTGTCACTGGAATAAATTTAACAGCTGTCGGACGAGTGGCTTAGAAATGACAGCAGTCTGAAGTTGGTTGCAGTTTTTTAATCCACCCTGAAAATTTTTTATAAAAAAATTTAATCCGGCAAAAAAGTTCTGATGTAAACATACTATAATATTGTTAATGTGGAAATCATTTGTTTATTTGTATTACGTTAATGGCTCTGAATTCTGTTGTCAAAAACAACCGCATGAAGGCAATTAACGTCACAAATGTAAACAAATTTTAAATTGGAAATGTAGAACAACACGAATATAAATTTGCTTGATAAAATAATACAGGTAGCCGCATTGGAATTAAAGTTTTTCAAATAAAAACAATTCAAATTTGTTAAAATTTTTAAAAATGTATAAAAAATATTTGAAAAATCGACTTAATTTTGAACAAACTTTTTTTGATGCATTTACCTGTATACTTCTACCATGATGCATTATGATTAATCCATATATGCATATATGATTAATTTTTTGATTGAATTGATTGATGACTTATGTCCATTTAAGAGCAATGATGCAACATGCAATAAATGGAATAGTCATTCATGGCCATTCTGCTGTATTTTGGGTAATGAAAATTGTTCTTAAAAAAGAAGAAAGAAAGTGATGTTTCCATTTTCATTTCGGTTTCTATTTCTATTTCGAATTCCATGACATTGCCTCTTTCTTATTCTGTTTGGTTTTGTTTTCATTTGCTCTCTTCGTCGGCTGTTGTTCTCATTGTGTTTCACTTGAGAGCAAATGAGCATAAACACGAATATTAACTCATTTATATAGCATGTGTATGAAGATAATTTAATACATATGTATGTACGAATCTTAAGATAAACATACATATATTTATAGAAAATAAAATAGCGAATAGAACATTTCAGTTGTCGAAACAACTAATTTGACATGAATCATCTTGTTATTGTTTTATCTATATACAATATGTTTTGCCAAAATTAATTAATGTTGGATATGTATTTTTTTTTCTTTTCAGCCTGGCCCAATACCTGGCATGCGTCCACCCATGGGTGCGGGTGCAATGCATCAGCCACAAGCGAAAGGCAACCAAAGTGTGGGTATTCTAATGCCACTGTACACCATAGGCATTGTTATATTCTTCGGTTATACTATCGTTAAGGTGGGTGGACAATTTTTGGAAAAATATTTCAAGTCCGGTTTAATCTCAAAATGACCATGGTAGAATTAAGAGTGTAAAGTCATGCAATCACATGTTTACAATTTTTTCAAAGTTATCCATTTAACATCTCATTGTCAAAATGTATATTTATAAATCCATTGTACATAAAAAAGGACGTACAGAAATCAGAGTTTTCATATAGCCTCCTGTACAAAATACTCCGTACATACTTTTAATTGCGATTGAGTGGCTTGGAAAATCTAACAATAAACAATAAATATTCAAGAATTACATACTTCCCAACCGCCATAAAATACCACATGTGAACAATTCGGTAATCTTGTGCGCTGACGCATTCGATAATGTGAGAGATAATAAAGGTTATGACCCACACGCACAGACATCGGTGCGATCAGAAGATGTAGAAGACCACTTGAATGAAATATGAAGCAGCCCTTCAATGTTCTCCATTCAATATTAGAATAGATAAGAATAATAAGATTAGTTTCAGTTTCTTCTTAAGGAACATATTTTTAAGTAAACATTAGATTTGAAAACTACATCCAAAGAATAAGGTTATTCTTTCTTTTATCATCGCCGATCCAGAGAATAGAATTGACAAACGAAGAGGGAGATTGACTTCCATTCTTATTTAACATTGGTCCTTCGAGCCGGATCGAGAATTTAATATACACACAAGCCAAGCGGTTGTATTCCTTTCTCACTAAACATTAATCCAGTCGAGCCGAATAGAGTTGACAATCGAAGATGGAGATTGGACTCTATTCTCATTATTAAAAACATTGATGCTCCGAGCAGGATCCAGAATAGAATTGACAATCGAAGAGGGGGTTGGATTATTTTCTCAAACACCCCCATATAACGGTACCTCCAATACCAATAGCCAGTATTTTTATGATTTTAGCTACAATATTAACCGGAATTGTTTCAAATTTCGTAGTTGAAGTTCGTAATAGGTACTACGATGTATGACAAAAAAGTATCTATGCAGGTCCATGTCTTCGTATAGCCCCATATAACGATGTCTCCCAATATTTGGTATTTTGACGATTTTAACAATGTTTATTGCCGGAATTATTACAAATTTCGTATTTAAAGTTCGTAATGGGTACAACAACCTATAACTGAAAATACCGTATACAGATCCACGTTGTAGTATAGCCCCCATATAACGGTACCTCCCGATATTCGGTATTTTGATTATTTAGCGACAATATTAACCGCAATCGTTTCAAATTCGTAGTTGAAGTTCGTAATGGGTACTACGATGTGTGACAAAAAAGTGTCTATGCAGGTCCACGTCTTTGTATATTACGGTACCTCCCAATATTCGATATTTTTATGATTTTAGCGAAATTTTTTATCGGAATTATTTTAAATTCCGTAATTGAAGTTCGTAATTGGTACTACAATGTATGATCAAAAATGTATATACGATACCTTCCCCTATCTTCGGTATTTTGATGATTTTAGCGGTATTATTTACCAGAATTTCAAATTTCGTAACTGAAGTTTTTAATTTGTTGTTCCCATCTCTGATTATCTGCAATGGATTTATTCATTTTCACAATGAGATGTTATTGAATTATTTATTAAAAAAAATTAAATTGTAAAAAATGATTGCATGACTTTACCTTTTTAATTCTACCATGATGGTTCTTAAGGTGGGAATACATAAGTCATCGGCTGGCTCCTTCGTAGAGGAGCAAAGGAGTTTTAGGTTGACTGGTCTACACTCCTTTGTTTATTTCCGAAGAAGTCAGCTGATAAATTAAGCCAGCCAAATAAGCGCTTTATGTATTCCCACCTTAAAAAAAAAAACTATTTTTAAAAACTTTGATTCAAAATTTATTAGTACTTTCACTTTCTAAAAATTTGCTTGTATTTTCCTGGAGTGTAGATAGTCTTCAAGAAGCCAGTACCAAATGCACCCTATGGCCCGGCACCTTCAGATCCCAATTTCAGAAAAGATGTATTCGGACATGAAAATGGTAGACATGTTGAGGATTTGAATGGATCTAAACTGGGTAAGTTGCAAACGGTTCCAAGAATACTTCTCAAAATATCAATTATAAATGAGTTTCAATGATAGTAGTTTGTTGTACAAAATATCGTCAAACATTTACATTATAAATAATTAAATATCCAAAAAACAAATTGTTCCCCAATTTTCTTTTATATATTCATTCATTGATCAAAAATAAAAAAAACTATGAATGTTTTCACTTGAATGCCAACGTAATATTTATCATAATCCTGTGATCCTCCTGGTACAGGATGGCGAGAACATCAAACAAGTAAGATACATTCCTTCTAATGAATTTCTTTGAGATTCCTAAAAACGTTTCAAATTGTTTTTGTAGAAATCTTGAAATTTTTGTTTTAGATTTTTTGGTTCCAATCTATTTTATTATTTTAGACTTTGTTGTTGTTCTTCTTCTTCTTACTATTATGGCAAACATTTTTTAGAATATGTCCTCCGGTTTAAAATCGAAATCTTTTGAAATGTCACAATTTCGAAGAATAGACAAAGCTGCTTTTAATGTTTTCTTTGAGTAACCTATAACTATTTGATTTGGTTTAATATGTAAATAGATATATATTTGGTGTCCTTGATATCCTCCAAAAAGAAGATTTTTTGTTTTATTTTTTTTTTTGTTTGGTATTAAATGTTGTCATTAGTTGTTAACCTCATCCAGCGATCTCCATTTGCCATATTCATTACCGTTTTGTTTTCACATTCCAACATATATCCACTTTTGTTGTTATTTTTTGTTAATATTTGTTGTTTGTTACAATTCCAAATAAAAAAAAAACAAGAAATCGAATATTAGTGATTTTGAACCCCAATACTCTTGTTACAAGAAACAAATCTACCCTAAAACTTAATACAAATTTCTAGGAACTAAATATCCTGATAGCTTACATCAGCAACAACAACATCGTAATAAGGCCAGCGATTTGTATAATGCCACCCTGTCGGGCCAAGCAGCTGCCACTAATCTATCGTCATCTCTGAAACACCAACACCAAATTCAGGCCCCACCACAAATTACTACCGCATCTAAGGATACGGAAAAATTAATGGAAATCGAGAAACTGCGTAAGAAGTTGGAGGATACCGAAAAGGCCATGGCCAAGTTAATTGCCGAAATGAATTCCGATCAATATGAAGCTAAGGTTAGATTTGGCAAAAGGTGTTCATGTTCAAAATATTTCTTTATTCTTTTGGTTCATTTAGTTTCATTTTAGTTTTTATTTTTTTATTAAGTTGTAAGATATTTTAGTTAAATTTTAGTTCTACGAACTATCAACATACACACCCATACATATATAAAACATATGTTTACATCGAAATGTTCAGGGCACAACATGGCAGAACATGGCATGACATCGACACAGCTGCTGGGACAATGAACTGTCAAATCAATCATGGAATTGACATTTTTGAATCAAAAACTATTCCATTTTGTAAAAATTGTCGAAAAACGCATTTTATAATAACCTCCGATTGACGTCGTATAAGAAAATATATAAAAATCTTCTTAAATCTTTTAAATATTTTGACATATTAATGTTCCCAAGCGTTGATGCATCTACCTGTATTCTTCTACCTTGAAGCAGTACACACATACTAAATTTTAGTTAAGGATCGATTTGGGAGGAAATGGTTTCCACAAATTACACACATCAAAATATTTTCACTAACCCAAGGTCTGGTGTGAAAATAGAATGTATCGGTCCACTCCTTCTGGTACCTACCCCACAAAGGGTCCAAAAATGATCACATATCTCATATAAAGTATGGGAAGTAGTCGAAATAGTCCACAACTGGCACGCTATAATACAGGGTGATATAAAAAACTGCAACAAAGACAAACGTCATAATTTTAACATTTTTTTTTTAAATTTTTCTTTTAATGAAAGCAAAAAATTGCGGAAATAGCATCCAATTTTAAAATAAGTTTAGATTTGTTCGAATTGATCAGCTTTGGGATGAATTATGACCTTCAAACGGCCAATGAAATCGTCACACGCTGCCCGAATGTTGCTCTGCGGTATTTTGGCCCTTTCCCGGCGATGTGCTAACCTTGCTTTCCAAAATACTCCAGACACAATAGTCCAACGGATTGGTATCCGGAGATTTTGGTGGCCATTGTGCGCTGGAAATGAAACGAGGAACCTCATTTTGTAACCATTCTTGGGTGGCGTGTGCTGAGTGCGATGGTGCTGAGTCCTGTTGGAATGCCCAAGGTTTGCGGCCAAAATGTTTACGTGCCCAAGGCTTTTATACACCTTCCATAATGTTTTCGTGATAATATTCGGCATTTATTCTGAGGCCACAGTCAATTAATACGAGCGGAGAGCGACCATCGTTTGTTTTGGCGGCCCACACCATCACCATGGGCGGCGCTTGAGTTCTGGTAGCCAACCGAAGGTGCACATTTTCAGCTGACCTCTTTGGCAAGTAGACACGATCATTTTGTTTGTTTACAAACGGCTGGACAACGAGTGTTTTCTCATCGGATAAAACCAAATTCGGCAATACACCACTTTCAGCCAAGCGAAGCAACTCTTTAGCTCTTTTGAGTATATTTTCTTTCTGTTACGGTGTAAGTTGCACTAGCACTTTTTGGAATATCAATGGCTTTACCCCGAGCTCATTTTTCAGTATTTGCCGAATGGAATATTGCGATATGTTCAGCTCACGAGCCATTTTTTCGGCCACTGCGACGCGGGTTGCGAACCATTTTTGCTGATGTTGTGTTTTCTTCCGTCCACTTCCTTGACGTCGGGATACGCTACCAGTATCACGGTAACGAGCGATGGTACGAGACACTAAAGATTTATTCACATTTAAGTGCTCTAACGATAGCCACTTACGGTTTCCAGCAAAATATAAAGAAATCACACTATCACGCTTGAATTCCATCACGAATAACTTTTTCCTGGAAAATTCTCACCGAAATGCTTTTGTACGCTTGTAAACAATATAATGAGCTGTCACTGGAATAATTTTAACAGCTGTCGGACGAGTGGCTTAGAAATGACAGCAATCTGAAGTTGGTTGCAGTTTTTTTCATCTCATCCTGTATTTATATCCGTCTTAGGTCAGATACGAATTGGTCAATATTGGCCAACTGCTTCGGAACCTCCCCCATAAAGGGTCAACAGTTTGAACAATCATAACTCAAGGCTGGATGTTTAGATATGAAATTAATACTTATTTGCCGTATTCGATTTACAAAATGAGTCTACCTCTATTATTGTGCCATGACATAAATATAAGAAAATTAATATTGCATATCCAAACCGTCAAAACTTTATACACTTATACAAATAGAATATCATTTTATGTTCGTTATTTTCACCATGTATTTTGTTTTATTTCACTTTCAAGATGGTCGCCATAAATTTTCTCAAACGTCAGCAATTTCATTCTTAAGAGAAATAAACAAAAATTTAAACGATACCAAAACAAAACAATGCACTCATCTTTATCAATTGCATCATAAGTAATTGCAAATTTTCTATTTTATTTACCTACTTTAAAATTAGAGTAATTAATAAAGAAACTGTTTCTTTATATTAATACTAACAAATCCTACCCATTTATAATAAAACACAACATCATTAGAAATTGGCATGAATGAAAGTTTTCCAACGTTCGTCCATAAAAAAAAAACTGAAATAACATTTGTAAACAAATAATGTTTATTAGGTTAAATACTAACAATTAATGGTTTGTGTTTGTCTTGTTATTAACGAATATCCCGAGCGTAAACCAACCCCATGAAATTGTTCTTGAACATTTCCATTATTTTGTGGCATGTTGAGCGAATAAAAACAACAGAATATACTGGTTTACTCACAAAATGTAGATCTCTACTTCTCTCTCTCTTTTCTTATTATGTCTCTCTCCTACTCTCTCTCGATCACAATTAATACAAATTCTTCCTTTTCTTCCGAAAAATAAATAGAATTGAATGTGGCTATTTGCATGCTGATTTTATCAAGGCGTTGCGTATACTGTCCGCATTCGTAACGTATTGACTAATCACAGTTAGAGCCAAATGTCACATGAAGTATCGTAATGTCATACTAACACATATTTTCCTTATTGATAGTGAACAGCAGCATTCATTTCCTTTGCAAAAATTAAATAAACAAAAACAAGTGGGGACATATTTCTAAAAATGATTTGTTTTTTTCTCTCCTCTCTGAGATAATTTTGTATGCAACATTATTGAAATATATTTTATTTAATTCATCACATTAGTCCACAGATTCATTTGTGTTTCCTTATAATGGCGCCTGGGTTGAAATAACGACGAAATGGAAAAATATTATAATTCTAAAGAAATACTGGAGTCGCGGGAGCAATTTTTTCTTGGCATTTAAGGATAATAATTGTCGAATGAAGTAAAATAGAACTCTGATCCAAAACAATTTGTCTTATTTAAACGCTAGGTTAGAAAATTTAAGAACGCAACAACATATCGACAGATCAGTAAAAGCAATGGAAGGCAAATACCAAAAGGCAACGGTATTTCGCTGAATGCAAATAATGACATTTTATAATGACAAATTACAGAAACTATTATTCGATTATGAAAATAATAATTTCGTTTGTAGTTTCACTTGCAGAATGAGCATCGACGCAGCTACTGGGACAATGAACTGTCAAACTAATTTTTGAATTAAAAATGTTGAATGAAAAATTATTTAAATTTGTAAAATTTGTTGAAAACGCGAATTATAATAACCTCCGAATAACGTCGTAAAAGAAAACATGTAAAAATCTACTTATATTTAAAAAGCATTTAAAATTTTTTGACATATCAATGTTCCCAATCGTTGATGAATCTACCTGTCTTCTACCAAGATCACAATATTGAATTCCTTTGCTTTCACACGACCTTTCTAATGGACCCTGGCCATACAACGGATATTTTCAACATGACATGACACAAAAAAAAAAAAAATTATTCATCAACATCAGCTGAATGAAAAACAGCTGTTTTGTGGCCGATGCCACATTTTCATTTTTTATCAACAGTGCAGCACATACTTTTTCCGATATATTTCGATATTACTGAGTCAATAATATTTTGCAAAAATTCGCATGCGAGAGAGAAATTTCTCTCTTACTGAGTAATGTTTACTAGAAAAGTTATCGTACATACCTAATGTCATCAATCATACAGCTCATTTAGATTGTTATTAGACGGGTTTTACACATGTGCTTTCACTTTTATTATCTATGTGTATTTCCTCGTGAATTTCAAAATTGCAATTTTGCATATGACTCATAATTCTAGCTATCACACACTTGCATATGTTTTTTTATCTCTTTTGGTTGCATTGTGTATTTTCTTAAAATATGATAATCGTTTATGGATGACTTTTTCACACAACAAACAATATGTTTGTTTAGATTACCACCAAAGACCTAAAATGGTAAAGACTAGACAAAATGCATTCTGAGCAAATGGTTTGTGTCTATACTGTCTGGGTAACAGCTTATGGCAGGACCATGTTAATATAAAAAAAATATATTTATAGAAAAAAATGACAAACAAAAGTTTGAAAAATCCAAAAATTGGGTTTCAAAATTCTATTCCATAGACTTTCCAAATTAATTGCATATTGCCTAAGCGGTTTAAATCGCATAACATTTCTAACTATGTTGTTACGATATCATAACAACAGAGGTATTTTCACAGGGTTGCCATATCTTGACTCTGTCTTGTCCCATCTTTATACTTCTATGTCTTTGTTACTACTGAAAGTAGGGCCTTAATGTATAACACGATGTGTGCATCTTCTACATATGGTAAATTTGACATTACATATGTAAAAAACATATCGTCTGATAGAGCCTATACTTAATATGACTGGAGATATATAAAATTACTTCATATAAAGCGGCATCGAAACAATTCCATAAAATTTCCATAATTTTTTTCAATTCACTGTATATTTATTTTAGAAAAAAATCAGTAAGTGCCGTTTTGATTTTGCGAATAAAAATTTAAGATATCTATATATTTCGACAAATCTCAGGTCCATTCTCGTTACTTTTTCCCAAGAGCCATTAAACATTCATCACCATCCATTGCAAAAAATTAAAATTCATTTTCAGTAATTTGATATTGTATTTTTCAAACATCTTTCTCGATAACGAAAACAAAAAATAATAAATAAATTTCGATGAAAAACGAAAAAAAAACATAACCTATAAAATTACGTAACGTAGTAGTAACAGCTATACAAGGTTTAATTGATGCTGCTGACGAAGAATTAAAATTACGAGAGACTACTTCGACCACCACTACCAACGATCCAAACAAGGTTAGCTTAGATTTTCAAATGATTATCAGATGTAAAAAATGAAACACACATACGCCTCTAACTACTCTGCCGAATAACACTACTAATATGTATATTTTGATTTTTGATTAACCAGCTAACAGCTGTTTTTACTATTTTTACTAATGTTTTGTTTATGTTTCACTTTTAATATTCAAATATCCTTGGTTTTTTCTTGACTAATTTGTGTTTTTGTTGTTGTTTTTTTTTAACATCTGTGTGCATAAAGATTTTAACAAATATTCTTTTGTAAATAGAAAAATTCCAACGAAAATTCGACCACGAACCAACAACAAAAAGAAAACATTTCCAATGGGCATGCAAACATTCAGGAGACAACATCAACTGGAGACGATAGTAAGGTAGACGAAACAGAGCATAAGAAATCGGAAGAGGCAACGGACGATAAGCGTAAGAAGAGAGAAGGAAGTGCTGATCGAACAGTTTCGGTAAGTATTTCGGGTGTATTTTTAGGCATTAGGTAGGCATATTTGTTGCCTATCATATGATCAATGTTCGCTAATATTCAATCCTAATTGCAATTTGAAGCTGAAGTATTTCATATAACAGGAATTGTATTATAAGAACTAGTCTGTGTAAATATGAGCTTAGAGTTGCCAAGTAAAAGACCGTCTTCATAAAAATTGCAACCATGCTAGAAGAATACAGGTAGTCGCATCAACACAGCTGCTGGGACAATGAACTGTCAAAAACCAATTTTTGGAATTGAAAATGTTGAATGAAAAATAATTTAAATTTGTAAAAATTGTTGAAAAACGCGAATTATAACGACCTCCGAATAACGTCGTATAAGAAAACATATAAAAACCTACTTATATTTGTAAAAACGTTTAAATTTTTTTTTGACATATCACTGTTCCTAAGCGTTGATGCATTTACCAGAATTCTTCAGCCTTGGTAGCAACCATGGCCATGGAATGATAAGGTGTCGCACCCATCAGATTAAATGTCAAAATTTGTTTACGCTTTGTTTATCTTTCGTATTCACAATAAATGTTTTGACAACGATTCTAGATGATCAGCTGAGCTAGTTCCAGTTATAACGACCTCCGAATAACGTCGTATAAGAAAACATATAAAAACCTACTTATATTTGTAAAAACGTTTAAAATTTTTTTGACATATCACTGTTCCTAAGTGTTGATGCATTTACCAGAACTCTTCAGCCTTGGTAGCAACCATGGCCATGGAATGATAAGGTGTCGCACCCATCAGATTAAATGTCAAAATTTGTTTACGCTTTGTTTATCTTTTGTATTAACAATAAATGTTTTGACAACGATTCTAGATGATCAGCTGAGCTAGTTCCAGTTATAACGACCTCCGAATAACGTCGTATAAGAAAACATATAAAAACCTACTTATATTTGTAAAAACGTTTAAAATTTTTTTGACATATCACTGTTCCTAAGCGTTGATGCATTTACCAGAACTCTTCAGCCTTGGTAGCAACCATGGCCATGGAATGATAAGGTGTCGCACCCATCAGATTAAATGTCAAAATTTGTTTACGCTTTGTTTATCTTTTGTATTAACAATAAATGTTTTGACAACGATTCTAGATGATCAGCTGAGCTAATTCCAGTACCTATTAGCTATGCCGTGGTTGCAACACTGCGAACTTAAGAGCACATTCAAATCGTGTCGATTTTAACTGTCACTGCCATTAGCTATACGTCAAATAAAATCGACTCTCAAATCAAGTGGATTTCATTTGACGTATACACAATGCAATTGACAGTTAAAACCCACTGGATTTGTATACGGCATCTAGGATATTATTTATACCGAACATGTATTCATACAACACATTATTTCGATTGTCAATCACATTGATCAAACGTCAAAAAAGTGGCATATCTTCGTAAATTAGCCTTTATAAATAATAGAAAAAAAAAAAACATTTGTATACCCTGACAGACCTACAAAGTATATATATTCTGGATCAGCGTAAAATCCTAAGACGATTTAGTGATGTCCGTCCGTCTGTCTTTCTTTCTTTCGAACGAATTGATATAGAAAACTAAAATTTTGCATACATGCATATTTTCTCAGTAGGCAGGTTAAGTTCGTAAATGAGCCATGTCGGGCCACGTTTTCGTATAGCTCCCATATAACGGTACCCCCGATATTCGATATTTTCATGATTATAGCGATAGTATTTACCAGAATTATTTTAAATTTCGTATTTGAAGTTCGTAACGAGTACTGCCAGCCTATGACAAAAAGTTGCAGGTTGCAGGTCCACGTCGTCGTATAGTCGCCATATAACAGTTTTCATTCAAGTGGTAGTTTTCGAATTTTTTTTTTTTTTGAAAATTTGCAAGTTCCTTCCAAATGGTGGAGGGTATTAAAAGTTCGGCCCGGGCGAACTTAGCTGCTTTTTTACTTGTTACTTTTTGTTTTATTCTACATACTTTTCGACATCTGTATATGTTTTTCTTTAATTTTTATTCTTTGGTTTTAAGGTTCTTGGAATGGAAGTAACAGCCAGTGTTGAGGGAGGCCACAAATGGTCTGGTCGTCCTCCAACTCCGGTACTGTCACACCATCATGAACATGTAAGTTTTTGTTTTATTTTATTTTTGTTTACGTTTATATTAGAGTACCGACCTGATTGATATCATGGTAAAATTAAGAAGGTAAAGTTATTTCAAAAAGGCATTCCCATCTTTGCATTTTCTGTAACTTATCTTGTCACATTTCAATGTATAGAATTTACGTTCCCATCTCTGATTTGTGTATGCACAATGGATTTGTAAATAAACATTTTGACAATGACACGTTGTCAAATGAAAAATTTTGAACAAAAATTATAAACATATGATTGCATGACTTTACATTCTTAATTCTACCATGGATTGATATATGTTTTTATACACGAAATATAAACAAGACCTTACAGTGCAGTTACAAAAAAATCGTTTTCTAATGGCTAAAGTCATCGGCCGAAATTGACCTAAGTCAACCTAAAATGACTTTGTTCTTTTATGAAGAAGCCAGCTTATGGTAAAAGAATACGGGAAATCGCATCTACACAGCTGCTGGGACAATAAGCTGTCAAACCAATTTTGAAATTGAAACTTTTGAATGGAAAATTATTCAAATTTGTAAAAATTCTTGAAAAATGTATATCATAACAACCTCCGATTGGTGTCGGAAAAGAAAACATGTAAATATTTACATCTTAAAAAATTTTTGACATTTCAATGTTCCCAAGCGTGTATTCTTCTACCATGAGCCAGTGTGTATTCATCTCATTTAATTTCACAACCAATACACTTAAATATTTCAATTTACACTCATGTTTTTGATTTTAAAACTTCCCTTTTTAAACCATCGTTTTCCTACTCTTTCAGTCCAAGTCTGAGGATGACAAGCCAGAACCCCAGTCAATATATTTGGAAGGCTCCTTGGCGCACGATTCTCAAATCTTGGTTTCCGATTCGGAAATCAAACAGGAAGAAGTTTATGATGCTGAACTTAATGGATCGGCCGAAGAACCAGCTGTAAGGAGCTACCTAAGAAAAGTTATCTTCAAATGAAAATGTTTTTTCAAAATTTGTTTTTGTTTTTCAGGTTATACTGAGTAGTAAAATGACATTGTCGCTGATCAATCTGGATAATAAAACTGAGCTGAAAAAACCAACTAGTCCCGAGGTAGAAAGTCCTTTGGCTGATGATATTGAAATAATTGGTCATGACCTTAACTAAATATCGCAATGGTTGAAATGTGTGAAATGGTTTTTAACAAAGAACAACAAAAAATATATAACCCCTGGACATGATGATGTTATCTGGAAATTAGGAAAAGAAAACAGAAAACGATTTAAAACACAATGACTGATTTATGAAAAATTAATTGCAAAACAAAAATTATGTTGGCCTCCTTTTTTACTATTTTCACACAGTTATATTCGTAGAAAATGAGAAAAAAAACAAATATCCAGTACTTCCGTTATAAGGAACTTGTGTAAATGTTGCCAAATGTTTTTTACTCTGTTTTTTTATTATTTTTATTTCATTGCAAAGATCCTGTATGCAGGGTACAATTGCGAAGGTAAACATGTTTCAGGGTTGACGTTATGATATCCCCAATAATTTGCCACTTGTCGCCCGCCAAACCTTTTGGTGTATCCACAAAACGAGGTTGCCATATATTATTTCTCCAAGAAAAGAGTTTACCTTCTTAATTGTATCATGTTTCTATGCATTTTTTAAATAGTTTGTAGAATTTTGTTTTTTTTTTTTTTAATTTTTATTCATCAGACTCTGTGTATGCTCAAAAAATCTATAAAACTTTAATCTATCGACCCAGAAATTATTTCTAAAAGAAAATGAATTGTATGCCAAATATTCTTAGTATTCAACGAGAATTAAAATACAAATTTTATAAAAAAAACCAAAACTCGTAAATAAAAATGATTATATTCTTTATTGTCCCACTTCCATTATTTTGTGCAAAAATTATTATTTTTTTTGGATTTCATGAAAATACATTTGCTGCAATTGTATCTAATTTTAATTAAATGTGTGTGTAATTTGAAATGAATTAAAAAATATTTTAGATTTTAATAAAACAAACATTGAGAAGATTATGAAATAAAAGCAACATGAACAAGAACATAGCATTATTAATGGGTTACCATTTTTCTCTAAGTGTAGTAATGGGTTATCAAATTTCTTTAAGGTTATATTACAACAATTCAAAATGAGTCTTCCTGTAGGTGTATTTTTGGAACACCCTGTATAAGAAAATTAGCTATGACACATACCATATAACGTGTAAATACGCCCAAAATTATTACCGACCCACCTCAATAGTTCACACCCATGGTAGAAGAATATAGGTAGACGCGTCGACACAGCTGCTGGGACAATGAACTGTCAAACCAATTTTGGAATTGAAAATGTTGAATGAAAAATAATTTAAATTTGCAAAAATTTTTGAAAAACGCGAATTATAATAGCCTCCTTCTGACTTAGAATAAGAAAACATATAAAAATCTACTTATATTTTAAAAAACATTTCAATATTTTTGACATATCAATGCTCCCAAACGTTGATGCATCTACCTGTATTCTTCTGCCATGTTCAGACCTGAGTGAAGTTAGCAACATTTGATGTGTTCCGGACCTGCAAGAATGTACAAGTTTTTTTTCTTTATGATATCGAAAAAAAATGGAAAACTAGTAGTTTCTTACAGGTTCTGGAACAGAGTGATTGATAATAATTGTTTACACGGAGTTCTAAAACCACAGGGTGACTCAGAACATCGTAATTTCACATTAAATCCTCTGCAACTAATTTGAAAACAAATGCTCTGTTCCAGAACCAGAAGAATCTGCTTGCACTTCAATTTTTTTCGATATCGTAAAGGAAAATTCGGTAATCGAAATTAAATATTTGTACGTTCTTGCAGTTCAGGAATTTAAAAAATTTACTCTGTAACGGAACCTGCAAGAATTTACGATTTTTGAATTTTTTCGATATCATAAAAGGAAAATCGTTTATCGAGGTAAAAAAGTGTTACATTCTTGCAGTTCTGGAACAGACAAATCTCGAATGAAAACGTCCATAAAATATAGAGGTTAGACATAAGCATAATCACGGAACATTAAACAGCAACAATTTTCCGATATTCCACTGGTGGCCAGGACAGAATTCTGGTTCTGGAAGTCTCTATATAAACTGTGAACGCCAAATTAAAGAGGGAGTCCTTACCGCCATTGTAATATATAAAATAATTTCCAAATCAGTTTTTGGCAAAAAAAACTTTCAAATTTGCTTGAAGTCTTCGCATGTCATATATTGTGACATATCATAAAGGGATGCCAGAGCCGCACTCAAATCTTGCCGTCGTTGTTCTCTATAATTTGACATTAAAATGCAAAGCCATGATTGTAAGCTGCGTATGTACCCTCACCTTAACTTTTGTCAAAGGTATCGAATGTGAATAATTTTTCAAATTAGAAAACGATTATGGAAAATAACCAGTAAAGACAGGCCAAAATCGGGTTAAGATATATATGGTAGCTATATCCAAATCTGAATCGATCACCATAAACTTTAGCAGAGCTATTTCTATGCTGTGTCTGATAGCTGGCACCAAATATCGTTACTTTGGAGGGAGTATTTTACCGGTGTGATACAAAATTGGATGAAACATATATGTGTGATCTTAACCGATTTTCACCAAATTTTATACATTTTCTTCCAGGCTACATTCGTTAGTATGTGCCAAAATCCATTCAATTATTAACCATTTGGTGCACAATAAACTTGAAATCGCGTAAATATATATATATGGGAGCTATATTAAAATCTGAACCGATCTCGATACAATTTGGCAAATTACTTTGGATTCTGTGAGCCTCATATTGAAATTCTACATATTGGTTGGAGAGAACTATATGGGAAAAAGGAAAAATAAAATCCCAAAATTGATTTAATCCAATAAGAATCTTATTGGAGGACTTTGTAAGAAGCCTTAAAGTTCATTTACATAGGATTATAAGGATTAATTATAATTGAACAACCACATTTTTTGTGTGTTTTCTGTAGTTCAATTAATTCTGTTAATTACCTGCGTTAACCCTTTTATATATCTCCACCTATGGGCTTTGTTACGTGCTACATTACGTGTCCACTAATTCTCATTAGAAAAGCATTGCCTCATGAACATTTTGAAATACAAAAATAAAAAGTGCTCCAACAGCTGTCGTTTGACATTTTGACAATTGGCTAAATTACTGTTTTGTAGAAAATTACGTAAAATTAGCAGCAGGTTAGTGGTTTTAGTGATTTCTTTTAAATATTTCAATAAATTGCAATCAATACTTTGTTGTAAAATATTACAAAATGCAACAAGTGGCATCTGTAGTAAATATATTTCAAACAAAAGCTTTGGCGGAGCGAAAAATGCGAACATAAACATGTGAAAATCATCATCACAACGACTGGGCTTTTGGTAGATTTTTTTTTAAATAAACTCTGGACAACAACATAACAAATAATATTTAATTGATGATAAGTTTTCTAATTGTCTGTCTTTTCTTTTGCAGTCGAAATGGCTCTGTCCAAGACCGGTTACTATGATAAACCCGAGGGTAAAGATTTGTTTGGCAAAATGATGGCTACCAACACGATGGCAGCCACAGCCGGCTTGGCTTGGTCCACCGTCGATGTGTTGATGTTGTCTCATCCCAAGGGTTACTTGCCAACATTGGCACGTTTCGCCTATAACACTGGACCAATGATGGGCATTGCCTCAGCATTCACATTGGCCACATATTTGTCCACAAATGTCCGTGGCAAGGATGACAGGTAAGTGCGATGAGTATGATTATTTAATAATTGTTATGACATTTTGATTGGGAAGGAATATTTTAAGATAAAGGCAGCTTGTGACGTTTAAATGGAAATATTCAGAGTTGCGGAGGCGGCATTTATTTGTAATGAAAATACAGAGAGTGTGACTTAGTCAGTTAGTCAGAGTCAGTTGAAATTGTTGAATATTAAAAACCCTACTTACCGATTTCTGTCTCGCAAATTTCGACTCAACATGAGCTGTGTCGTATTCCTATTAAAGCATTTTGTCCGGTCATTTCTCCACCTTACGACTTTTGTGCGACATTTCAAACATACTAAAATGTCCCTCAAACTGTTTAAATCAAGTGGACCTATACATACATTGTTTCCCCACCGGAGCTAGAACCCTTTATGACCTACAAATACCAATTTCTAGACAAATCTGTGGAAAATATGGCAAAAATCATCAAAATACCGAATATCAGGAGGTACCGTTTTATGGAGGCTATACAAAAAAAAAAAAAAAAAACGCGGACCTATACATACAATGTTTCGCCACCGGAGCCAGAACCCATTATGACCAACAAATACCAATTTCTCGATAAATCTGTGAAAAATCTGGCAAAAATCATCAAAATGTCGAATATTGTGATGTACCTTATATTGCGACTATACCAAAACGTGGACCGATAGATCTCGTTTTCAATATCAGCCATGCTAGACACAATACAAATAGTTGTGCCAAATTTTGAAGGCTTTATCGTGATTTCAACAGACGGACATCGTTATATCGACATAGTGTTATGTTTAATTTGGTTGATGCTGAAAGTGAGTCATGTTGGTACAACTTTGGCATAGCCGACCTAATCTAGGTGCGGACCTTCTCTAGCTATCTTGCAGCTTTAAATTTCATGCGATTTTATTGTACGTTTTTTCTTTGGTTCTCAGTGGATACAATTCTCTGGGAATTTATTCTATTAAGACCCTGGTTTTGCCGCGACCCCATATAAATGTAACCTCTACCTTTACACTCTCTAAATCTTTTGTATGCAATTGATTACATGCTCCATCACAAGATATTAAGTTTGCCTAACCGTTTGAAACACCACTAAATATTCGTCTGAGTCCCCATAACACTTAAATACAAATACAGTTTGGGTAGAACCTTAAATGCTGGGAAAAGTTTAAATTCTGTGTAGGATTGAAAATGGACCCTTCTAAGATATACACCTGATATATTGGTGTCTCATACTTCTTGTTATTTTTAAAGTGTCATCTAAAATTTTTAACAGAAATTAAAAATGACCTGTCAATTTGACATTAAGGACTTCATGGGTAGAACCTCTTTCTGCTAAAAATTTCAGTATTGACTCACTATTTGGCTAACTTATTTCCCAATCTCAGTTGCGTTTGTAAGGCTGGTTCGAAACTATATTTCGTATTTTTTCTTATTTCTGTAGTATCAGAATTTAATTCAAAATCCAAATATAATAGACTGCATATATTTCTATTTTTAATTATTCCATAATCAAAATATTTCCCCTCTCTCATTTCAGATGGAACTACTTTGTTGGTGGTTTTGCTGCCGGTGGTGTCTTTGGTGCCTGGAGACGTAGCCATGTTGCTGGTCTTGTAATGGGTCTTTTCTTCGGTACGTTTAACGCCATCATTTTCTTAACTTAGCTTTTATCTAATATTGAATTTCTTTCTTTCTTTCAGGTATTGCCGGTGTGGTTAAGAAGACCTCCATCATTGAAGGTTGGGAATTTTTCCCACCTCTCAACCATCATGCCCATATGGGTGTTAGACAAATCGATAATTCTTTAATGGCTGATCCCACTAAGGTCAATAAAAATTAAAAGCAACAAATCTGTGTTTTTAGTCAATAGTCAATAATAAAAGAAAAAGCAAATAATAAAAGAAAAAATAATTCGCTTCAAATGTTTTGTTAAGAAGCGAAAAGAAATCGATGTGAAAATATGATGTAAAATAAAGTTGTTTATGAATGGAGCCAAAAGATCCTTGGAGAAATGCGATTGATCATAGTTTTGAGCATTTCGCTTTGGCAGAGAATTAACGATGGATTAAATAGAAATGTAAGAAGTGTATTTATTTCGGATTGGAGGTAATTAAATTGAGTTTTTTTTTTATTCGAAAATATGTTTATATTTCATATTTGTAGTATCTATATAAAGACAAAGTCTTCAGAAAATTTAATTTCAAGGATTTTGTCAAAACAAATTTGTCCATTTTGGAAGTAGCCCTTACTCTTTTCGATCATTATTCTCAAAAAAGTAGTCGAGTATACTTTAGAAACACAGACAACAGGTCTTCCCCCAGGCCTCCTTCTAACCTTGGGGAACTAAATTTGTGTTCTATGAAGAATAATTGTAGTGGATGAAATTTTGCAGGACTATAAGAAATATTTGCCTAATATCTATAATTATTGGACGCTGATCATGAATGTGCCTAAGCACCTAAATATCCTTCTACTTCTTCTGGAAAATATTGAAACCCAGGACAAAAATGTAATATAAAATTTATTATTATCTTTTTTATTTTTTAAATTATACAGTATCCTAACCGTTATGGTTATAGACGGTTCCAAAAACGTTCATATTCCTTAAAACTTATTTTCTAAATATTTATTTATTTTTATTTCTAGTATGCTGTATATACAGGGTTAGATAAAAAAACTGCAACAAAGCCAAACGCCATATTTTTTTCATTTTTTTTATATTTTGTTGAATGAAAGCAAACAATGCATCAAATTTTAGAACAAGTTTAGATTTGTTCGAATTGGTTACTTTTGGCACGAATTATGGCCTTCGAACGGCCAATGAAACCGTCACACGCTGACCGAATGTTGCTTTGCGTTATTTTGGCCCATTCCCGGCGAAGCGCTTGCTTGAGGTGATCTACACTTTGGTATTTTTTAGTGCCAACCTTGCTATCCAAAATACCCCAGACACTATAGTCCAAAGGATTGGTATCCGGAGATTTTGGTGGCCATTGTGCGCTGGAAATGAAGCGAAGTAACCATTCTTGGGTGGCGCGTGCTGAGTGCCATGGTGCCGAGTCCTGTTGGAATGTCCAAGGTGTGCGGCCAAAATGTTTGCGTGCCAAAGGTTTTAATATACCCTCCAGAATATTTTCGCGATAATATTCGGCATTTATTCTGAAGCCACGGTCGATTAATTCGAGCGGAGAGCGACCATCGGCTGTTATGGCGGCCCACACAATCACCATGGCCGGCACTTGAGTTCTGGTGGCCAACCGAAGGTGCACATTTTCAGCTGACCTCGTTGGCAAGTAAAAACGATCATCGGTTTTCTCATCGGAGAAAACCAAATTCGGCTGTTCACCACTTTCGGCCAAGCGAAGCAACTCTTTAGCTCTTTTGAGTCCATTTTCTTTCTGTTACGGTGTAAGTTCTTGCACTTTTTGGAATTTCAATGGCTTTACCCCGAGCTCATTTTTCAATATTTGCCGAATGGAATATTGCGATATGTTCAGCCCACGAGCCATTTTTTGGCCACTGCGATGCGGGTTTAGATCTTTTTTACTTTTCGAACCATTTCTTCTGATGTTGCTGTTTTCTTCCGTCCACTTCCTTGACGTAGGGCTACGCTACCAGTATCACGGCAACGAGCGATGGCACGAGACACAAAAGATTTATTCGCATTTAAATGCTGGAGTGCTCTAAAGATAGTGACTTGTGGTTTTTCCCGCCAAATATAAAGAAATCACACTATCACGCTTGAATTCCATCACGAATAACTTTTTTTCTGGAAAATTCTCACCAAAATGCTTTTTACGCTTGTAAACAATATAATGAGCTGTCACTGGAATAATTTTAACAGCTGTCGGACAAGTGGCTTAGAAATGACAGCAGTCTGAAGTTGGTTGGTTATTCTAAGACCTGTAGTAAAAAAATGATGGAGTCAACGCTCAATCTTTGGTTGGACTAGACCTAAACTAGACTAAAACCTTGTCATTCTGAAATTAGTTAAGGCAAGAATTTGAAAGGTTTTTGAAATTTTTTTTTGAATAAACACTCTTGAAAAGGATCTTCCAGGATTGCCGGCCTGAAGGTTTCTGAGCTATTATGTTATTTTGACTTAATTTGCTCTAGAAGGAGATACATAAACTTCCGTCATTCTGAAGTTAGTAAAGGACAATCATTTGGACAAGCTAATCTCCCAGGACTTTTGAATTATAAAAAAGAAGTTTTTTTTCATTCAATACCTCCGAACCAAACATGTTTATTCTTATGTATTCCATACGTGCCGAACGTTTTTGCGTAATGTACTTTCCCCCGATAATAACTTAATTTACATACATCATTTAAATTTACATTTATTGTTTGTTTTGTATTCTCATGATGATAAATGCAAATTGAAAGAAGAGAAAACAAAGAACTTTTCTTACCTCATTGTTTTTGAACGAATGCATATCTTTTTCTTTTATAAAACTATTTCATTATCTTAAGAAAGTGCATATGAATCAGAGACGACGACTTCATTTAACTAAGGCCAACAGCATAAGCGACCCCGAGCCCAACAAACAATGGCTTCGAATATCAGCCAAAGATAGTAGATAATCAAAACCGCATAACAGATTGACAAACAAAGAGACACGAGAACACACTCTCGAAACTGTGGTTTTTGTGTCACTCACTGTTTAGATGTTGCTTCAATCACTTACTTTATTTTGTTGGTTTCCAACTTCTTCTTCCAAGGAATTGAAAATTCATGCAAAATTCGCCAGTTGATGGAGTTGTGAAAGCGTCGCAGTAGCAACAAGAAACCCTTGCCATAGCCAGTTTGAAGAAACTTTTTTTCTGTATGACGACCTCAACAACAGAAGAAGGCGATGAGGAAGCAGTAGCAGCTGCGGTTTTCAAGTATTACGAAAGCAAAGATTTCTTGAAAAACAATTTCAGCGAATATTCTGTGAAAAAGGTGAAACGGCGAAGGTTTACTACAAACGTAGACACATACAAATTGCATGTTTATGTTGTGCCCGCTTCAAAGGTATTTCCTGTCTTTTGACCAAAGGAAGAAAAGGAAATATTTTCAGAGCAGATGCTAGGTTCAAAATAACAAAGAAATATTTGAAAATTAATAAACAGCCTCTAAGAATTTCTACTAGAAAAGGAATGCAAAGAGTTACTTATATGAGAAATCATGGGAAATAAAGGGGAGATGTATGATCTGGTTTTATGGGGGATCCAAACGTGGATTTCTAGGAAATTAAAAACATGATTTTTTGATATTTTCAACGCATGACTACACTGGAATAGGTTGAAGACATACCTACAAAAATAAACTTTTTAAGAGTTTTAGAAGCATCCAAGGTCAGTTATAAATTTCGATATTTATACCCTACAACACTATGTGTTGGGGGTATTATAAGTTTGATTGGCCCAAAAATTATGTAACACCTCGAAATATTGGTTTCCCATATAGGTAAGTATATATGGATCTTCCTAGCTCGCCGAGATGAGTCGATCTAGCTATGTATGTCCGTCCGTCCGTCTGTCCATGTTAATTTGTAATCACGCTACAGGTCGCAATTATGGCCCGATCCTTACGAAATTTTGCACGAAGGTGGGGTTAGGGTCACAATAGAAGCCTATTTCTTTTGAAGATGATCGCCAAATGTTTAGGGGTTGAAATGGACCAAATACTGAAAATATGTCGGATTTTGCAGTAGCTATACAGCTCGCAATTATAGACCAATCGACGCGGAATTTCGTATGTAGCTAGAGTTTAGGGCGAGGAAGAAGCCTATCAATTTGGGTGGTCATCGGATAATATTTAGCGGGTAAAATAGACCATATCTTTTGTGTTGAAAAAATTCAAAATTTTTCATTAAACCGCGAATATTTTACATCCCGGCAAAATCACAAAGCCATGACAAGGTTACTTCTGATCTTTACATTGATGTTAACATCCAACAAAACGGATATATAGCAAAATATGTGCGATATATATGTCTATCAAAGAAGATATGCTTGAAAGATATCTTATATGTCGAGAATGGCTGAACTGATTTCGACAGTTCTCATTAATTCAGAATGGCCTCTTGGCAGGAAAGAAATAACGTCTTAAAAAACGCATTCAAATATCTCTCTAAAGATGAAAATATTGATTTTGTAAAATTTTCTCATATTTTTTCAATTTTGTCATATTTTTGGCATATTTTCATTTTGAATTAAACATTTGGTAATATTTCTACAGCTAACAAAACTAAGTAGTTAGGATATCAGGATATCATATACAGATCGTATTTATGGCCCGATCCTTACGAAATTTTGCATGGGGATAAGATGAGGGTCAGAATAGAAGCCTACTCTTTTTGGAGATGATCGCCATATATTTTGGGGTTGAAATAGACCAAAAAACTGCAAAATTGTCAGCAGGCCGTAATTATCGCCCGATCCTCACGCACATTTGAATGGGGGTTACCGGAGATTGCAAAAGCCAAGCAGTTTTGGATGGCCATCCAAAAATATTCAATGTGTGAAATAGTTTGCCAACTTTTGTAGACAAAATACGAAAATGTCCATTCCAGTGACTTTTTGGAGAATTCACAAATACAGGAAAGACGCACTTCTGACTATTTCGTTAAGGCTGATTTCGTTGAAGAACATAGTCAAATGTCTGTATCTCATATATATATGCGTTTTAGTCAAAAACCAATAATAAATGTTAATCTTTTGCCACTTCTGAGAGATTATGGGTCTTTGGGAAATATTGGTTCCAGATCGAGGAAGACCATTTACGTGCAACATCTACCAATAAATTGGAAATGAGCAAATTAGTTCAAGTTTCTATTATTCGAAAATTAGAGAACGAAACCTGATGGTTTTCTTTTATTATTTGTCACAATTTCTTGTGGAATTCTTTCGAGTATCTGGCCTATATAAACTGTATCATTTACTATAGTGTTGTAGGGTATTCAACGGTCGGCCCCGCTCGACTGTAGCCTTTGCTTACTTGTTTTTATTAAATTTTTAGTTGGATCCAAACATGGATTTTGTGAAAGGTTCTAAGAGGATTGAATAAATGCCATTAGCATGATTTTTTT